CATGGCAAGAATACCTTCTTCGATGGAAGCAGTTACTTCACACATATCTGTTGAAATATTAAATGTAATAATATCAAATTGAGAAATAATGATGAGACTTTCCAACTCTGCAACATATTGAATTTCCATCATTTTTGCATCGGGTGTAACTCCTTCAACATTTTCATTAATATTGAAAGTTCTCTTGATGGTGCCCAATTTAACGTCCAATTCAAATAAAATACCCTCTCGTGTGATTCCGAAGATTGTGTCTGTATCCGTTGAAGTGCAAGACACTACTTCATCATGTGATGAAGTGCAAAATGGAAGAGTACACACTTGATGATGCACAGGTTTGAGATTTCTCATTTTTTTTGAATGCGTCTGCAAAGTTGAAGTGGTTTTACTTTTGGCCACAAGTGAAACTGTTGGTTTCTCTTTCAAGTTAATCATAGTCTTGAGAAAAAGCTCTTGTGATACATTCGAATTAAATTAAAATGTTTTATTACATTATTGAAGAAAAATGTGGTAGTTATGTCTGTTGTTGAAAGAATAGTTCCGGAAAAGAAAATCAACATTCAAGAGAGAGAATGAACTACCACTCGTGCTCTCTCCCTAGAAATGGTGTATATAAATATTTAAATACTCGTTCGGAATTATTGTTGATTGGACTTAATCTTGAGATGTTGCAAGTGTTCCTTTGGAATGAAATCCAAATTGACATTGGCACCCTTGAAGCTGACAAGCTTCTCAGCAGAAACAGCTGATGATGTAGAGGTGGCACCGAAGAACTTCTTGTATTGGGCAGATCCCTTGAACAAATACCAAGCACCAAAGGCCATCAAGCCCAACATGGCAAAGAGTGAAACGTATGAGAATACTGTTTCAAAATCAGCAGATTCTTGAGCTTCGACGAATTGAATAGTTTGATTATAGAAAGTAGTAGAGAAAGTATCATTATCAACATTTAAATAAAAGACATCAACCATGACAGTATAATCACGGGCATCCAATGTCTTATCGGCAACAAATTTGTAAGAGAAGGTAGCAGTCTCTTCTGGACCTACTGTAACATTTTGAATTGAACCAGTGAAGTTTTGAACAATGAATGGTTGATCAATATTAGCAACAAGATAACCACGAATGAATTGAACGCTGAATGGAAGATCACCAGTATTCAAAAAGCCCAAAACAACTTCTGATTCTTTACCTAATTCGAGAGTCTTTTGATTGTCTTGATTTAATCTAGCGAACGGAGTAACATCAGGTGATGAAATATAGGCTGATGTATCTTGTTCATCGAGAGTTGGTTCTTCTGTCGTAATCTCCTCTTCATTCTCTTGTTGGGCTTTAGTTAATCCTACAAAGAATAATGTTGAGATGAGCAGAGCTCCTATCAAGAACAACAACACGCTGCGTTTTGTGTTGAAATACTTCATTATGATGATGGAATGATGAAGAGTGTTGCTGATTTTTTTTAATCTTTTACAAAAAATTTGTGGGTACGCTTGCACTGAAGAATAAAGAGTGACGTGTTGAAGATCCACAGGCACATATGATCCATTTTACAAGTGCCATCTTGTTACGTACCACCTTAGTAAAAATTCAAAGTAAATCGTATTTTGGATAGTGGTTGCAAATACGAAAGTATAGTTTCTTGTGCCTGAATGTTGAGCATGACTGATTGTGGCAAGAAGTTCTTCTCCAAAATGACAATGTTCTTGAAAATAAATTTCATGGCTTCGAACAGTATTTGGTAATTCAAACAATAGATCACAAATGAGAAAAACTTGTCGTCCATGAGTTGTGTTTTCGTTTGATTCTTTCTCTTCACGAGTGAGTCAATGGTAAGAACAATATTCTGAAAGGAGTGACCAGTTTTCAAGTTGACACCAACCTTGGACAACGGGCCTTGAGCACAAACCACAATCAATTGCCATGGATGACTGACGAAATTGCCGCTATTCAACCATTTCGTCTCTAATACAAGTTTGTCAGACAATATGGATTTTAGAGGGTACATTAATAGAGTTCGCACAACTCGCCCCAGGTTGTGGTTTTTGGATTCGTCCGTGACCAGCTCCACAGTTAAATTCTCGGCCTTTCCAACTTGCACAATATATTGCAAAAGTGTTTTGATATTTTGTTGGAGTGATGTGACAAGCACAATATCGTGGCCATTGGTATTATTCATGTCTCCAGCTTTGTCAAACTCAAATCTCAGTTCAAAATTCACATGCTTCTTGAGTAGATTCAATATGGCAAAGAATGGTCTGGCATATGCACGATCGTTAAGAAGTGATGTCTCTTCATAGGATTCTGATAAGAGCGCAGGTGTGTTTACCAGCTCAAATGTGCAATATGCAAGCAATTTCCTCTGAAGTAAATATTGAATTAAGAGCAAATCTCGTTCTTTGAGCTTTTTCTGGTCATGTAATGACCTGATTTCCTTAAATGCGAGAAATTCTTGCATCACATTGTCTTCTTTCAAGCAAGTTAATTTCGAAAAAATTCCACATAAATCTCGTTCTCCTTTGAAAAGAGAGCTCTATTGGTGTGTTGAAATTTAAACAGTCAGTTTAAGGGAGATGAATTTGAATAATAATAGTGTATAATGAGAAGCAAATTGAGCTTGAAATACTCGTCCACGAATTCCTCAACGTACATACCTTGGGTCTGTTCAACAAGATGGCATATATTGAATGAATTAATGGAGTCAAAAAACGAGAACCTCTGTCCATAACTATAACAGTATTGGTCAAAGATGTAGGACCTTGAGAAGATGGTGTGCTTTCATTAAGAGCAGTGTCAATCATGTCAATAATTGTCCTTCTCAATTTATCGAGCATTGGATGAACTAGAAGCGGCTTTTCTGTGTGCAGAAAGTGTAATGGTTCTTCCCATCCTGTTGGTTTTTTAAATAGAGGAGGTGTTGGAGAGAGTTCTTCATATTGTACAACAGTGTTGGTTTGAGAAGAGTGTTGTCTGGAAGGTGTCTCTAAATATTCATGTTGCTTTTGCTCTGAAATGCGGTGGTTCAGTTTTGAAAAGTTATCAATAAGTACTGCGTCCTCTTGTAAAAATTCATGCAACGATACTAGTGATACTGGAGGTTCTTCATTGTTTGATGAAAAGTGAGTCGAAGAATGAGAAACATTCGAAATATCCAGAGGGGATACTTTTCGATTGTCCATACCAAAATCACTCTCTAATGGTTGGATGGTTTTGATTTGCCCAACAACAATTACCTCATTATCCTTGGCATTACTCTCCACGGCAGACAGCCTCTTTTTACGGTAGTTACGCTTTTTATGTTTTCTAAGTGATCCAAAAGCCGAGTCAACTCCATCATCATTTGCATATTTACGAAAAGGCTCTGCTTCTTGGTGTAATTTCTGAAAATCTGACAATTCTTGATCGGTTTCGTTCGCTATGTCAGTAAGAGATGAACTCGCCTCTAACTTGGCTTGATGGTCATCTACAAAAACAGTTCCAAAATTGTTGTCGTCAGTAGCTGGTTGGTAGGTGAATGAGTCAAAATTGTTCAAAGGAGGGGAATTGAGCGATGCAGATGATGAACCATTAGAGTTATATTCTAACTCTATTGGTTGGTCTGCATCTAAAAGAGTTTTGTTGTTGTTTTGCCCCTCCCTAAAAACATCGTTGACACCATCCATGTCGAGTGGTTCTGGAAAATCTATTATCGAATTTCCTGGGGTCTCACCGTTATCATTAAAATTGAATTCTTCTGGAGAAATGGTGAAAATTTGAAATTCGCTTGTGTCATCTTCTCCGCTCACGCAGTCAATCGATTCATTCACATTTTTTTCTTCGGCTTTTTGGATCTTGTCGTGATTTCTGTCACCGATTTTTTCTTCTATGTGGAACGATGTTGCAATTAACATGTTTTCGTCGATAAAATCGTCATCTATTTGGTCTGTTTCTTCATTAATAGACTTTTGTTCTTTTGGTGAAAGAGCACTGGATTCATCTTCTATGAATTCTTCGTAATCATTATTATGGGAATATTCATTAAAGGCGACGTTCTCGTTTAAAACCTCCGAACTCTTGGGCTCGTCTTGTTTATCGTTAATCTCCGTTGAAATAATTATTGGATGATTTTCTTCAGAAATCCATTGATCATCATCCTCCAGATATTCTTCATAAACGTCAATTATTTCATCATGACCAACTCCAGTTTTTGGTGAAGAGGTATCCACACCAAGAAATGAATATTCATACTTGGAGAACTGTTTCCTTAATTTAATTTTTGATGAGATGAGGTCGGAATGAATAGAAGAACCATGTTTTAATTTTTGATATCGTTTCTGGAGCAAATTAGGTAACGATGAAATAGAACAGCATGGATGAGATTCGGATTGTTCGTCGGATCCACTAAATGCCATCTCTAATATTTGTTCTTCTTCCTTCTCATCATTGAATAATATTGCACCATTCTCTCTATTCCGATACAAAAACACAGCAAGTTTTGACGAAGAAGGTTGTTGTTTCTTTCCCTCAATGATTTGATCGAGTTTGATCCTTAGCAGAGACTTTTTGTCTATTAAGGTCATTTTTTCATCGTTGAGCTGAAAAATCTAGCTTCAGAGAGCTACCCCAAGAAAATGTAGTGTTCCTATCAACACTTTTCCTTGTTGAGGAGAATTTGCTTCCTCAAGATCTCAGCTCGTCACTACAGAAAGTAAATTCAAAGAGGGAAAAAATGAAAGCACGATCAGCAGCCAACGATCAAAATTCCTTTCCGAGCGTGCTGCACCAATCGGCTGTTCAAATACAAGTACGTTTACGTTTTCTCATAGTGCTAGTAATTAATTAATAATTGCATTGATTGCTGATTCCTTTAATCTCATCAATGATTGAAAAATACAAAATGGAACAGTCCACATGGAGAGGTCATCATACTCGGAAGACAATTACTGATTGGGCCATGAAGGAGTTTGAGAGTATTGTCAGAGAAGTTGAGGGTAAACATTCGGAAATTGTATGGAAATCATCATCAAGTCATGGACTGAAAATACCTCAAGTGCAAAATACAAAATTAAGGTTAGTAACTGGCGATGAGGTTTCGTTGAGAGGGACAATTGTTTGTACAATACAAATAGTGAGGATGAAAGTGATTTGGAGAAAATGTTAACGAGTTTGATGAGTAGTAAGAAAGACAATGCAACTGTTCCAGCAGAGAACAAGCACGGATCAACACACATCAAGCAACAAACAACAAGTGACAATACAACCAACATTGCAGAGACGAAACATCTGCCCACGAACATGTCAAGTTCAACTAATACCAGCAGTCCTGAAATTGTCATTGAAGCAACAGTACAACCATCAAGCGCCAATATTGCCGAGTCGAAACAGCAGCAAACAAACTTGACAACCTCAACACAATCCACCCAATCCTCAAATACACAAACTGAAAGTCCTCATTTGACAACATCGTCTTCCAATACTTCATACCTTGTGGAGGAAGCAACATCAAAAACATCACCTCTTGCTACTAAAGAACAAGAAATTCAAACAGATTCATTGTTGAGGTCATCGTTTAATAATATTTCTCTCCAACCTACAAAAATTGAAACTAATTCCGTCTCAACAAACACGAGTATTGATGTCAAATCTTTGAAACAATCATTTTCCAAGAGCCATGAAAATCCGTTTTCTCGTCAAGAGGTTAACAAGAGTGTTGAACATGGAGTAAATGCCAGCTCATTCCATCAAGATGGAGATCAAGAAGAGTTTGACAGCTCAATAATGTGTGGGCTAGATATGCTTAAGAGCTTTGATTTTTCTGAAGTCAACAATCTTAACAATCCCACAATGTCACAGAGTGCGTCGTTCGATGGCTGGCCCTCAGAACACGCAAAAGAAACACCACAACAACAGAATTTATCCTTGTCCAGTCAATCAACACAACCACCAATTGGGGTTCATGACAGCCTCAACAACAATTCTTTCAATAACTGTGCTTCCAGCCCGTCTTCTGTAAAAAGTTCCAAGCAAACCACTAAATCTGTTAACAGCAAAAGCATTTTAAACCATGATGAGATTGAGAAGGAAATATCAATACTGAAGCTCGAACTGGCAAGAGCAGAAGACGCTTATTTGAAACGAAAAAAGGTATGTACATTGGTATAATTAATGTTCTACAACCATCACTTGGTTCCTACTTTATAGGAGTTAATTGAATCATATTCACAAGGACGGGTCAGATAAGAGCGTGAATGAAGAATTCTGTCCACGTGATGATCATACCATCCGAAAATGCATTGTCAAAGAAAACGGCTCTTCCAAGAGTTTCACGACAGAAACGTTAATGGGACTGTTGATAGACCTGTTTGACTGAAAAAACAAGAAATTATTCAAATAATCTTTTCAGAGTTCGGGAATGTTTTTCAAATTTCGATTGGCAACTAATTTATTCGTAATACTAGATTGTTTGAATTGACTGTTTAAAATTCTCCTCAACACTAATAAAATCTCTATTGTGATGATGCCTTCTTCTCAGCAATATATTCCTCTGTTAATAATTTCAAGCTCTTCTTTTCTCTCATTGATTTAATCTTCAAAGCTCGCCTTTCCTCCATGGTCAAACGAACGTGTTGTGGTAAGTGTTGAGTTCCTTCTGGGAATAATTCAGCAGTGGAAACACTTTTCACCGACAACAACAATCTACATTTATAAATTAAACCTCTAACTTGTGGAGTATCTTTATGCACTTGAACTTGGTGAGGCTTCTTTAATTTGAGAGCTCTAATTGCAGCCTTTATGTCCTCGGTTTGATGGATTGGGCTCTTAGCCAATGTAATGAAGAACAATCTTCCTCGGGGTGTGAGTGATGATGACGATGCTGAATTCAGGGTGCTTGTAGATGGAGTTGTTGTTTCATTAATTTGTTGTGGTACTTGTTGTTGTTGTCCTGATGTATTTGCTGAGAATGAGCTAGAGAAGAACCGAGTGGAACTAGCCGATGATGAAAATAGGAAGGATGAAGAAGCAATTTGTTTGTTGTTGAACAAACTTCGGGTGAGGATGGATGATGTTGGAGAAGGGAAGAGCAATCGTTTCATTTTTTCTTGAAATTAAATTTTAAATTGAAAAATACTGATACTTTATCATTACGATTCATTTTTCACGTATGCATGCCATGTTATTTAATCATGATTTTTAAAGAAACAACTATCTGTGATGCAAGGCTTGTAACCACCAATAATAAACTCCAGTAATGACCTCCTTTGAACACAACCCAAATATAGACCAAAATTGTTAAAGCCTTATCTTGCATTTTATCATGATTTAATAACATGGCATGCATACACAATGGTACTTCACTACCTTCGTCTATAGTCATGTTGTGGTCGATAATCAGAATGTGATGACGATGACGATCGATGGTGATGATGATAGCCATCTCTATCACCTCCTCTGTCACGATAATTATCTTCATGATGTCTGTAGGAGGAGCCTGAAGAATAGTCGTCATAACGATCGCCTCTTCCACCACCACGATCTCTACTGCTGTCCCTATAATTATTGTAGCCACCACCACCTCCTGAAGAAGAACTTCTACCACCATCTCTATTATATCTGTCGTCACTTCTTCCATGTCCACTGCTGCCACTACTACCATGATGTGAATTGTAATAGCCTGACGTTGAAGAGCCACCTCCAATGCTAGGATGTTCTTCTTGGCCATCTTGACCAGGACGTTTTCTCTTCAATTCGTAATAACTATTGTATTCGTTTCCTCCTTTCATTTGTTTATAATGGTCTCTATCAGCAATGAGCTGTCTCTTGTCATTGAAGCTTCTATTTTCTCGGAGTTCTCGAAGCTTTTCTCGAACTTTTTGAAATCCGAGGTGAGCCTTTCCTGCAAAGTGATCTGCCAATCGCTGGTCACTTTCATTAACGCTCAATAAGGCTCCACAAATTTCGCATACTATTAATTCTTGAGTGTCTCCGATTTTTTGAGTGGGTACTTTGGCTTCAATGTTTTCCTTTTCTTTTTTTAAACTGTCCAATCGTTCCATGAGTTTTTGGGCCTCTTCATATTCTCCTTCAGTTGTTAATTCTTCAATTTGTTTTGTTACTTTTTCAATTTCCTTCTTAATATTTTGTAATTCAAGAGGTTCATTGTTCTTGTTGAGATCTTTTTTGTGTTGTACATCCAATCGCTGTTGAGCCTTGGCAATCTTTTCGTCGCAATTGTCTTGTATGGACGCTAAAATTCGTTCCAAATCCCGTTCATAATCAAAATTATGTGTTTTTTTCTCCTCCTCATATTGCTTTCGAAATTTTGGAGGTACGGGACAACAAATAAAAGGACAAGGTCCTAAATCAAATTTCGTATTCGGAAACAGTTTGTAGGGACATAAACCCAACAAATCAAACTTGCAAACTCTTGGATCCGTGAAATGTTCAATAATTAAGTCTTGTCTATCGCCGTTTCTATTCACTCCCATCAACTCATCGAGAAGTAGAGAGAAATTCCTAGTGGCTGTGATCATTGGTGTGATGATTGAACAAGTACTTGTTTGGATTGCAATTTTTTTTTGTTTTTTATTTTTAAATTTTGTTTCAATTATGTGAAGAAATGAAATCCTTTCAATCTTTCTTGTAAATTGTGATGATCATTTCACATACAAACAACTTTGTCCTTGATGATTTAAAGTATTGGATACACGACAACAGTTGCCCGCCTTCTCAAACAGGTTCATGCAAGAATTGGAAAAAAATATGCCTCTGAATGATGATGGCTTCAACAATAAGCCACCGGCATCATCATTCAGTAGCAGCCATGATCGAGATCATGATGAATCACTGAACACTCCACCTAGTCGAGTATTCCGTCCAATGATTTCCTTGTTGGGCAACAGCAACAACAATACTCAAAGGATGATTGAATCTTCATCAAACAATTTCAATAACTCTCCGTCGGGTTTCATGAATGAAAAAGCCTTGATGAATAATAATTTTCATCTTCATCATCAACAACATTCATCTGACCATTTCTGTTTAAAACATGTTAACAACAAGCTTGATGTACCTTCTCCAACCACAACTCTACGACGACAACATGTGGGTAGCTCTCCGAAGAGAAACCGAACCATGGTACCGAGTACTCCCGAGAACAAAGCCAGTCCGATTTCCATACATTCCAACTCTCCCTTCACACCACTGGCATCTCCTCCAAGATCCATAACATGTGCTGCCTCTACAAACGTGTTGTCAAGCACATTCCACATGTTGAAATCAACTCCAGTCGCTTCGTCTGCCTCTCGTGTGGAAAGTGTCAGTATTTGCATGACACCATCCTTGTCCTCATCTCAGAATCTATTCCAACAAAAACTTGAGCCAAACACAATATCACATCATCACCACAACCACCAATCAGCAAACACTGATAACAGCACCAACATTGTGGCCTTTCTATTCATGTACAGTTCTAAAGATTCTCTTCAAAATTTTGAAAGAGCCTTTCCCTTGTGGAGTGGCAGAACCTTAATCTCAAGAAAAAACCAAGAATATTTCTTGGCAGCCCAAAATAATAGAAAACGCATGAAAGATGTGTTACCACCATACGATCGTTGTATATGTATCAATAGCCCATCAATTTCCAAAATACATGCTCTTATTGAAATATCAGAGGGCGAATTTTCGTTTCTCGAAGATTTGAATTCTAGAAATAGGACGGTCATTGTTGAAAAGTCAGAGAAAAAGAAACGACATATCAACATTCAATCGAGAAGGCTCTACCAATTGAGAGATGATAATTTTATTCTGTTGGGAAATATTATTTGTAAATTCAAGTTATGTACAGAGATGGATGAAACTATGAAGAACCTTGCCTTGAATTCACACTTGAAGCTCAATGAAAATGCATGCACGAGAAAATCGCCCAAACAGCTACCAGTACCACCTCAAAATGGCTCTTCTAAATTATTATTTCGACCACCATCTGCGACGTTTCCCTCTCCCAGTAAGAAAACGTTGCTAATGAACAAGAAAATCAATAATGGTGTCGTAAGCGCTGTTACTACATCACCGACTGAAAAAAAATCTTCTGAGATATTGGTACCGGCAACACCTGAAATGACAAACTCGTCTCAAACCCATAACACAAACGACACATTGGACAAACAAGCAATATCATCATGTCGCAACGATTCAAGCAACAATATTATTAAGGAACTCCACAAACCTGAGAATAATAATCAAACAAGACATTTTGTGCCTCCAACCAATTTTGTCTTAAAGAAAAAGTCCATGAGTAATACAGATGAGAAAGAACAAACTTGTCAAAAAGTATTGGTTTTTGAGACGCCAGTGAAATCATTAGAAAATGGGACCAAGTCGACGGATGGTGTCACAATTTTCCAAACACCATCAAGCTCCTCCTCTTATGGCACTCCACAAACCACCAATGAGAGTACTACAATGAAGAATTTTTCTGACACGAAGGTTCTTTTATCAAACGATCATCAGTACAACAATGAAGACCTCTGCAAAGATGAGGACTTGATTGACCTACAACTGGATGATATTGACCTCTCTTTCTTATCAAGCCAACAAGAAATGACACAACAGAAACAACCACAACAGCAGAATCCAGAACCCTCAACTTCTACATTTAACATTAGCAACTCTTCACAGTTTGACGATATTGAGGAGGAGGAGCTTGATGATCAAGAGGAATCACAGGCCAACCAGTCATTGTACAATAATCCAAAAAAGCGTGTCAATGAAGAGGACACTTTGCTAAACGAACATGATCATGAAGGCATAGTTTCCACAGCAGAACCGCTCAATGATGCGAGAAGGTCGAAAAAGAAAAAGTACAAAAAGAGTGACCATCAACATCCTCATATACTCTTTACAGGAATTCAACCTACTGAAGCAAATTTGAGAGCCATTGAAAGGCTGGGAGGTGTTCTTATTGAAGACGCCTATACAGAACTTCTCGAATCACGGCTCACTCATTTGATTACTGACAAATTGCGAAGGTAAGCATGCTTAACTTTCAAGTTTTTGTTTATTGCCTTGAAATAATATTATTGTTGATGAAACTCGTGGCAACACAGAACTGTCAAGTTTCTTTGTGCCTTAGGAAGCTGTCCTAATATTGTCACAATCGATTGGCTTGAGCAGAGTACAAAAACCAAATACTTTATCGACGAAGAAGGCTTTTACTTGCACGACGTGGAGGGAGAAGAAAAATTCAACATTTCTCTTATTGAAGTATTGAATAGAAGAGATAGAGCTCCACACAAACTCTTTCACGGAATGGCCTTTTTCCTTACTTCTAACATTCTTCCAAAACCAGACGAAATGAAACTGATCATTGAATGTAATGGAGGTTCTGTTCTTTCCACCCTCAGTTCCCTCAAATGTGAGTTAGGAATGAATAAGAACGTATTTGTAATAACCTGTGAGAAAGATGTAAGTGTTCGTGTGTAAATGTTGAAACTTGATTCTATTTTGACTTTGACTGGATATTGCATTTTCTGTCATGGTACTGTCATTCTGTATCATGCTACTGCATTTCAATATTGAACACGCACGCGCAAAACTGCAACACCTGCCAATGATAATTGCACGATGTGATTAGTACAAGTATTGTACTTCAACCTTGTCACCAATTTTTGAAGATTTTGACTTGAATTGTGTTGAACACTTTTTCAATAGCGAGTTTGTGATGGCTTCAGTTGTCCGTCAAGAGATCATCAACAATGAATTGACCCAATTCGAATCCATGCAGAAAACATCCATCAAATCCAAAAGGAAATAGTTCCAACACAGCATGGATGGTATGAGACCAGTGGTTGAGAGTGTGGGTGATTTCGACACCTTTTGTGTTTAAAAGAACAATGTCATGAACCTTGAACACTGCGGTATTTGATTGATTGTAATGTGCTTTGCCTGACCCCTGAATGGAATCTTAAAAATATATCGTTGTGGTGGACAAGATGAAAAAGTAAAAAAAATGTCATTCACAAACAAGCCCAACATCACCAAGAATCATGATGGGCATCAACAGGTCAAAGACGAGAAATTCAAAAGCTTTGCATCTCTGACACAGTGGCCATCATACAAGACATTAATAAGGACATTAGCTGACATCATGATGCAGCAGAGGCACAATGAAGAACATTTCTGGAAAGTTCTTCCAATCAAGAGTTCTATCAGTGGTCAACATGTTGCAACCAGTTCCTGGAAGGTTCTGCTGTTGTTGCTTCCTATTGTTTTATACATGTTTATTCATGTGGCACCTCTTCATCATCATCAACATGAACACCAACTTGGAATACTTTTTGTGTCAGCAGAAGAACCAACATTTTCATCATCCATGAGGAATACACTCCTGCAACCAACCATACAACCCATGCAAACGATACAACCTTCCATGCAGCTTCATCTTGAAAAGTACATTCGAAAACAAGTTTGCTCGTCTTCGAAAAAGTCCACTGAAGAGTCAACTGCCAACAACAATCAACCGTTGATTTGTATGCAGCAACAACAAGAAGAACCAATACAACGACGTTCGTTTCACCCACCAACACTTGATAGGAGTGGCACCTTATCTGAACTCGTGTCATCATCATCCATGACCAAATCTGACAGCATTCAAGAACAACCACCAATCACGAGTCAACACGAAACAGAACTCATCAGCCCAACACCACTCGCTCTTCATTCCTCTCTCGACAATGCAGAGACTTCAATCATCTCTCCTTCAAGATATGTCTTTTACAACACGACCTATTACTTTGGCTATTTCACAATTTCCTACTCGGTCTCCGGAGGGTCACCAGTTTATTTCGGAACCGTTGCTACCAATCAACTCTCCAGCATGCCCAGTTCATCCTCCTTCCGACAAATTTCCACACTCACTTCCTACTACAATTCCGAATATCGATTGGCCGTTGGAGGTCAAGCATCCTATTTCGTTTGGTACAATTATCACTCGAGTTCGAGTGCCACTCTTCAACTCTACACCTTTACCTACATTTACAAGAGTTATTCCACCTCTTACTCGGTGAGCATGACTCGTGGCGATATTGAAATGTTTTACTGTTACAGTTGTGTGAGCGTTCCCAATACTCGATACATTATTTCATTGAAAAGCACGACTGGCTCTCAACAAAATGTCTCTGTCGGCTACACGTACGATAAGACCCGCACACCAGAATTTACTGCACCCACTCTCTTCAGTACGACCAAGGTGTTTTATATTAATCCACTCGTGCCATATCCGGGAACACCTCCTCCAGTCTATGCCTATATTGCGTGTTTGAGTAGTAATGGATGTTCGTTTGAAATTACATTGCGTATGAGTGATGATTTACAAGACACGATTATTATTGTGATTGCTAGTGTGTTGGGATCTCTCGTGTTGTGTACATGTCTGATTATTGTGGTGAGTCTCGTGGTGTGTCGAGTCCGAAGAAACAAGCCTCCTACCAATTCCTTATTGGCCAATGGAAATACGAGCAATAATAACAATACAACAACAGCTCATATTCCAATGACTGATATGAAACCACCCATTCCAGTTCAACAACAACCCATCATGGTTTCTACCATTCCACCCATCAAACAACCTCAAGTGATCATTCCACAGACAACCACGACAACACCTTCTTCTACGACAACAACAACAACTCAACCTCCTCCCCTCAATACTACTTCAGGTCTACCTTATTATACCACCACAGCCAATCCATATAATACCATGCCAAATCCTCAACAACCTACAACCTATTACGTTCCGACTCAACCTCCTCTATATTCTACTTTACCAACCTCTCAATATAGAACTCAATCCTTTGTAAATCCTCAACAACAACCACAAATGATGATGGTCGGAATGCCTCCTTCTCAACCCGTGATGTATCATCAATCTCCTCAGATGTATCAAACTCAACAACAACCCACACTTCCTCCTCAACATCAGCAACAACAACCTTCAGGAGGTGTTCAAGGTTATTCCCATACAGGTACGATTGGCGCTCCTTTACCATCTTCTTCATCTGCAAATTTGCATGCCAATACCAACACAACCACTTCAACAACGAATACAGCACATAGTACTCTCAACACAACAACGGACACGGCAACTACATCTTCCTCAGTCTTTATTGAAACGTATCGTGAATCAGATGCTTCCAATAACGCGTCACTAAAGCATCAAACTACAAGATCTTCGAATGCACAAGACTCGGAAGATGATCGTTCCTTACTGAAAGGAAGATATCGAGTGATTGAAAAAGTTGGAAAGGGAACTTTTGGAGACTGTTATCTGTGTCATGATATCAAACGAAATAATCAAGCAGTGGCTGTAAAATCAATTCGTGTGGATGACAATGACATGGAGAAGGTCATTGATGAATGTTCCAAGACTCTCACTTTCAAACATCCAAGATTGGTCGAAGTGTACGAATTATTTAGAGCCAAATCTCTCGAGTCGTTGTGCTTGGTCATGAAATTCTATCAGAGTGACTTGGAAAAGTGTTTTAAGACTCATGGATTTTTCTCAGAGAAGGTCATTGTGGAATTGATTCGTCAAATTGGAGACGGTCTCGATTATTTACACAATACCAAGATGGTCTTGCATAGAGACATGAAACCAAAGAATATTTTCGTTGACAAGTTTGACCAACAAAGTCAGGAAATTGAGGTTGTCATTGGAGACTATGGTGAAGCAAAGGAAATGGGAGACACTACTAATTCTGTTCGAGGAACCATTATTTACATGTCTCCTGAATGTCTGACAGGTCAGAAATATAGTTATCCTTCTGACATTTTCTCAACAGGAGTTTCGTTCTTCCAATTAATGACAGGAGAAACATTTAGTAATATCGGTGTTGCAAGTCGAATGTTGGGAGAAGCCGAAGACCAAGTTTTGAATAGTTTGCGTGAGCAATTAAGCAAGAATCAACTCTATCATGAGCCTTTGATTAATTTTGTGTTGAGTATGCTCAAGAAGGATCCACAGAACAGACCAACTGCTGTGGACATGAAGAAGTTTCACTTGTAATTGAGAAGACATAAATTCGCTGATAGCAACCGAATTCTTAGTAAATGGCATTTGACACTTGAAATTGTGTAACGGAAATTTTGTTGAATATTTGATGTTTTATTTTCGGGTTGAATTGATGAAATTTAAATTATTGTTTATCACGTTGATGAGAGCAAGAACGCACCATCTTCATGGGTGGATATGTTCAATAATTTATTCATCTTCCATCTTATCACCAGTGGTGGTCTTCTTAGTGTTAGCTTCCTTTTCCTTCTTTTCTTGCTTTCTGTTATGATTGTAGTGGTTCATCATAATTATATTTGATTGATGTGTTTGTATGTTGTTGATACGTGTATATTCATTTTGAAAATAATATTAATACCATCACCATCAAGAATATTCAATATTATTCATCATGACGGATTCAAATTTCGGTATACATGGATAAACAAATAAACCATAGTCTACGATGATTGATTAGTACATACCTCATGGCACGATTGCTCTTGTTTTTCACGAATCGCAAGAACAACTCACTGTTAACGTCGTAAATCATTTCTTATGGGGTTTCAACGGTTTGTATGCAAAATATTTTTTAAACGCAAAAATTCAAAAATTTGAGTGAAAATGTTGGAATTAAAAAAAGAAACTCATGTTTACTTCAAAAGCACAAATGATTCATTCACCTTGCTGTTGTTCATTGTTGCAGTTTCTCATTCCACAAGAATGTCCAATTTAAAAATTCAAATCTCCACCATGATGATGTTTTTACGTGTTGTATCTGAAATATGCAAGAATATTCCAACCCTTATTGGTTCGAAAATGCAAAATTCTCGAATTTGCATTCCAATTTCAGCGCATTGGATGAAAAAGAGTCTCGCAACATGCATCATCGATTCCAAGTATACTTTTAACACATGCAATCATACAACAATGTATGTGATACACTGTTCTTATTCTTCATTCAAATTCAACAATTCTCGTATGGAAATGGACGTTCGTGCATGTCTCTTGGAAGAATCATTTTGATTCGATGCATGTGGTGTTGTCTTTGTGGGCAATGTTGACATGCATGTCGTTTGATTATTAGTTAATACAGAACTAACAGTAGTAATATCATTACTATCTGCAGTGAAAGGATTGGATGGTTGTAAAATTTGTTGTTGAATATGGTCATTCGTTGTGTTCGATGATAATGGTTGTTGCATGTCATTCAAATTCGTTTCCTTATTACCAAAATTCAAAGCTGTTTTCAATGGCATTGACATCATCTGATTTGAATGAAGTTTTTCAACATGTCTTTGATCCTCCTGACACATGTATTCACTTCCTCTCAAAATTCCCATGACAAACCCAAAAAAGACGGCCAACGATTGTTGTAATTCCAAATAACGTTGTCTTTCAGCATCAGGAGTGCATGATTGTGGTTTCATGGACGAAGAACATGCATGCGGTGTATGATGCTTCGATGCATGGCGATGACCTTCTCGGTAGGCACATGTTTTTTCATGCATGTGAGTGGATGATGACGAGGGTGTCGAAGCTTCATCACATGCTCTAGCAGACTCGACATGTTGTTTATTTCCATGATGATATGAATGCCATTGGAATTGATGAGAAGAGTAATCTTGTTGAAATTTCACATGGCGTGTTGGTCGAGACATTTTCGAAGGTTTTTCAATTTTTGATGTCGCCATTGTTGTTACATGTGGCTGATGTTGTTTTAAACGAGGACTACTGGATGTATCATTGGAAAAAGTAGCACGTTGTATGTTGCATGTATGAGTTGATTTGTGGTGTGGCAAAGTACGATCCTCACTTTTAGGTGGTTTGACATTTGACTTTTGAGAGACCATCGTGAGAGATTCGTTGTGTTTTTTTTGAGTTTGTTTCGACCACTACTATTGAATCTCCAGAATCATCGTTCCAACCTCAAGAGAGTATGTAAAAACAAAGCAAGCCCCTTGCATAAAAAAGGAATTTTTTGAACGCATTCGAATATTCAACCATTCCTTGCCTTATTTGATGCTATGATTCATCAGACTCGAAAAACTGGGTCATATTACCTGGTTATCTTTTTAGGATTATTAGTGCAGCCGGCGGAGGCATGGATGGGTCGGCCAAGATGGATTTTGTAAAAATTAATGTTGGTGCGAGGAAAAATTCTGTCCGTCATCAACTTGATTAATTGTATTTTCTATTCACCATTTCGGAACAACGGACGACTTGTTTGTTGAATAATACATTAAAATTTCTTCAAAAATCTGAGGAAACACAACATGATGAATGGTATTTTTTTACGAAAAATGTTACTAAAAGGGAGGTACGAGAAAACCCCCAACTCTATCAACTGCAAGATCGGTTGCCTTAGAAGCCTTAATGAGAATCATCGGGATGGGATAAAGGACAACGATGATCAAACTGGGACGAGAGTATTTTGTTGTTCTTCCTTCCTCAATGTTAGATCACATCATCAAATAACGTTGATCATTTTGATGTTCATGTTTCTTCTCGTTGTATCAATGGTTATATCTTATCGGAGCAATTACAATTATTTCTTGTCGTTGATGAGTAATTCGTTGTCTGTTTCAAATCACTGCTCAGCGAGTTCCAACGAAACGAATATATCATCACAGGTGATTCAAGGTCCAATTTTAAAACGATATTCCTTAAATCGAATGGACCAGAATCATTCTTTCATCAATTACGAGGGGATTGTGGAACGATTTATATGTTTGCAATGTTCCCCGTTTGCTACATTTTGGAAAATAGAAATACATCAACATGTGGAAGAATTCTTCCCGAATCCAATTCTGTTTTATCTTCCATCAATTTTGAACGAGACAGTCATACCTTTGGATGCATTTTACAATGCATCCATAGTCAATAACTTGATCCTTCATCAAGCCCAATGTCCCATATTTCAGAAATTCAACTCGCATCTCTTTGAACCCAAAGCGATGAAAAGAACAGAGTTTATGAGCCACGTCAAGAGTGAGGCCAATGCTACAATAATTATTGACTTTATCATTTCGAATAGAGGTCAGAACGTGACTGTATTTCTTCAACCAGAGCCACACCAACCAGTATCTTTCGTTTTGAAATTGGTTATAATTTGCTTTGCATGTTTCATTATTTTGAGCGCATGTTGTGGAGGCGTGCTTATTCTTCTGTTGTTGGGATTCAAGATATTAAGGAACATGAGAGATCATTCGTATTGGAAAAATCTATTACGAAACAATCATGCCTGGTTTGCCATGAAGGAAGAAGAAGAATTGAGTGCAGAATATAGAGAGAGTAGAGAGCCAACTCACAGCGAGGGTCAATATTATGAATAGAGGAATTATGTTTGAGTATGAACAAAAGGTAACTGTGATGAAGAAACCCACGAGTTCAACGCTTGAGAGACTTCAAATTGTTAGTCTATCACATTGTGACAATGGTGTCATCATCTATGATGAAAACCATGAATCACAGTGTTTAATTATTACCATCAATTTCACTCAATCTCACCAAAGAAGTGGAGTAAAGTACAATCTTCGAATCAACCACTTTCTAACCTCATCATAAATGATAATGAACACTCCCCATGGCAGTGGCAACAACCAAAACATGAACAATAATGGTCTCGTGGCAATAATATAATCTCCAATAAATGGAACATAAATCACAATCACCGCAATAATAATGGCATAAATAATTCCAAAATAAACAGCAAGATTAGTAAATAGACCCTGTGTGAAGAGACTCATTCTTCGTGTTCTGACAGCAAATAAGGTAAACCATTGACAAATCACAATGGCCAAGAAAAATGCAGCCTGAGCGGTACTCAAAATATCCAGCTGAGCTAACGGGCTCAACATCAAACCAGACTCGGCAATATATAAATATTTGGTGGATGTGAGACCGAAATACCCAAGGTAGGTCGCTCTGTAAAGATATCCTGGCGGAATTCCATACAAGCCCATACACAAGAAGAAGCTTGTAAACGCTGCAAAGGTCATGATCACTCCAAGTTGTAGATAGGCAACAGACAAGACACGAAAACCAACCAAAAGTTCAGTTCTTGGTCTTGGTGGAATGCTCATAATGTCACTCTCCTTTGTCTCGTAGGCCAAACACGTGGCAGATATCAAATCAGTTCCAAGATCGATACAAAGTGCTAATAGACCTGAAATGGCTGCTGGAAATCCTACTAGAACAAACAACAAGAATGGAATCCTAATCGAGATAAAGTTGAAAAAATAGTATGGCGTTAAATGTAAAAATAATAATATTCACAACATCATTTGCATGATCACTTACAGTTCAGGTAAAAGATGGGCCAACGTATATACAATGGATTTCTTGAGGTTGTCAAATATGAGTCTACCTTCTTCTACTCCATTGATAATTGAGGCAAAGTTGTCATCGAGCAATATTAAGGCTGCAGCTTCTTTAGACACGTCCGAACCGCTGTAGGCATGAAATTGGTAAACAATGATATAGTATTTTCGAATTGGTAATATTAGTAGCTACTTACCTTATATTCATTGCAATTCCAATATCTGCCTTTTTCAATGCAGGACCTTTTCAAAATAGAGCATTTACAACAAAATGAGTAAGTTGTAGCAGTACTTACTGTCATTGGTTCCATCGCCAGTCACAGCAGTGCAATGGCCTGCTTGTTGGAATCTGCTCACAATGATAAGTTTTTGTTGAGGTGAGGTACGAGAGAATACAACTTGCTTCTTTCGTAAAATGGTTCTCCATTCCTCTTCTGATAAACGATCGATTTGTTCTCCGTGTAACACCACTGCATCTACTCGTTGCCATGGAATGTCTTCAGGATTCACTCCCTCTTCTAAGGCAAGATCTTCACGTGTTTTACTTCCTGGATCAATAATACCGACTTGTTTGGCTATTGCTTTTGCAGTCGTAGGGTGATCACCTAATATTTTTGGTTAAGTATGAAATGTTATTATAATCAAATGAAATACTCGACTTACCTGTGACCATGACAACCTTTGAAAATTGTGAACATCAAAATAAATTTTGGTAAAAACGAAACCATTAAAATCAAAATAAATTTTGGTGGAAAAAATTAATTGCTTACCTGAATTCCAGCTCTCTTGCATTTTGCTACGGCCTCTGGTACTCCTACCTTAGGTGGATCAGTTAATGCTATCATTCCAAGAAAGCAAAAACCATCCGTTGGAATTTCAACTTGCTGTTCAGCTGTGGTTAAATCCTCACGAGATTCAGAGGCAAGTGCAATGGTGGGAGCAGAAGCTTCTGCTTGAATACCTTGTTGTTCTTTGGTTGCTGACTCAACAGCTCCCATTTCCTCCCTTACTTTTACAGTGTTGACAATTTCTGCACTTGTAAATCGTTGTGCTAAACCAAGAACTCTTTCACCCTTAGAGGCCATAAAATTGTAGGCATCTTGAAAGTGTTCTTTGAGGTCTTCATTCAGTGGTACGATTTGACCTCTCATAAGCATCGAGTTGCATCTACCAATAACACGTTCTGGAGCACCTTTGATAAGAGTAAGAAGTTGGCCATGCTCGAACAGATCCTTATTGACACACTCGTGAATGGTTAGCATCCACTTGTTCTTGGAATTGAAAGGAATGTCATATTGCTTGGGGAATTGACGTCTAATATCAACCAAAGTGGAGGAATTTTCACGAGTTTCAACAAACTTGATCAATGCAGTCTCTGATGCGTCTCCGATACATTCTCTAGAGTATCATTTAAATAAAACACAATGTTTTAAACAATGGATGGCTTATCAATTACCAAAACGTACCTATCTAAGATTGGTTTTTGCAAATTTAGCTCATTCTCAACAAAGATAGTTTTAGAACAAAGAGCACAACAACGGACAATTTTTTGCTCAGTAGTAAGGTCATTCTCTGAAATGTCTGAAAAGTTGGTCAAATTACCTGATGGCTTCTGCTTCATCATTCTGTTATAACGAACGTCAATAAAAGCACCATCTGCCCACATTTCCACAACAGTCATTCTATATTTCAATACATTCACAATTACAGTGTTGACGTGGTTAGCATGACTCAAATTAGCTCGCATGTACGATTAAAAACCTACCTATTTTGTGTGAGAGTTCCAGTCTTATCTGAACAAAGACAAGATACACCTCCCAGAGTTTCAACGTGCTCCAGCTTTTTGGCAAGTACATTGACGGCTATATTTATGGTCGGTCATTCACAAAATTTCGAGATAAATTTGTGAGATTCATCTGTTCAAAACATTGTGCAAAATAACTTACCTTGAAGTCTTCGTGCAGAAACAGTCAAACATAGGGTCATGGTGGCAAGAAGACCCTGAGGAATGTTTGCAACGACAATACCAATACTGTACAGAAAGACAACAAACCACGAATTTCCAAGAGCCAAACCAATGATAAAGAAAATGACAGCCATGATTAATGATATGGAACCAATAGTTCTAACAAAGTGATCGATTTGTCTACCGAGTGGTGTTTTAAGTTGTGTGCTCGTTTGTGCCATCACAGCAATTTGTCCAATAACAGTTGCATTACCAGTTCTAATAACCACACCAATGCCATTTCCATCAACTGCAATGGTACCAAAGAATAGTAAATTGGTAGCTTCGAGGGAATTGCGAACATTGGATTCGACACTTCTCGATTGAGGTTCACTTTCACCCGTCAGAGAACTGTTATCCATTTTGAGGTTATTGCATGAGAGAACTCGTAAATCAGCTGGAACCTTATCTCCAGCATTGATGACCACCAAGTCACCCTATTTTGATACAATACACAAGTGTTAAAAGAAATTAAACCATGTTGGTTATCGAAAAGAGTACCTGGTTCAAAACGAAAATATTGTTGAAAATATGTAAAAACTTACAAGCACCAATTCTTTTACGTCTACTCTTTGCATAATACCTTCTCTTAATACCATACAATTCGCAGTTTGAAGAGCCAAGAATGCTGCCATAGTTTTCTCAGAGCTATGCTCCTGAGCCAATGTGATAATGGCATTCATGATGACAACCAGCCACAAAATAGCTCCAAGAAATATGTTTGGAAACGAAGCAGGAGTTCTGTCAATGATCACATTGATGAAACACAATATTCCTGCACCTATCATCAAGAGGGCAAATAGAGTTGTGAATTGGTCAACAACTTTCCAAAAAAAGGATCTACCTTTCGGTGGAGCAAATTGATTAGGACCATTCACTTTCAGTCGCTCTTCTGCTACTTGTTGTGACAATCCGTATGAACCCTCAGGATTTTCAACATTAAATTGCGTTCCATACATTTCACAGACTTTCTCCAAACTCATTTCGTGTTCCTCAATTTTCACAATTTTCTTATGGGCTTGTTCGACCTCCTTTTTGTGTAAATGAGACTTGATAAAAGTGGTAATGTGACGTCTTTTGCGTTCTTTTTGTCTCTTTACATCCTGCACTTGTGCATCATGAACAATATCAATCGATTGTCTGGATATGAGAATCCAATTTGTGAAAAATTAATCGTGGCAATTAATATTTTCCACCACGATCATGAAATTAATCCATCGTCACCATTTCCAATTATCAAATTCTTTTTTTAAAAACACAATAACACATACCTTACTTCTTCAAAGAGTCGTGGAATTGTGGTTGCTGTAGTAATACCTTGTGCCTGAAGAGATGGCCTTGGCATGAGCATGGATAGAACAGAGGACCGACGTCTTTCCAATCCAGGAGGTAAGTTGGCTTGTTCTTTAAATTCCTTCTCAGCGGCAGGCACTTGCTCAGAGGGCATTGCTGGTTGTTGTGCTGGCTGTTGTTGAGAAAGGAATTGTTGGTAGGTTGGAAACAAAAAGCTTGCTCTTCTCATTGGATATACAGAAGGAGAGGGTGGTGGAATGTCATACTCTGCTGCAGGAAACACATCTTCTCGTTGTAGTTGTTCTGGTTGCTGTGGTTCTTGAAGTGTTGCAGGTCTTCTTGTTTGTTCACTCATATTTGAAGAAGGTAACAAAAGATCATGCTCTTCATGTGTTGATGATTCCTCTCCATGTGTACCAGGTTGTATTTGAGAGGAAGAAGAAGACGACTGCTCGTTCATGCCTCCATCATTGCCACCAATATTCATGTTTTTTCTTTTTCAGTGAAAGGTACCAAAACAATTGAACAAGCCTAGACAATTTCCATCCATGACACCGTTATCAGCAAAGCAGCAACATGAGCATCTTACAAGTTGTATTTTAACATCTTTCCAGCTTTTAGAAATTATATAAATATGTTCAACCACCCAATTTTCGCATCTCCAATTCTGTAAGCAAGATTCCGATCTATCGATAGTAATCTTGTTGGGATGAACCGTTCAAGATCTCATCCGAGTGGTTACTGAGCCTATCACTTCTTGCGTATTTCAAAATCCGAGAGAGCTCACCGAGAAGTTCAGAGGATGATGATGAAAACATTTTTTTCCAATTTCATCTCATTATAAAAAATGGACGAGGTCGAAAGTAAGTTCGTGTGCGCGTGCTGTTGCTGTTGTTGTTGAAAGGATGAGTCCAATAATAATAATAATAATAACAATGGATATTTTATAATGATATGAATAATTGATAATGATGGCGCGGAATGTTGTGTTGATGATGATATGGATGAAATATGAAAATGATCATTGATGATGGTTTGATGAAATGTTTTATCATGTGTTTAACGGAATCGTGATCCGTGTAATGATTGCGGAACGGAATTCTAAATGATTATGCCATCACACTTTTTTGTGGATATATGTCTGTAATATGGAAATACGAATAACAACAACAACAATTTGAAAATGATTCACCAAAATAATCATCATCATCACACTTAGAACACATGAAAATAATTATTATAGGAGACGGTCAGGTGGGAAAGACAAGTCTGGTTCGCCGATTTGTGGACTCAAAATATGATCCGGATTATAGGCAAACGATTGGTGTGGCATTCAAAGAAAAACAACAATATATACCTGAACCTATAAACGAGGCTGGTACGTAAACTGCATTTTGCACAAAATACAATGTTATTAATGAATACACCCGTTATTTCTCATGGTACACAATATTGGACATGTAATAATGTGCGAACATTACAATTTAAATTTGTACATAACATGACATTTACGAAAATTTTTGACAACACGACGATGAAAATTATGCAATCGGGAAATATGAAACTCTTCAATATGACATTTTGAAACATAGTAACATTTATGCTTTGGGATACTGCTGGACAAGAAGGTACGTATACCAACTTGGGCAGTTCTTTTTTCGCGATAATGACGATTTGTTGTCAAAAATTTTCACATTTAACATTGACACAAACTCTCATATAATATAATGTGACAACAATTATCATTCAACAATTACCATATAATACCATTGTAGAATTTGCTGACATGACTAGACAATATTACAGAGGTGCCAAAGGTGCCATTTTGGTGTTTTCAACAACGGACAGAAGAAGTTTTGAAGCCATCAAGGCATGGAACGAAAAAGTCGATACACAATGTGACGATACCAATTTATGTAAAGTTTTAATTCAAAATAAGATTGATTTAATAGACCAAGCAGTGATTCAACCGTAGGTATATGACCGGAAATTAACATGTTGATTGTACCATGAACAAATTATTTCTTCTCATTCATTGATGAACAAATTACTCAACATGTGTGATTTTTGTGGATTTCCATTAATACAGCTCTGAAGCCGAGTCACTTGCTACTGAGCTTGGTATTAAATTTTTCAGGGCTAGTGTGAAAGAAAATTTAAATGTCACAGAGAGTAAGTTACTAAATTTTTTTGGACTGTGATGACTGAATCAAAACGATTACATGCTTATATTTTGCTGCACCTGAATATTCTATAATTCAACACAAAAAGTTTTCCAAACACTCGCCATTGATTATTATAAAAAATTAGAAGAAGCAGCTCAAAACGAAGAACAGAATACTAACCACACATCTCAACCCACAGACAACCCACAGGATACCAATAAGGTCAATCTTAACCAAGAACCTCCAAAAGATCCAAAAAAGAAGAAGAAGTGTTGCAATTAATACCAGTATTTTTACATGTCGCCATCAGAAAGTAAAACACTCCTTTTCATTGTTTAATATTCATGTTGTTTATTATTTACTCATCACTGTCAGCGGAGAGTTTTTCCTCAATGTTTTGAATCCTCTTCTTCAGGTCAGAAACTGTCAGAGACCGTGCGTTTTTCAGCTTGGATTCTTGCTGAACGAGCTTTAACTGCCTTCGGATGTCATCAACGGACGTAATTGTTGGAGTTTTTCTTGTTGGTGACACAGAAGAAGCAGCAGGCTGGCTTTTCTGAAGAGTTGTTGTTGAGACGCTTCTCGAAGTGGCATCTTGCTTTGAGGCTTCATATTGAGCAATTTTAGCAAGTTGACGATGAATGTATTGTTGGAATGGTTCGCTGCATTTGGATAGGTGTGTATTGATACTCACACTGGGATGCGTCTTTTTGAACTCGTACAATTTGTATAATCCAGAATGCGTACTGTCCTTGTTACTAATTAAATTAAATATTTCGGTAAGCTCGTCTTGAATCGCTTTCTCATTGATTCCGTTTGCAGACTTTGGAGGTGAGGGTCTTGTTGGTTTTGCTTGTTGTGGTTGAGTTTGTTGCAACGTCGATGGTTGACCTGTTGTTGTCACAATTGTGTTGCTAGTACTAGTATTCTCACCATTTGCTTGAATGTTGAGATTATTAGAGGTGACAGCTATTGATGTTGCAACAGCATTACTTGAAGCATTTCCGTTTCCGTTGGTTGTCATTGTTGGTCCAACAGAACCTACTTGGACTTGCTGATTTCCAGACGAAGTGAGCATGAGTTCAATGTATGAAATAATGAGAGGGTTTTTGTGAGTGGGTATTAGATTGAGGCACGATCTTATACTTTCTCCTTTGACCTTGACCAACTCATTAAGAATGGTTTTCACAGTCCTCAGCGGCAAATCATTTCTATCCTTAAACAAGGTGGGAGGATTGTGTGTCAAAAAGCTATGTAAATCCATCAATAGAATATCCACATCAACTCGTGAAATGGTAGCAGCAAGGGCTTTTGTTAACTTGATAAGACATTTCACCACCAACTCTGAATACTTTTTCAGAGCAGGATTAGCATACGAATATTCCAACAAGTGTATGAGAGAGGTATAAGAGAATGTCCTGTTTGAATTTTCCAATACTTTCAGCATGAGTGAGTTAAGTCCTTTCAACAAATCTTGTCCATTTTCGAGAGAGGGTAATCTTTCATCTAACAGACGGCTCAGCAACTGATCGATCGTTCTTTGCAAAGTTTCCTGTGGAACAAATGCAGCCATTTGTCTATCATTGAACAGAGACATGAGTGTGGAAAGAAGATATTTACAAATTCTAGTTGAGACTATTCCTGCTGACGCCTTTTCGAAAGAATATTGAGTATTTTCAGTGAGACACTCTACAAGTTCTTTCAAATACGAGAGGATGGCAGGTCTACATGATTCATCCTTAAATTTCATCACTAGAGTTTTCAGAGCATTAATGGCAACCTCTGATCCATGCTCGCTTGTGTTGATTGTGTCTACCAACTCTCCTACAGAGAGAGTTGAGTGAATCTGCTCTTTTCGAATGGTTTCTTTCACAGGAGATCTTTCAGGCATTCTTGGAGTAGAGTTTCCTGTTAGAGATGTATTATGTGGTTGATGTTGTGGCAATTCTGGAATGGTGACTTCAGAGGAAGACATGTGTGGTGTAACTGTTTGTTCTTCGATCTTTTCTAAATCCAATTTATACTCATCAACAACGGACGGTGATTGCGCAGTAGTTCCCAATTGCAAACGAGGAATAATAGGTAAGAATGGTTTCAGAGGTTGTACAGTAACTGTTTTTGACTGCATTACATGTGGCGGCGAAGGAGATCGGTTTGGAGATGAGGCCAGTGTCTTGGAAATGTTGGCACGTTTCTTCACTGTTTTTGGTTGCTTGGAAAATTCTGATTCGGGATCATTGTTGCTCATGATGTAACCTGGATTAAAAGTGTTTGATGTAGAAACGGCGGCAGAGGATGGCGGATGTGAACCAGTTGTCGCCGCAGTCGTTTGTCTACTTTCTACATTGAGTGATCTGCTCACATCCCTTAATGTCATCTTTCGCTCAGGTTTTTGTAACGTTGCAGGAGTGCTCGAGAGATTGACGGATTGAGTGAGTAGTTGAGGTTGTGACGAATCGCTATCAGTTGGAAGAGGTGCATGCTTTTGTAAAAGAGGTGCCAAGCTCTTCTGGAAAGCAGGTTTCAGCTCTCTCACCTGTTTTGAAACATAATCATAGCCTCCATGCTGTAAAATTTCAGAAAGAATTGCTTCTGCTAGCTTTCGCGTATCAGGTCTAGAAGCCTGCAAATATTCCAATAAGGGTTTTACCAAAGGAGAAAAAATGTCAATATTCTTAGTTTTCATGGTTGCCAAGTGGTTGTAAATAAATTCCAGTACTTCCTTCTTTCCTTCAGGATTGCCTTTTTCACTGGTGATGGCTTTGGGGAAAAATTTTAACATACTCTCGAATGGAAATACAGAAATGTACTTGTCCAAAGATTCCAACGCTGCACTTCGAACTGCCTTATTATTGTGCATGGATTTAGACACAATGCTTGGTAACAGAATTTTCAAAAACTTTTCCATATCTGATCCAACAGCCTCTGCAATTACATCTAAAAGAGTGAGTGTCGTGGTAACCACCTTGATATTGGCATCTTCCAGCCTTTGTCTTAATGCATGAATGAGATCCAGAATATTTGGTTGAATTCGCTTGTGGGCGTCATCAGTGATAATCTTTTCAATTGTTTGTAGCGCCTCAACTCGAATGATCCAATTTTTATCGTCGAGCGAGTGATAGATTTTGGGAGCGATTTTTGGCATAATGTCAAACCTTGGAAGAGAATTTTCGTACGCGCTCATGCTGAGTTGTATCCTTTCTTGTCCCTTAACTTTACGTGTTGGCTCTGGTGGCGGCCCATCGACTTTCTGAAACTCTTTTTTAACCATGTCTAACAAGGCAGGTTTTGTGTCTGAAAAAAAATTTAACAGACCTTCTCCCATATATGATCGCATGGCAACAATCATTTTTATACAACCTTTCTTGATGATTGGATTGCTATTTCCCAAATACTTTTTCGCAAAATCGATCAGTTCTGGAGTGCTAAAGCATGCAATACTGAACTCTGTTATAACTTCACTCAGCCATTCCAAAATAGATCCAATCAATTTTGGTGGCTTGTCATCCAAGTTTTCACAGATCTTAATAAATAGATACTGAGGATTGATGGATTCACAAAATGCTTTTAAACCTTTTTTAGCTTGCACATCAACTTTTGGCGTTATGAGCTTATCAACCATCCATGTGATGGTTGGTAATGCATTTAGTTCTCCAGATTTACCATCTGTCTTGTTGAGAATGCATTCAATCATGTCAAAAATCTTCTCTAATACTTTGGCATTGGATTCTTTCAATCCGGGTTTGTATTGAAAGAGACCTATGATGTGATCTTGCTTGGCTTCTAGTGTTGATTTTTCCAGTGAATTAATAACGGATTCAATGTTGCAAAGGGCTGCAATTCTATCACTCCAATTGCTATTGGTAAGCTTTTCAATACAAGCCTCCCCAAATAATATCTTGCATTCTTCTAATACGTCTGACGCAGATAGGGTGATAGCAGGAGCTGAATTGCTGCCACTATTATTACTTTGTTTGTTCAGAGAGAGTGATTTTGAGGTTGGTACTTTAGATCTCTTGGTGGAGCTTGAGGAGGGTTTGGTTTCCATGGTTCGTGAGGGAGGTCGAGATACTGAGCCGGCGGATGACGGTTTTTGAACTGCAGAACTTGCTACTTTCTTATGTTCTATGGATTGTGATAGTTTTTTGCTAAAATCACTGTCGATTGGAGGAGTTCCATAAGATTCCAAATACTGTACAATTTTTTCCTTCACATGAGATTCTAATTTCATAAATACGCTTGTTTGACCAGACTCTCCAACTACCCAAATAAGGCGAGCTATAATTTTACAACAAGTATCGCGCACTTCAGAGCTTGCATCATCTGTGAAAGATAGTAAATGATTGGTCAGAGATTTGAGAGCTTTTTCCAAATCTTTCTTCTTTTTGTTGAGCAAACACCGTTCTATGAGAACAAATATTTGCAGTTTTTCTGAAGTTGAGGCAGTCTTATTGTTCATGGCTGAAAAAATAGTTTCTAGCATGTCAGTAAACGGAAACGTAAAAGTGTCAAACGACACCAGACATTCAATTGTAGGGTCAGCCAACTTCTTTTCTTTCAACTTGGTCAACAGACGTTCATAGAGGGATTTGGCCGTAATTATAAAATCAGACTTCATTGCTTTCGAAAAGGCATTCAAACAATCAATAGATTCCTTCACAACCGTAACATTCTTTTCTCGTTGAATAACCACATTGATAGCAGAAAAAACGTTTGAACAATCACATCCCTTCTTGATATGAAAGCTTTCAACAATTTTTTTCAATTCTTCAAAGGCGTTTCTACGTATGGACCATTTTTCATTTTCAGCATCATTGTACCAATCCTTTCTCAACTTTTCATTGATATCAACGGTCTCTTTTTCTTTTGTTGGTGGCTCAATATCTTTGAGGAGTGACGAGGTAATGGTGGTTGAGAGGGTAGAAGTCTTGGATGATGCAGCATTGAGAGTAGATCTACAGAATCGTGTTACTGCAGCTGGTGACTTGTCCTTAATAAGGTCAAACTCTTCTTTTAAAGCCTTCATTTTGTTTGGCTTTACACTTGTCAAGTGTGCCTCAACAGCTTCAAATCCAAGCCATCGGAAGGTTTCCATTGCGAGTTTGTGTGCCTCCTCTCGCACGCTCGCATCATCAAGAATACTGGGGAGACTTTGTAAAATTATTTTAGGAGGTATGGTTGGAAAACCAAAATCGTGCACTGCTGTTTGTACAATGCCAATGCATTGTGCTCGAAGCTTTGGCTTCTTATTCGAGAAATGGCCCTTCAGTATTGATATAATACAAGTAGGATCAGAAACTTCAATATACAATAATATGATTTCAATACTCTTGGATTGAACGGATGGTTTTGAGGGTAGACCCTTCTCAATTAAGATGGGAATAAATTTCTCGGCTGTACTAGGCGCGTTTTTGTAATGGTTCACAAAATGATAGAGAGTTTCCACGGCTTTTTCCAAAACGCTTGGATGTCTATTGTTAAGCGCTTGAATGAGTTCGTTTTCTGTTTTCAATGTCATCAATAATTTCCATTTCCAATAGCGGCATGAAAAATTTGAATGAACAATCGTGAAAGAATAATAATGTTTCAGTAATAATAAATTATGTTGCAGTAAGAATGGCATGGTGATGATAAATGATGATTGTAGTACATACCGCTGGCTTGAAATACAGAATCCGTTGAGTCCACCTGTTTAAATTTCGTACATAATTGCTCGAGTTCATCCACTTTCTTTTTCCATGCTGGGTTGTCATCATTTGACGACGAGTTGTTGACATTTTCTTCCAATAATTGTTTGCGTAGCATATTCTCAAACAATAAATTCGATGATGGTGGTGTGGCTTCTTCAAAAGGAGAGGTAACACTATTGGGAACATCAGTCATGACTGGTGTTGGCAGCGACAAGGGTTGCTCTTCCGAATTGTTATTGCTTGTTGTTGTGGAGGACGGATCAGCCACTCCTCGTTTTCTTGCTGCTGGGATGCGAATGTGTATTTCAAAATCATCATTTTTTGTTTCAAATCTTTCTGTTTCAAAAGACCTTGGTGTTTCATTTTGGTTAAGGCCGTCAGCACAGGAAGACTCTACTCGTTCCGTCATGTCATTTTCTGGTAACAGTTGTTGAACCTTATCCGTGGATGATGAAATTTCGGCTGATGATGAAGTTGTAGTTGTTTGAATTTCCTCAACCTTGCTTGATGGGTCTTGTTGTTTCATTTTCCGAGAATGCAAAGCCGTTGACTGCCCGTTCGAATTTTGAGGTATCGGTTTTATGGGCTGCTCATCAAAATTCATGTTACTTGAATTCGTCTTTGTTTTGGGCACTCTAACCCCTCCCTGTAATTCATTATTTTTCAACCGTTCCTCTTCCTTCCTCAATTCCTCTTCCAACATCTTTTGAAAGAGATCGTGGCTCGACGGGAGTTGAGGTTCAACCACTCCTTCAGGTTCTGCTGCTTCATCATGCAAAGTCATTATTTTTTTTAAGAGTTCAAAACAACTAAAAAATGGCGGGCTTGGTTTACAACACACAAGTGGGCGATGCGATTACATGGGAAAAGGAGTATCATAACACTGTTAGAGGAATTCGCCAAGTTAAATGTACAAAGGAATGTAAAGTATTGCATTCAAGTTAATGCAAAAAAATGTCTGAACTCAAACATGTGCTTTCATTTGCGTTTGATAAAATTCTGAACCATGCCACTCCGTCAAGCCTTACCAATCATATTGATAAACCTAACAACCTTTCTCCTCCACTTCTTGGTACATCATCAACACCTCCTCCGATAACGATACCATCAACACCTCCACCTCTTCAGCATAAAATTCTCTCCATTGATGCAGGCTCCTCGAAATTCAAAACTTGTTTTTTTGACTTGGAACATAAAGATGCTTTCCGATGTGATGATGGAAGTAGTGATAAAAAAGCAATGTACACGACGATTGCTTTGATTATTAACATGTTGGACCAACATTCACAGAGAATTCAAATTATTAATCATCCATATCCGCTCTCTCATCATGTTTCATTGGCTAGAGGAGAGGTTTTTGTGTTTTTTTATAATTGGAAGAATATGATGTTTCCCATCTCGGAAATCATGACTGATGAATTTGTGAATCGAGAAATGAAAAGACAATCGAATTTTGTTGTGTGTGATGAAAGGACGCTTTTTATTAATTCGGGCAATGTAGAAATAACATCGGAGGGAGTGCAAGTTACAATAACGCCCTCCCATGTTCGCAAAGCCAAACAAACAGCACCTGAAAATTCGATGCTCCAACGTCATGAGGGAGAAAAAATATTATTCTCAAAGAAGGATATTGTGACAGAGCTCTTTAAATATTGCTTTAATTCTCACATTCAATTGCCGAACGGAGTTTCATTGAAGGACTGTGAAATTTATGTTTCCATTCCATCCAAGGTTCTGTTCAGAGATCGTGAAGTATTTCGAGAAATTATTTCAACAATTTCACAAAATACTAGCAATGTTCATGTGGTACGGGAATCTGTGGCTCTTTGTTACTATTTTCATTATGCATATTATGGAAATGGTCATCATTTTAAAACATCATTAACAATGAACGAATCAGCAACAGAGATTGGAGAGGCTGTGACATTGTCACAATCCGTTTCCACGAAAGCAGTAGCCATTGATATAGGTCATTACTCATCCGATGTTGCTGTTGTGGAGCTTGAAAATGAGTACAGTATCAATATGACCAGTGCTTATTGTTTGTATCATGGAGGACACAAAGTAACGGTTGATATTTTGAAAAATATTTTACATCCTGACGCTTTAGAAGAGTTGAAAAAGTCTGAAGAAAAATTTTGGAGAGAGGTCTGTAAAATGAACGAATGTAAAGAAACGATATTCGACCTCGATACGAAATGGGATCTTGACAACCAACAAGTTAAAAGTGGTCAGGATGGATGTGTCATTGATGATGTTTTTTTATCCTCAGAAAATATTAAGCAAATTCTAGATCAAAATTTTTTAGACATTGTCGAATTGTTGAAAAAGCTTGTCGATTCTAATTCAAGCAAGTATTTAATTCTAGGTGGGCCAGTCTCTAAAACTAGATTATTTAAGAACTATGTGAAAAGTTTTCTTCATAACACTCCATGTGAAATTATTTTCACGAAAAATCTATATGATATTTGCATTGGAACCTTCCTTTACGCTGCCAACAGTATTTCACAGCCCATATATAATAATTCTCAAGTGAGCAGTGTGGAGAGCATTGGCAGTTCGACCAGTATTTTAGCGTCACCATCAAAGATTCGATTTGTGAATTCTTCTCCCATTGATCATGTGTTTTTATTTTGTAAGTATCAGACAGTAATTAATTATACAATTTTTCAACAACGTTCAAAATTTCAACATGAATATCATTTACAGGCATGAAAGATATTGTTTGTACCAAAGTACCCAACTATATCAAACGCCGATACAAAGGCATTTCACTCGAAATGTATAACCAAATGATTGAAGATGGTAAGTTGTAGTTTTTTATATGGCCTTGTATCATTGTTATGCCAATTGGCACTTCAAAATATTTTCGAATATCTATGGGCATGGCACAATCTTGGAATGAACTTGTAGTTTACGGCCTTGAAAAAACAAGACGGCTTAACATGTACAATTTAGAAGATCAAAACGTTCTCGATGTTGATACAAGACAGGAGAGACCAACAAGTCCCATGGTTTCCTATCTCACTCTTGACACAGACGCCTCATTTATTGATTTTGAAATTTATAATGCCACTCTCGCCAACGATTCCATTTTGAAACAAAAGAGAGACATGGCTGTGAAAGGATACTTTATTGATCCGAGTCGTCAAAGAAATTATCGAAGAATTTACACGGCTGAAGGAGCTAAAATTTTCGGACTCGACGAAATGAATTTTATTCGACGAGTGAAAATTACAGGCTTTCCTAAATTTAGTTCTCGTAAAAAAGAATTGACCAAACTAATGGAAAATTGGGGATATACTGATGAAGAAATTGATTTTATTTTGAGTAGTTGCCGGGTGGATTATCAAATCAGCGGAGATGACAATCTTTTAATTCAATTTTCAAATTTATTGGAAACTATTAATTTTAATCCTCTCGAAATTCACACAAGTCATGTCATTCCATGTACCATTGAAGATGCATTGTCTGACGAAGTGTCAGAAGAATTCGATCAACAAGTCAAAGAACTTGCCGTATCGATCGAATTGAGCCATAACGCCGTTGAAACTTTGAAAAAGGAAAAATCCGTTTCTGCATTGCGCAATGCATCCACAACCTCCAAAACAAAAGTACTTCGTGCGAGAGGAATTGACATTATTTCAATCATTAATGAACATTTAGCGAGTAGTGGAACCACTTCCAGTAGTGGTGGCACTAGTCATGGCAATAGTCAACAACCTTCTGAAATTCATGTCAAACACGATCTTGTACATGAACCAACGGATCAGTTCAATTCATCAACATTGGAAGCAGTATCTGAGAAAAACAAAACCAGTCCAGAGTTGCTCTCCAACACAAGTCATTCTGAAGTGCTTTCAAATCTTCAAAAGAGGAAACGAAATGTCTATGAAAATGACGATGATGATGCCTTTCTTCTTGCCTCGGGTAGTGGTGTCAGTCATTTATTGCTACAAGCAGACAACAACAAGAAGAAGCCAATGAAATGAATATATATCATTCATGAATCTGTCGTTGTATCAAAGAAGAAACAGTTGCAAGAAACGGAACAGATCATACACTCCATGTTCGTTATCCGAAACTCTGAAATTGTCTCACTTTCCAACTTGCTCTTCCTTTTCCAAATCAAAAAGACATTCATCGACTTGAAGATGAAGACATCATTATAGAAATTAACTATTTGCAATTCAACCTTAATTGTGAAATAGGATGGTCATACCTCTTACAAAATTGGAAGGTATGATGACGTTTTTGTGAAATTTTGTTCAAGAATCGACTGCTGTTATGTAATTTGGAAAAACTCTTTCTGAGGGCACGTACTGAGAAACTCAAATCCATATGAACGTGAGGATAACTCATCATATCAAGAAGTGTTAAAAAAGATTTTATCCAAATCTGTCCATTTACCATTTTTACAATGATGATACACACATGCATGACCAGTCAACAACAACAACAGCCACTACTGCTGCAACTCACACTGAAAGGGATATTCACTGTTTTGTACCAACCCTGTGCAACAACAACCTTGATTTTCATCTTGAAAAAAACAAACTCAAAAACTCTTCAATGAAATCACAACCATTCCATAGAAAGCTCCTTAGTGTGCTTTTGGTAGTGTCTTTCATGACGCTGCTATTGTTACTACTCATTCATGCTCAACAGCAGCCACCTCCTGCTCAACCTTCACCTGCACCTTCTCCTCAACAACAATCTCAATCTCAGACACAGCAAGGTGCTGGACAGCAACAACAATCTCAATCACAAGGTGCTGGTGGTCAGCAACAAGGAGGTCCTCCACAACCTCAACAGTCACCACAACCTGGACAAGATCAACCTGTAGGTGGACAAGGTGGTGGACAAGGTGGTGGACAAGGAGGTCAGCAACAACAAGGTGGTCAGCAACAACAAGCACGACGTCTCATGCAACAAATTTCAATGGATTTACGAGTGATTCAATCTGCTGGTCGAAGATGTTTTAGTAATATCCAAACTCAGCAGTTTCCTACAGGTCAGAATCTACAGCAACAACAAGGTCAAACGGATTCGAGTGGAAGCAGCGGTGGTGGACAACAGCAAGGTTCTGGTGGTCAGCAACAGCAACAACAAACTCAACAACAACAGACAAAACAACAGAATCAAACTCAGACTGTACAGGTACAAACAACCACTACTCAACCTCAACAATCGCCCCAACCTCAGCAGTCGCCACAACCTCAACAATCACCCCAACCACAGACGTCACCACAGCCACAGGCATCGCCACAACCACAAACGTCACCACAACCACAGACATCGCCACAGCCACAACAACAACAAGGTGGTCAACAACCAATGCCCCCATTCTTCATGCCACAACCACCTGATCAAGACTTGTTTGGTGGACGCGGTGGTGGTTCTCAACAACAACGAGCTTGCAGCGTAGTCTTACAAGCCACTCAAGCACTCGTCAATAACACACAACAATTACAAGCTATGGCTTCTTCATTACCGAATAGTACAGTCGAAGCATTGCAGAATTTGACACAAATTGTACCCTTATTACTCGAACATGCACAGAATGGAAATTGGAGTTTGTATCAAACAGTATTGCTATCATTCTTGTCAAGTTGGCAAGGTATTCAGAGAGCGAGTCCAAGATTTGGAGATTTGGATGATTTCATGCCACCTTTCATGCCCCCTCCATTTGGGGATGAAGAAATGATGATGGGTGGTCAACAGCAAGGAATGATGGGTGGTCAGCAACAAGGAGGTCAACAACAAGGTGGTCAACAACAACAAGGAGGTGGTCAAGCTGGTCAACAGCAACAAGGCGGTGGTGGCAGACAGCAACAACCAATGAGAAGACCTTATAGTCATTTTGATGACTATGATGGTTATGATGATGAGGGTTATTATCCACAAGATTTTCCATTCATGCCACCTTGGTGGAATCCTTACGGTCAACCTTTTGAATGGGGTTTCCAATAACTGAACGAGGTTTTAGAAAGGAAGATCGCCTTGATCGTTATGACTCGTGATCAATAACAACACATTCTTTGAAATAAAAGTGTGAGAAATGAAAACGAGTGACATGTTATCAAGAAAACTATCGTTGTGACCAGTAACCGATTGGACTGCAATCACTTCACCTTATCGAGAGAGTTCTTTCGACGACAACGACTCGATGGTATCTTTCAGTCGTTCTTGTAACAGTTTCGGCGAGTATGGAAAGAGATTCTTTTGATGCAACGAGAATATTTGGTTGTGCAATTCTTGCAAAAACTCTGAAATAACCTGTAGTTTTTCTTTCACATGGCTTACATCATACGAATCAAGTTCTTCTTTTTTCAATTCATTCGTCATGTTATATTTGACCCACTTCGCAAATTTGAACAATAATTGTAATGTATATTCACATGTTTCATCCGAAATTAAATAATCCATCATGACATTGGTATTTTTTGAAAGAATTTCAATAAATTGAAACATGACTTCCAAAGGATGTAATTGTTCCTGAATGAACGAATCAAGCATCTCCTTCTTAGTAAAATGTTCACCACAACCTGTAGGTGCTGATTCTTTCCATGCTCGGAAAATATTCAACAATGAATTGAATATCATTAATAGATGTACGTCATGAGAGACTCCAATAGCATTGATGTATGCATAAAAATCAGTCATAGAGGTATGTTCAAGTATTTGTGACAGGATGTTTTGATTTCTCGTCATAAAAGACTCTACAATTTCAAGGCCCTTTTCATGGAGAGAAATACAAATTTCAAACGCTCGTAAAGCCAACAAAAAGTACTCCCTTGCCACAATCGAATCCATAGTTTCTGAAACGAGTGTTTGAGATGCATTTGGATTCATGAGTAGAATTTTGCTCAAAAAATGCTCAAGAATGAATGAACATGTCTCAAGCAGAGTTGGTACTATTGCAGCACAATTGCTGATATTAATGATTGATCTCATTATGGAAAAGAGCTTCTTACAATTCACGTCCATACTTTCGCGTTTCACAAGTTGTAACTTGACAAAATTAATAATTGCTGAAATTTCACGAAACTTCTCACCGTTCGAGTCGTCAGCCGGCTGATTTAGACACTTCCAAAATTTCAAATAATTGTAAATCAAATCATCCATGATGAACAGCAATGTAAATGCCAACTGTTGATCTGCCAGAGTTGAACATGTGAGCTCTATAAATTTAGAAAATATTTCATACAGATTTGAAGTTAATTCCTCACTCAGTTGGTCTCGTTCCTTCCTTACATATTTGAGGCAATTTCTCAAAAACAATAATGGTTCCGTATTTGGATTAAATTCTTTGAAAATATCGAGATGAGTCTTGAGCAGGTTTTCAGAAATATTTTTCATCACTGCATGAATGATGAATTGTTTGGTTGTTTCCGAAGATTCCAACTTCCATAAATTGAATAGACACTTTTGACTAAGGAAAATAACCATGCGTTCTCGAACCAGCCAACAGCTTTGAGAGTGTAAAACATGTTCCGAGGAAGAAGAAGTGAATGAATGAATATTCGCATCCATGACAATTGGACTCGAGAGAATGGGTATCAGTACATTAAAAACAATTTCAGATATCAACTTGTTCATTCGGGATGATGATTTCTCATGTTGAATGATGTTCAAGACTTGATGATGTTGAAAGAAATTTAAAATCTCAAATTCAAAATGATTTTTTCTCATCAATTCTCTCATTGATATATCATCACTGTGATCATTCTTATTATTCAAATGAATATCATCATCATTCTCTTTCGGAATTTCCAGCTTAACATGATCCAATTTTTCTTGATCCGTCCACAACAGTAATTCGTTTAATAACAACACGGCTCCTTTCCATTCTTCATGTCCGTAAACATTCGGTAATTTCATATCATTCTTCAGTGAGTGTTCTTCTGTAACATTTTCAATTTTTCGTTTTTTCGATTTCATTACAATTTTTTTAAGAACAAAAAATAACTGAAATCATCACAATGATCCATCATCATGTTGAGGAACTTGTTCATGAAAAATTGAATAGTAAATATCTATTGAATGATGATGATGATGGACACCATCCATGTCGAATAGAATTGCTTGATTTTTTAATTCCATCCAAAACTTCAAATTCCGAACCGTGTTTGATACCATTTCAACAACAACTGAAAAAGAAAATGATGCGGTGCAGAAAGAAGATACCAAGACCATTCAGTACAAATTTTCATTTGAGTCATTCTTTTAAAATGGACGATTGTTATGGTGTAGTGATGGCTATTTCACGAAATCATAATTGTTTGTTCATAAGTTGTGATCTGAACAGAAAAGGCTTTGAGTTGTTATATTTTGGCACCTTACACCTTACACTTAGTGTCAGTGCTGTTTTCATTTGACACTTGAGTGCCAAATGAATGAAGTGTGATTTGTATTTGACACTTGAGTGTAAGGTGCTATTTGTATTTGACACTTGAGTGTAAGGTGCGAAATGGATGTTGATTGAAATGGAGGTACTAGTTTGTGAACCTAACCATTCTACTTCGTGTTCATATAAAAAGGTCAATAACGAATCTATCAAACAAAAAAAAAGGCATGATTTAATCTCATGCATCTACTTTCCTTACGTATGTTAGCTTGGACCTTCGTATGAAAGGAGTTAGGAGGCACAAAAGATGATATGTTCCTTTCATTCACGATGATAGACTCAGCCGTTAAGAAGTATGACTACGAAACAAAAAGTGATTCCAGTTCCCTTAATTGTACCCTTCTGATTGCTTCAGCTTGACTTTTGCTGTTACCGTCATTCCCAAATCACTCAAATTCGATTACATCAGCCAACAACAGTGTTGAGCACCATTCTCTTGTTCTTCTCACCGTTTTTGTAACAATTGAACAAAAGTACATGTCACTATGAAGAAAAGCTGGCAAGTTTCACTCCCCTGTTGAACCAAATGAAAATGTTTTCCTGTACTGCAAGTGTTTTTCCTCAACATAAATCGTCTCTCAAGTTCATTCAGCAAGCTCTGACATCCTGTTCGACAACTTCATCTCAATCTCTTTCAACGCCGTGTTGTATGGCGCAACATCAACTCAGAAAACAGGTGCTGAACGGTGGAACATTATTTGAACCACTGCCTCACAACGCTTCACCTTAGAAAATGAGCGTGAGTCTATTCTTCCCTCCATAAACTAAATTTCGTAGATGATCATTTGGTATTGTCGTTGTCAGACGAATTGTCCAAAAATTGCGTTCGTGATACTCGATGATGATTGTGTAGTGAAGAGAATTTTGAGGCCCGTTGCTCACAACCGTGAAGACGGAGGTTTGTAATTTCAAAATAATATTTAAATAAATTAAAAAATATACAGGTGCTGATGACACTCGGCACTCAAGTGTCAGGTGCTGTTTGCATTTGGCACTCCAGTGTTAAGTGCTATTTGTATCTCCTTTTTGGGACTACGTGCCATTGCAAACGGCACTAAAGTGTAAGGTGTAAGGTGCTAAAAGGTATGTCCTCAAAGGCTTTATTAACGTGTACAATTTGAAGACGTTTGAGCTCATGACCAGTATTAAGATATCTTGTAGTAGTTTATGTGTGGAGGAAAATTATGATCACGATGGTCATGATGCGTTGATCGTGTTCGACTCATTTTGTCTAACGATACAGAAATTTAATTTACAACAAGTATTGGAATGGTCATCAACATGCAATGAAAATCTTCCACCACATATATGGCAAATAGATGAAAGTGGAGGTAAAATGGCAATTTTTGAAAATGAATTACTCGTAGATCAGTTTTTTAGGCAAGAAATTGATATTTACAATCTTAACAATGGTACATTGATCACATCAATTTCTATTGAAAATCACTTTCTGTATACTTCTGTATGCACATGTACAGCAATGGCAATTAATGAATATACACGAGAATTAATCATATGTGAAACTTATTATACAGCAGGAAGAATTGAAGGTCCTTACAAAAAATTACAATTTTTCAGAAAGGATTTGCATAACAAATGGAAACATGTGAAAACCGTTGATAAGAGAGCAAAATTTCATTGTGAGGAACCATTGTGCATGATATGGGATCGAACAGCCAAACATTTACTGTTTGGAAATTGGCATAGTATTTTTGCATTTTCATTGGACGGAGAGTTGGTCTCGACCATCTCCCCGCAAGGTTTTCAGGGATCTTCTCGTTGTTTTGGTTGTCATTCCATGGCTCTTAATGACGAGACTGGTGAATTGGTTGTGTTAGGAAATCAATGGGTACTCATCTTTCAATAACAACAACCATCATTTCAAGATCCATGCACCAATAGTTTGTTTCTGACTTATTCTTAACCTTAATGTCGGCTTTTACAAATTTCAACACATTTCCAAACAAAGTTCATCCACATCATTTGTCGCCTTATTCCTTTCATCAACGACTCGTCTTAAACTACCACCTGCCAAAACTCACAAAAAAAAGTCACCAAATTTCCTTTGTTCTCATCTCGAGAACTCCATCATCCATTTCCAATCCAAAAAAAATATCATCACACACGCTATCAATCATGACCACCAAATTATTAGAAGAAAAGTATCGCGAAGCCATTCGTTCTCTCTCCGTGTCCTGCAAGGAGAATATGCAATGCATTGACTGTAACAACACTCAAAAGAAAACTTCCTTCGTTGTCTTACAGTATGGCAGTTTCATTTGTGAAGATTGTGCCGATGCACATCGATTCTACGGCTCCCAAGGAGTCAAGCAAATTGGTCTCTCCAATTTCAACAAGGAAGAAGTAGAAACCATGCAACGTGGAGGAGGTAATCAGAAAGTACAACAAGTATGGTACGGAGGACGTACCGATCTTGTCAAGCCTAATCCTAAATTATGTGGTTCCGATAAGGAATACAAGCAAAAGGTGCGAGAACATATTGAAAAGACCTATGTTAAGCGTTTGTATAGAGCCACGTCATCATCGGTTGATAATACTACTTTTCAATCATCATCAAGTGGTGTTGGTACGAATAACAACAACTCGACCACTCTCAATCCCAACAACGCATTAGGAGAGAACATTCCCTATAATAATGTTCAATTCAACGGTGGAGGAATTGATACAAGAAAGAGAGGAACTGATTTGAGTACCACTCAATATGCCAATGTAAAAACCAATACCTCAGCAACCATTGTTCATAGTTCTAATATTGCTGGAGTGAATAATCCGGTTTCGGGTGGTAACAGTAGCCAACAAACTGTTGTTGTTGTTAATAATAATAACAATAATACGACAAGACCACCACAACAACAGCAACCACCACAAATGAACAACAATAACATGATGGTGAATCAACCTCCAATGATGAACAATCACATGTATGGTGGTATGAATAACAACAACAATATGGGATTCAATCAACCACCTCCATCACAAGGAAATTATAACATGATGCCACAACCTTATGGAGGTCAACCAAACATGAATAATTTCAATAATCCGATGGGATACAATCCAAATCCTCCAATGAACACTGGTAACATGCCTTTCAATAATAATTATCCTCCATATGGAAACAATAATTTCAACAATACGAATCCTTATGGTGGAAACAATAATAATCCAATGGGAGGATTTGGAGGATATAACAACTATAATCCACCACCACCAAATAATAACATGATGCACTCTTATAATAATTATGGACAGCCTTCATTCAACAACAACAACAACATGATGGGTCCTCCTCCACAAATGAACAATAATAACATGATGGGATACAACAATATGCCACCAATGAATAGCAACATGAGCAATAGTAACATGAATTATAACAACAATATGAATTACAATACTGGAAGTACCATGCCACAACACCAACCACCACAAATGAATAACACCACCATGATGAACCGACCTCCTCAACCACCAAGTAACAATAATTATGTTGGCAACACTAGCAGTATGTCTCCACCTTCATCCTTTGGTACCACCACTACCAGTAGCAGCAATTTTGGAAATGTAAATACTACTAGTCCTCCAATCAGCAACAATATCAGTGGTAGTAGTCACAACAACAATACCTCTTCTTCATTTGGCACAACCAATGTACCACCTCCACCAAAAGCAACAGCAATGGTACAACCTCCAGTTTCATCAAAGCCTCACACAACAACACCACAGGTAGTGAATCCACCAACTTCTGGCTCATTTGGCAATACTACTACCACTACGGGCAGAAGTGGAAGCTTCAAAGGTAATACCACTGCAAGTAGCACCTCCACAAGCCAACCACCAGTGAATACCTCAAGCTTGGCCAATCAATTCAATAATTTGTCTTTAGGATCTGGAGGCGCTTCATCCACTTTGAAAACAAGCCCAAGAGGAACCACTAGCAGTACAACCACTCTTCCAAGCTCCACAACAACAACCTTGAAAACAAGTCCAAGAGGTATCAATACCCAAGGTACCTCTGGAACCAACGTTACCACAAACGCTCCAAAGGTTGTCACCACACAATCCGGTGTTCTGGTTGGTACGACCAAAACCATTGACTCTGCTGAATTTGAGAAAACTCAAGCTGTGACAACTGGTACCTACATGGACGACTTGCTCAAGAAGGCCAACCAAGATAATGGTCAATTCAAGGAAATTAATCCAAGTAAGGTTGTTCCAATGAAACAAACAACAGAGTGGCAATAACTTGTCACAACTACATGAATTGTGTAAATATATTATCACCTATTTATTACCATTTGGAGCAAGCTCTAACAAGAGTTTGATCTCAATCGATTTGTTCATTGACAAACCAATAAACAGTTAATCCATTTTCCACAAACAGTGCACTTGCCATTGATCAAATCAAACTTTTGGTCCACCACTAAAAAAATACTCAAACATCGAGGCTGACAACATTGTTTCAAATTCACACCATGATGCAACCACCACAAGATTCCACCCTCCTTCAAGAACCACCAGCCAATATCCCAGCCAGTACCAAAAACGGCATTCCCAGTCATCATTTACCTTCTTCTTCCACATGCGCATCCGAACCTCTTCCACAAATTATTTACAATTTTATTGGAGGAAAATTCATGAGTGATGATTCCTCTCATCATTCCATCCATACCGATGAATGGATCATCAACAAATCACCAGCCACCAATCAAATCATTTCCTACATTCCAGCCTCTTCCGATCGTCATGTCCAACAAGCCGTTGATGCCAGCAAGAAGTGTTGGCGTGAACGATCATGGCGTGGACTTTCCGAAGAAGAACGTGCTCAATATCTAGATAAAATTGCCAATGAAATTGAGAGAAGAATGGACGAATTTGCACGTGCTGAATCTCTCGATACAGGAAAGCCTTTCACTTTGGCGAAAAATATGGACATTGCTCGTGCCGTTTCAAATTTCAGATTTTTCGCACAAGCCATCCGACAGAGTCATACCAAGGCTCATTTGATGAGTGATAAAGTTATTAATTATACGACACGAAGACCTGCTGGAATTGTGGGTGTGATTGTTCCGTGGAATTTGCCAATTTATTTATTGAGTTGGAAGGTTGCGCCGGCATTGGCTTGTGGAAATTGTGTCGTGGCCAAAAGTTCAGAATTGACTCCTCTCACGGCCAATTTGTTGGCTGAGGTTGTGAGAGATGTGAAATTACCAAATGGAGCTTTTAACTTGTTGCATGGATATGGAAGAGATTGTGGAAGAGCTATTGTGGCTCATCCTGATATTAATGTGATCACATTTACGGGTGGTACTGCCACTGGAAGAGTGGTTGCAGAGTTGGCTTCTCGACATTTTAAGAAATTGAGGTAAGTGTTGAGTGATTCGCGAAACGTTTGTGAAATTTTTAACAACAATTTTTATTTTCACACATTCAATTCTTATGTGAATGTCTAATGTATTGATACAAATACTACTATGACTTGTAAACACGAAATTGTCAATTTAATGCACCAACTTGACTAAAATTTGATCATAATTCAAACTAGCTTGGAGTTGGGAGGAAAGAATCCATTCATTGTCTTTCCAGATTGTGATCTCGATAAGGCCATCGAAACTGCAAAACGAGCTGCCTTCTTAAATCAAGGACAAATTTGTTTGTGTGCTTCGCGTTTCATTGTTCATGAATCCATTCATGATCAGTTTGTTGAAAGACTCAAAAAACTCACTGAGGAGACTACAAAAATTGGAAATCCCTTAGATGCTACCACCACCTTTGGTTCACAAATTTCTCTCGAACATCTCGAAAAAATTGAATATTATGTGAAATTAGCTCAACACGAAGGAGGTACCATTGTGACAGGTGGTAAACGTCCAGATTTGACACAACACGATCCACAACTCAAAGAAGGTGCATTTTTCACACCAACCATTATCACTGGACTCGATTACAAATCTCGAACTGCAACCGAAGAAATATTTGGACCTGTGTGTACCGTTCACAAATTCTCTACCGATGAACAAGCTCTTGAAATGGCCAATCATGTTGACTATGGATTATGTGCCACTCTGTTTACTAACAATTTAACACGAGCTCATCGTTTCAGCGACGAATTGGAATCTGGAATTGTTTGGGTCAATACATGGTTATTGCGAGATTTGAGAACACCCTTTGGAGGCATGAAAAAGAGTGGTCTTCATCGAGAAGGTGGAGAATATAGTTTGGAATTTTACAGTGAGGATAAGAATATTTGTATTAATTTATAAGACTCAAGAGATTATCATTCATGAATTTGTTGTCTGGTAAATGATTAGTTCACAAGTTCATCACCTTCCAAGTTCACAAATCAATTTTTGATCAACAAAAAAATACCTCGAAATCATGTCACTTCCTCCACCACCTCCTGTTTCGTTTGTTACCGTCAAGCAACCCATCATTCACAACAAATCTTCTTCTAATAATTCCGAAGATGAATTAGCTAGAAAATTATCATCACGCCGTGAAGCACAAGTTCAGAAATTTCCAAAAAAAGTTGAATGGGAAATTATTCATCCCAAACACAACAACGATCCACAAGTTGAGAAAAATACTGAAAAACGAGTGGTCAAATTCGTAGTGATTAGTGACACTCATAACAAACATGACATGTTGAATTTACCAGAAGGAGATGTCTTGATTCATTGCGGAGACATGTCTGATGACGGACGAGTTGAGGAAATTCAGAAATTTAATGAATGGCTTGGAAAGACTCCTTACAAGCATCGAATTGTCATTTGTGGTGAGTTTTCATTGAAATATTTCACAACCTGAATTGAAATTTCTTTTTTTGGTCAATGACACCATTTCACAATTGTGAAATCAATGAACAACAAATCAATGTATGAACAACAAATAATATGATGATGACATTTAGGAAATCACGAAGAAGAAATTTCTGCACTATCCCCTTCAGAAATTCAACAACTCTTGCCCAATGCCACCTATTTACACAATTCCAGCATTGTCATTGAAGGCGGCATTAAAATTTATGGAACTCCCTACGTTCCCAACATGTCTGATTTACCAGGAGAAAACAAATCCTTCATGGCATCACGTGACAACAAATTCTTTTACAAGAGCGAGTTGGATCTGGAACAAGTGATCTTTTCCAATATTGATTCGGACACAAATATTTTATTGACACATACTCCACCGAAAGGAGTGTTGGATGGCATGTTACATTTTGGAAGTGTTTCGTTAATGAAACGAATTAAGGAATTGAAACATCTGAGAGTGAATTGTTTTGGACATGTTCATATGGGTTATGGTGTGGAGAGAGAGCAAGATGTGACATTTGTGAATGCATCGAGCGATGGAGATGAACATCCTATTTATTTTGATTATTCAATCTAGTCAACGATGTAAGAGATGTAATAATATTTAATATTTTAAATAATGATTAAATTGAAAAATTCAAAAAAAAATATTATTACAATGCCCTCTCTTGGATCATCTTCCTCGATCACGTACTCTCCGCAAAATTCTTCCAAACCTTCTCCATCGGTGAGTACCACTACTGCTACTACTAATACTACCGGTACTATCAAACGAAGACACAGTAGTAGCAGTTTTGTTAATGAATCATCATCATCAACAACCTCTTTGAATCACAAGACCATTGATTCCTTTTTCCGAAAGAAGAAGGATGATCATCAACCGCCATCACAACAATCTTCGGAATTTCAAACAAGCTGCAAGGATGAATTCACTCCCTCTCACGATTCATCAAGATCGGATCAAGAAAGTGGTCCCATTTTGAAAAAACAAAAAACAGCAAAAACTCCACCAAAAAAGTCTTCTAACCGCCAATCCTCATCATCATCGCCACTGTGTACAGGTCCTCTAGATTTATTGTTCCAAAAACAAAAACAATTCACATCCTCACAACAATCATCATCCTCTGATTCAGCTGTATCTTGTTCTGATTCGGAATTGATCAAAGGTAATCCACTATTGGATTGGGAACATGAGTTGACTAAATTAGATGATACTCAACGACAGGCAGTCCATGAAAACTCTGCTAAATATTTATTGATTAATGGTTCTCCAGGCTGCGGAAAAACACTTGTGGTGGCATTGAGAGCTCTTCAGTTATTGCGTACAGATCCAACAAGAAAAATACTCATCTTGACCTTTTCTAAAAAAGCAGAGCAAGAAATTCATGCTAGAATTTTCAAATTTACAGGCTTTAAGAGCAATCAACAACACCGAATTCATGTCAAGACCATACACGCCTTTGCTTTCATGATTATGAGAAAATTCGGAGACGAAAATAGGAAAACTATTGCGAACGAACAGCAAATTTTGGAAATATTTAAAAAAAGTCCAAAGTTTCAGAATGTTCAAGATGACAAATTTAAAGAGCTCCTCTCATGGTGCCAAGAACAACGAGCCAAAGGGAATACTTCTTCCGATTTTATCGAAGGTACAGAGAAGGATTTTTTAGTTTGGTATCAAGACGAGCTCTTAAAGAAATGCTTAACATTGGACTCTCTCATTGAGCAAGCATCGCAAGTATTACAAACAGAAAAGAAGGCAATTCAATTTTGCTCACAGTTTTTTACAGATTTGTTTGTCGATGAATTCCAAGATACTTCTTTCAAGCAATACGATCTGTTGAAACTTGCATCAAATCATGATTGTTTGAAAAATATAACCGTTTTCGGAGATCAAAATCAATCCATCTATTCATTCATTGGATCAAACGGAGTTAGATTATTCCAACAGTTCAAGATTGATTTTGAAAATGTACAAACAATTGATATGATGACAAATTATAGAAGTAATACTGAATTGATCAAGATTGCCAATTATTTCATGCGGACTGATACACGTAAAGGTTCATCCACGATAACCGAAAATACGAACAATTATATGGTACGCAAATTTGGGAATTTCATAGAAGAAATTGAATTTATAACAAGAGAAATTCAGAAACTGGTAAACAATGGAGTGAGTTTGAGTAGTATTTGTGTCTTATTTCGAAGAGACAAATTACAGAGTATCCTAGAAGAGACTTTGATCAGAAAGAATATAAAAGTGGCCTCTCCAGTCAAAGACAAATTTCTTGTCGTTTTAAAGATTCTCAAACTCATGATTGGAGAAGGCAAAGAATATACTGAAAAAGAAGAGGATTTAATATTTATCGTTAAAAATTTCAAACCATACATGGATGGAATTGGTGAAAAGACTGTTCAAAGTTATTTAAATGGAGAAAAACCAACGAAAAAATCAGCTCGTCTCTCACAATTTATTCAAACTTTAATCATGTTGCGTAAGAATTTATTTGCCACTCTGGGTACCATTTCATTACCCACTTTGTGTGATTATATGTTACAAAATTTCAAGGACGTGAAAGTTTTTGCTGATGAAGATTATATTCGTCAACGAATTTCAGCATATTCCACCGAAACAGCCTCCCTTTGTGCGTTGAGGGATATTGAAGCTTGTTGGTCAAGTGACGACAATCGTGTCATGACCGAAGGAGTTGTACTTTCAACGATTCACAGAGCCAAAGGACTGGAATTTGACATTGTGTTCATTCCAGAAGTTCACGATGGAGTGATGCCACTTCAAAAAAATGTACATGACGCTAAAAAAGTTCCAGATAAGCAATGCGAGCAAATTGATGAAAGTGAGGAACGAAGAATATTTTATGTGGCCATTACACGAGCGAAACAGTGTTTGTATTTGACTCATGTGGAAAAGTCACAATTTATTACTCAAATTGACAGCTTTTTAAAGCAAAGCAAACAATGAACATTGGTTAACTTTCAAGCGAACATCCATCATGCAAGGAAGCACTCAGTGGGATCGGAAATCAACGCTAGTTCAAGAGTTGGTTAACACCTTGTGTTGTTTTCAACTCATTGTTTCAATTTCTGTTCGTTTAAATAGCGAATAAAGGTGTCAATATTAGTTTGTAATAGAGTGTGCCGATCTTTCACTTTTGATACCAAGTGTGAAAGATCATTGTTCGAGAATTGTGTAATGACAAAATCAACAGATTCCTTAAGCACTTCTGAAAGATTGCACAACATTCCTTCTTGAACGAGTAACATTGCAGTTTGTAATCTCTTTTTCCATGGGCGACCAAAGAGAGGATATATTATTGAATAATGAGCACGGTCAACTCTGAACATTCCGTTTCCATTCCTAAAATCCTTAAAGCATTCTTCTGTGAACGGCTCCAATTCTGCTCTGAAATCAATAACTTTTAAATCCCCATCAGGAATCATGAATCCAAAATTGGTAGTATTGTTAATGCAATCTCTTAAATTGAATATTCTCATAATCATGTCCATCATTGACAATTGTTCAATGAATTTGTGAGCCTTCTCATTCAATACTTCTTCATTGAATGAAGCAAGTAACCCATTCCCTTCAAAATAATACTCGAGTAAATTACCCCAAACTTGACATGTTATCTTTTCGGGTTGTTTCATTATCGTTGAGAATTCTTGAAAGTCTCCATTCTGACCTGCATCAAGAGTTGCAATCAACAAATCCTTTTCATCTCTGCATATGAAATGGACTTGTGGACATAACTGAAGCTTTTCTAACACTTTGTAAACAATGAGCTCCAGTGGTTCCACTGGTTTTGGAACTGTTGAGGAATTGAATTCTTTTCTTCCGAGAGCATGAGTTTTGATATAATAACGGAGTGGTTGTTCATTTCTTGGTCCAGTAGTGATGTTCATGACGACTCCTAATTGATCTCCTCCTTTTTTCAAGCCAAAGCAAATGTTACTTTCGGGATGAAGAAGTTTAAAATATTCCGCACTGTACGCTTCAATCCTATCATACGCCATCATGATATATTGCTCTTTCAAATCCAATACATCTAAAAAACATTCTTTTTGCGTTGTATTCATATTTTCTGATCGTTTTTTAGAAATTGTCTTTGCTAAGGTACGAATGTTCTTTCTGATTGAAATGTCCTCAAATTCCTGTTCTTGCAATACATCATGATTGGTATTTTCAAAGACCGACCACTCCACATCCCATTCAGCAACCTGATCCACACCAAATGCATGTTCAAAACGCTCCTTGCTCAATTTTTGGGACACTTTTACAAGAAAACGTTGTCCAGGGGTTTGTTCGTTTACCGACATGGCGCGACTGACCTTAAAACTGTTTTAAGCTGAAAATGGCGCCAATGTTCCCGCCTAGGATTATGGAAATTTTTTTAAAATCGAGATGTTGACCATAGAAAATTATTACAACATGCGTATTACAACTACTTCTCCAGAACTTGTCAAAGCAAAGAATTTACAAAAATCCATCCAAGTGCCACCTGTCCAAACAAATACTTCCTTTTGTTTGAACATCAATTGTGAGTTCTTCTTGGTTGGTCCTGATAACATCGATATCGAATAGAAGGGACGTCATCAAATTCTTCTTGAGTAATCAAATCATTGCAACACATGTCTATCAAGATGTATTTTGAAGAAACTGGTGTCTTACTTTTCTCAAAAACCAATTGTGAAATGGTTTTCGCAAGATCATTCGAACGACGTTGTGGTTTCAAAAAGAATGAAAAGAGCATGCTTCGTCCTGATGAGCACATGGAAATTTCCAAATTGTATCGATCTTTCATGATATCCAAAAGATCTTTCAGAGTAATTTCATTGTTTTCATCAATGTCTATGGTATCCCAAAAGGTACGAGTCGGAAAGGAGGTAAGGATGGTTGGCTTTTTTGGAGCTGTTTGTGTGAACATTTTCTGAGAATTAGCGACATGAACGCTCGCATTGTTGTAAGAATCTTGAAATCCTTGAATGATCTACATGTGAAATGATGTACATATTCTAGTTTTAAATTATTGAACAAAAAAAACATACCTTATAGAATTCAAGACATCCCAATGCAGAAATTATGGATGATAAACTCAAAACTATTGGTGTCGATTCTAGTGTCGTATGCCATGTAATGAGCATGGAGGGCTCAATAATTCTAAAATTTTCACAGCGTAAAATGGTGGTCAAGTAAATTAGCTTTAAGTAGTCTTCATCTTCATAGTTGTGAAAGGGATGTAATTCCATATCGTGTGGTATGGTTGACTGTTGCAACAATTGAGCGTAATCCGTATCGTCATCCATCAAGTCGTTTCGAGCAATAGTACTCGAGTCTCCAGATATCTCTTTTAGACATGTTAGTAGATCAAATTCTTCGGGAATGTTGATGCCATATCTTTGTGCTTGAAATTTGGAAAGTAGTGATACTACCTCTACATGATTGGCATTGTATATATCAAAATTCAACACTCTAGGAAATCGTTTTGTTACACTCCAGAACCTTGTTCCGTTCGATATCATGTCATATCCATATCTTTCCATAATGGACTGAATGCTAGTTTTGAACAATATTTCGAATTGAAGTCGTGCCCATTTCACACAATCTAAGAACTTAGTTGATCTGTCTCGAAGTAACACGTTATACACGTGTTCTAACGCTGAGGTAGTAGAGAATGCATTTGGATCCTGTACATAATTCAGTGCTTGATCGACGTAATAGCCAAACGTTTGATCAACAACAGTCTTGGCCCAATCCATACATTGAATGGGCAAAGTTGGTAAGCCGGTTTTGTAATATGGCTTATCACCCACGAGATTTTCGTACAAGCTTGTGACATATGGAACCACTACTTGGAGATCGTACAGGACTCCATTATTACAGATCGTTTTGATGAGAGAGATTTTGTCTCGATTGCAAATTTCCTTAAAATCAACTCTGCTATTTCCGTTAAAACTATCAGTGATGAGATCCACTAAAAATTCAGAACTTTCGTCAATAGACGACTCTTTCATGGAAGTTATAAAGCTTCTTGTTGAAGAATTGGTTATGGAGTGTTTCAATTTTTGAATAACTTGTGTTGACGCTTCAGATTTTGTTTGCCCAATATGTTTTTTTCTGAATAGGGCATGGGTTTCTAGATGTTTCAAAGTCACCTGCTTGTCATCACTTACTAAGAAGGATCCTTGAATACCATTTCCCACACCCATCATGGTATAATTTTTCAAAAACTCACAACCCATGGATCCCATATCGTATAAGAGGTGTTTTGAGTTTTCAATTTTCTCATGTACGTGTTTTCCAAAAATTAATTCTTGCGCATCGTACATGCTAGCATGCACCATATGATCTGTGGTGTCATAATAGTTGTTAACGAGTTTCACTTTTTGATCCTTGTGCAAACAATCGAAGGCATCAAAATAAAAGAGTTGATTGGGAATGGGTCCATAGTAGGAACTGGCAGCTTTTTGAATTTCCATTGATGCAACTCCTCCAATCAAAGCAGAAATGATTGCGAGTTGGGAAGAATAGGTTGCTGCAAGGATCGTGACAATGTCTTCATCTGTTTTGGAAATGGATTGAGAGTCTCCATTGCTTTGATTCACTAACGACATTAGTTCTTTGAAATCGTCATGTGAATGTGGAAATCTATGGAATTGCTTGTAGAACTTTCCAATAGACTCAATGGATGCATGAAGTAATTTCTGATTTTCAACGTGCAACAAAGAACTTTCGAGAGAAGCGTTTGCCAGTATCTCCTTCAAGGGTTTGTGTTGAGTAATTGTTTCTTTGCAAACTCGAATGACATATCCAGCGCTAACAGGATCAAAAGGGGGTAACATAGTGGCATCAAGATCTATGGTCACACACAAATTATTGTCATACAAATAATTAACATCAAGGCATGTAAAGTAAGAGCCTTCAATTTCAGGTATACTTTCGATTCTTTGCAAATTAATAACGTCTCCTCCTTTTAAATTAGTTGTTTGACCTTGCAAGGAACCTCCTCTCAGAGTGATAGTGGCAGGGTTTGTTGGCGAAATATCGGTCACATAGAAATAATCATAGAGAACAGAATTTGGATGAGGTAAATCCTTGACCACAAAGGAATTTCCAAAATCAGAAAAAACGGAGCCAACAAGTCCTCGCGTCTCTGCAGCAATCATTTTGATATTGTGCGATCTACATTTTTCATTTACAGCAATCAGATCAAGCATGTTATAATTGTTGACAGAAATGATGGTAAATTGTGAAAGGAATGAATCATTTTGCAATCTCGATTTTTCAATTTGATCACAAAACTCGACAATCACTCGTACGTTTCCACCCTTTGATGCAAAAAACCTTTCGTAAATGTGTTGAATTTCTTGCAGATGACGATTCTGCGACTTGTCATAATTGTCTTCTTGGAATGTGAACAAGATTTCATCATCATCCTCCAATAAAAACGAAAAGGCTTGAAATATTTCTTGTAAGCCTTTTCCATAATTCCGAAAGAAATTTGTATTTGCAATTTCTACCAACAAGGTTATATCATGATCCGATCCTCCAAAACTCAACACAATATTCTTGGCAATTTCCAATCCAATCAAGACATCTCCACAACTGTGCTGTAATAAATGATGAATCAAAATGGTTTGTTGTTTCATACGATCCACTCCATCGGAACCAAAAAATTGAATCAACGATGAAGCAAAAGGTTTCCATTCATCCGTATTAATAACTTGTTGATGATGATTGATCATTTTTTTTAATTTTCAAAAAAACCTTTCCTGCCAATCCGATCATTTCAAAACCCACATGGATTACAATTTAAAACTTCTTCGCGAGGATGGAGTGAAAACATTTCAGAACTCTCCAAAAAGGAATTTTCAGATTTTTTTTCAAACTTTCAAAAAAAAAATCTCATCAAACCCAAACGACCTTGAAACGATGGGCAATTGGGGCAGTTGGAGTGAGCACGGACTCGACCACAAAGAGGACGTGGAACCTTCCAAGTGGACGAATGAGATGGTTCTAGATTGGCTCTCTAAACAAGGATTTGATGATTATAAGAAACATTTTATCGGAGTGAATGGAACAGTGTTGCAAAGCCTAACGAAAGATACGTTGGTGGATGAGATGAATATTCCGACAGGTGTTGCTATAAAATTGATGAGAGAAGTGGATCGGTTATTTGTTGTTCATACGACTTCAACAGGTAGTGGTTCTGGTTCTGGCAGTCCTAATCATCATCAGAATGCTGCAAATGTTCAACAAATTCCGAATCAAAATAATTCAACACAAAACAGTAACCTTCAAACGAATGCATCCAACAAATCAATCATTTCCACCTCTACAATAACGACATCGTCATCAAGTTCTGTCAATGATCAAATTTCCATTCAACAAGATGACGAGGAAGCGATTAAAAAGTGTCTCATCAAATTGGACAAGTTAAAAGGACTGCAAAATTTATCGGAAAAACAAAAGAGAGATAAAGCCAAGAACCTTGTGATCAAACACCATTTATTGAACAGTTATTTGAACAAGGATTTTGTGGCAACTAAAAGAACTATTACTGAGCTGATTAATGACTCACCAGTGCCATCATCCTCGCCATCAACAAGGAGTAATTCCGCTTCTTCCTCTTCCTCTTACGCAGCATCAGCAATTGGAGCCATCATTCCATCAAGTAAAGCACCAACGAATATGATTGCTTCTGACAATGTAGAAATTTATGATACAGGATCTGTCAATGATGACGAAGATAAGAAAGATTTACAACAAGTAGCAAGTGAAATTTCCGAGTTACAAACCAATAAGAATTATGTGATCAAAGATGAGGAGTTTTTAAAGGTGAAATTGGTGGTTGTAGAGCTTCACAGAACAGCAGCTCAAAGAAATTTCAGAAAATTCCTTTCACCTGTCTTGGATACATTCAATGTTGTGCCACAGTTTGGACTCTTCCATTCCGCTCTTGTAGTAGGACCATGGTATTTAGAGGTATGTCTTGTTGTGACAAGTGTTTGTCGTATATACACTTGTATGACCAATTATTATTATCAAATTCATTACTGTTCACTGTCCATATTTACTGTCATTCATGATCACTCAATTCAAACGAATGACATATGAATGATTTGAATCTATTGCTCTAACCCATCACTAGTGGAATGACTCTTCTCTAATTGTACCTAGAAAATGTTATTCTGGAGCAGCTGTATTGGCCGCAGACGTTGATCGAAGTTTTAAAGGACCTCAAGTGGGAGAAGCTCTCGACAAAATTTCTAACATTATTTGTAATTGGAATTCTAACATGATGTATTCACAACAAAAGGCCAATTGCCAACATTTTGTGGATGAAATTTGTTCTGCTTTAGGAATTGAATTGAAATTTAAAGGAGCTCTTGGAGATTACTGTGAAAAATTGAGAACATTTGGAAGTTGTGAACTCAATTACACCATTCCAAAAGAATTGAAAGAAAAATGTGAATTCACTCAAGAAACTTGGAAGTTTACAAGTCATGCCCAGTTAGATGATTTTGTACATACGATTTGTAAGAAGGATCCATTGTATTTTGAAAAACGACAAGACGATTGGAGTTTACTGAAAAGCTTTGATCGAGCTTTTTGGCTTAGATATTACAAGAATAAGAAGAGTGAAGATTTTAAACCGTGTTCTAATGGTTGTCCATTTTCTGATCCAGCCACAAGGTAAGTGTCTATTGTGTTTTGGGTTCTCGCAATATATCGAACAATTTTATGTCAAGTGGTTCAATAATGGAAAACTTTTTCACTTTTGGAGGCAAAAAGAGGTAAATCAAACACTGTCGTCGTTGTTGACAACAACCAAAACAAACCTGTTCAACTTGTCGTTTCCACCATTACTTTTTTATTTATTTTCAAATTGAGAAGTTGTTAAATTCAATTTAATTTTACATTAAACTGCAATGTTGTGAAAATTTTGGTCTTCGTTGTCAAATCGAACCCAACTTTTTACAATGTGAATTGAATTTATTTACAAAACAATGGTGGTACCCATCATTTTCACATAATACGATAACTCCATGACTGGTAACACTGACAAGACAATTTCACTTTGTTTGTCCTGAGACATTTGACACACTTCAAGAGATTGATTCTTCTCAAAAATAATGACATTGGGATCTGAACTGAACCTAGATGCAAGATCACTACCCACCATTGGAGAGGATCCTTTGGTTAATTGCTGTGTTTGTTGTCCCGTAGCTTGAATCTTTACAGGAGGAGTTTGACAATTGGTTGTTGAATTCAAAGATTGTGAAGAATGATTATTTGTGGAATCCAAAGGCATATTGACTCCATTGGGTGAAAATGTTCCTGCTGGAGGTGAAGAATTATTTTCCGTCGTCGTCGTCGTCGTCGGCGTGATGAAGGTGGACATGACTGCTGCCTTCACACTATTGTTTTGAGGTGAAGAAGCACTCGATCGTAAAAGACCTTTCAACGTTATTGGAAATTCCAAGACATGATGTGAAATGATATTTTCTTGCATTAACAAGTCATCGTAATCGAATAAACTAGACTTGACGAGTAAAATTCCAATAATGTGATCTCCGTAGGGTTTGGATAAATCTAAATCCGAATTTGAATTGATGAAATTAAATTGTTTGTAAACTTCGATCATATTTTTGTGTAAATATCCTTCGACTTGAATGGAAAAGTCTAAAACTTCATTCCATGAAACTTCTTTTCGTCCAATTTCAAGACAAGTGACCGTTGTCTTTTTTGCTTGTTTCAAAGATGGATTCGAAGCAATGGATTTCACAAATGGAACATTCTTGGTTCCATTCAATCCCGAAGATTGTGTATTAAAAAATTCCACACTCCATTCAATTTTCACAAACGGTGTCACACAATCTTTAAATCCTGGCAAAATATCTGAAATGGTATCCAAATGATGACATTGTTTCACTTCAAATTGACCTTCAAAATGAAAATGAACTTTTTGTGGATAATCATTTCCAATCAGAATTTCCTCTGCTTGTTCTTCTGCAAGTGCTCCTGCAAATATTTTACTTCTTCCATTCACATGATAATACTTGTGAAGAGGAGTCGACGTACTCGTACCATTCGTGGATTTGACACATTCATTCTCGTTGTTGCCACCGCTACCAACACCATTTATGGAATCTCCGACGGCGGAGGTTTCGTGTAACAATCGAATGGATCCTCCTCCTCCTCCTCCGTTGTGGATGACATTTGTATGATTATTATTGGATAAGAATAATTGTGTAGGACTTTCTGCACTTCTTCTCTTAAAAGCACTTTTCGAAGGAGAGGACATGTATTTGGAACTAGTTTCATGTTTACCTCTTGGTGACAACATGGCCATGACAGGTGACGTTGCAATTTCATACGAATCATCGTCGTCGACGGGTGTGGCATGTGGATCAGCATTCGAAAACAAATCTCGATCTGCCAAATATCGTCTCGATCGATCCAACATTTCCTCCGCTTGTTCTTCTTGTTCGTCTTTCACATTTCGACATCCGAAAAGTAATCGTTTGAAAGAAGTGGATAAACTCTTTTTCGAAAGAGATGAAGAATGTCTCGAAATTGGATTTAATTTGACATTTTCATTCGATGGAGGAGGAGGAGCAAATGATAAATGTTGTCTTGGAGTGGTTGCAGAATTGGGTGTTGTATTTGAATTTTTGACAACTGACACTCCCATCGAATGTTGATGATACATTGTAGCACTACTGGCCGTATCCAGTTGCAAATGTAGATCACTAGCTTGATCTTCTTCATGTTGTTGTGGTGATGTCATCAAACCATGGACTGGTTGTGTCGTTCCATTAATCGTATGTCGATGATTGGATCCTCCGTGATGATGATGATGCATCGATTGTTGTTGTTGTATTTGTGTCGATGATGTGAGAGAAAGGGAAGGTAATGTCGTTGTAGTCGTCGTCAGTGAGGTCATGGGGCCAACACCATTCATCACATTTGACGACGACGAAGAATTTGCTGATGTTGCTGTGAGAGAACTTCCCGTGGATTTACGAGAAAACTTTTTCATTTCTTCTTCTTTGATCGAAATATGAATGACGAAAAGAATGGGAAAGACAACCGCTGTTTGTCAGTAGTTGTGTTGGGTGGTTGAGAGGATGATGGAAAACAAGTGACCTTGTTGGGTTCAATTTTTTTTAAATGGAATTTTTGATAACAGGTGACATGACAAAGATGACACGTGAAAATTGTTGATTCATCTCAAAAAATCAAGTGCCCTTCATTGCTTGGTTCGTTTATTATTGTTGCTTTCGTGCATCATGGAATTGTTCATGATATTGGTATTGATAGGAGGATCTTTTCTTTTCAAAAGATTGAAATTTTCTTGTTGTTGCTGTATTTCAATATTTTCCTTATTACTTTCTGAAAAGAGCATTTTCAAGTTTCCATTATTAAGAAGGCCTTTCGATCTTCCAAGTTGAAGTGGTCTCTCTTTGACTTGTGTCGACGTTGTTGCACTCGAGAGAAGTGGAATGGGAGGAATACTACTCGATGCATTGGACAACATTTCTGCAATACTATTGCTACTACTACCACGTTTCACATAAATGGATGCGCGTTCTCGTAACAGTGGTGTTTCACCAGTAGGAGGAGATGTACTGGTTTTGTTCATTGTTGACGTGCCAAGAGGTATAGCATTGGCAGTAAATGAAATATTACTTGGGTTGTTTCCGGAAGAATCTTTCAGAGTTGACACCGAGTTACTGAAGAGTGGTTTTGGTAAATCTGAAGATGTTCGTTGTTGAGTTGCGTTAAAAGCACTGAACAGTGGCTTGATGGCTGCCATGTCTTGTTTTTGAAATTTTCGAATAATATTGTCTTTTTCTAATAGTAATTTTTGAGCTCGCATCAATTCATCCTTCAAGTCATTGTTTTCTTGTTTGATCTTCATTTGGTATTGAATCTTTTGTTTGTGATTGTTATGACCAATGATCATTTCGTGATCCTTTCGAAGAGATTCGAGTTCGTCCTTTAACTGAGCTGCTTCGGTGACACTTTCTGAAGCCTTTAACTTTAAAAACTCAATTTCTTCTTCCAAACGTTTCTGAGCAGTTTCGTATTGTTCTTTTGTACGTTGTAATTTTTCTTCCTGTTGCATTTGTTGGGCCAACTTGCTCTTTTCTAAGCTAGATAGTTTTTCATTGAGGTCATCCAAAGTCGATCCTAGTTCATTAATTTGAGTTTCTTTCTTAAGGACAAGATCTCTTTCAGATTGTAATGATTGAGAGAGCGTGTCGCACTTCTTTTTAAATTGGACAAGTTGCTCTTGTAAATGAGACATTTCATCGCCGGAAGTCAATTGTCGAACGAGATCTTGTTGTTGATCAATTTCTAATTGTTTCTTCTCAATTTCCATTCGAAGTTTTTCAACAGTGTTAGATAAGGTGGAATTTTCTTGCTGAAGTTTGGAATTTTCAGACTCGAGAGAGGCAATCACTTTGGCACGATCCAAAAGCTGTTCTTCCTGTTCCCTGATTGTTTTCTTGTTCTCATCAAGCGTATCACGCAATGATTGAGTTTGTTTTTCCAGTGATGTGACCGTTTCTTCACTCAATTTCAATTTGTTGAGTGAGTCTACAAGACGATCATTCATCTCTACATTTGAGGTTTGAGATTTTTCAAGCTCTGCCTTTAAATTCTCAAGTTCAGCCTCCTTTACCTTCAAATTAATGGTTTCGTTCATGATACGATCATTCAACTGTCGTGAGAGATCTTCCTTTTCTTTGATTATTGTATCTACTTGCTCTTGATATTGAGAAAGTAATGTTTGGATCTTTTCTAACTCTTCTCGCTTTTCGGTTTTGAATTCTTCAAAGTTGTTCAACAAAGATTGTCTCTCTTCTGTAATGGACTTGTTCTCCATATTAAGAGCTTGAACGAGTTCTTGAAGGTTGTGAATTTCCTTCTCATATTCTTCTTTAGCCAATGCTTCTCTTTCTAAAATTTGTTTTTTCTCTTCTTCGGAAACGTTTCCAATCGAATTGACATGATTGATAAGCTCATCGTTCTTATCTTGTTCAAATAGGATGGCTTCCTTGAGAGAATTGAGCTTGTCTTCATAGTGAGCCTTTGTTTGTGAAAGTTCTTGAACTGTCTGTTCATACTTTTCTGAAATTTCTTTCATACTTTGTTCTGACATGTCAACTTTTTCCTGTAATTGTTGTCTTTCAACTGAAAACTCTTCTGATATAAATTCAAGGCGTGACTTGACATCAGAAATCTCTCTTTCCTTCTCCTGAAGTAATTGTACCTTGTTTTGGACTGTTTCGTTGAGAGATGCAATTTGCAAGAGTGCATCCGATAAGGTTGTATCTTGAATGGTTTGAGCCTGCCGTACCATTTCCAATTCATGATTCTTCTCATCCAATAATTTCTGCTTTTCCTCAAGATTCGTGGTGAGTATGTTCACTTGTGTGCAAGATTCTTCGAGTTGAGTGGTAATTTCAAGCATTTGTTGTGTTAACTTTTCTTCAATCTGATTTTTATGACTCTCTGAAACTAAAATCAAGTCTGTTAACTGTTTGACCTCCTCTTTAAGGGACTCCACCTCTTGCTTGAGAGTGTTCTCGTTCCCTCGCAGCTCTTGCATGGCCATTAATGATTCCTTTTCTCTCAATGACAATTCTTGAATCAGAGATTCTTTTTCAGAAATGCATAAAAGCAATTCTTGTTCTCTGAAGGAAAGAGAATCGACTTGATTATTGAGAGATTCAATCTTGGTCTGAAGCTCTGACAATTCCGAGCTCTTGTTTTCTTCTTCCACTCTCGTCTTATTTTCGTAGAATTCTTTCGTATCTTGTAATTGTTGCAACGAATCTTCAAGCTGTTTTCTAATTAATGACAACTCATTTTCAGAGTTAAGCTTAATCATTTCTTCTCTGAGTTTGATCTCTTCAATGCTGAGAGCAGCTTCTTTCATGTTGTTGTCAACAGTTTGATTCAAGACATGCATTTGATTATTGAGAGTTTCAATTTGATAGTCCTTATCTGAAAGAACACTTCTCATCTTTTGAAGTTCGAGCTCATACTGTTCCACCAACGTCGAAAATGTCTCATTTTGGGAAAGCTTTGACTTTAACTCTTCAATTTCATTCTTCTTCTTTTCAAGCTCAAACATTAATTCTTCAACTTGTTTTTGGCTTTCTGTTTGTTGTAATTTGAGTGATTCTTCCATGAGTAATAATTGTTCTTCTCTCTGTTGTTGAACTTGTTGCTGCTTTTCAATATCGTCAATAATTTGCATAACTTCATTTCTTTGATCCAGCGATTCTTTCAAATTATTAATGACATTGACACATTCTTCCTTTTCGGCAGCAATCTCGTCTACGAGTTGTTTGGCACTTTCGAGTTGTTTCCAAGCGAGTTGTTCATTCTCTTGGCTCTTTTCCAGTTCTTGTTTTAAGGTGTTAATGGTCTCCAAGGACTCTTCATTTGCTTGTTCCAAACGAGTAATTTCTCCCAGCAATGTTTGATTCTCGTTGGATTGTATTTGTGTTTGAATGACAGCAGAGGTTCTTCTGTATGTCTTTTCCATTTCCTTGATTTTAGCTTGAAGTTTTTCCTTCTCTCCAGTCAAGTGCCGTATCGATGACTCGAGACTTTGGATGTATTGATGTAAATCTCTGTATAATTCTCTATTAGCTGCAAATTCTTTCGAGAATTGTGATTCGTATTCGTTGAGCTTTTCTTTGAGCTCTATATTCTCAATTTTCAACATGATCACATCTGGATGTTGCTCTGGCGAGAGAGCCTTTTGGAAAAGTGTTTCAGCTTTTGAAAGCCACTTGTCCTCATTCTCCAATGTAAAGTTCTCAAAGTCAAAATCAAAATCGTTCGTCTTGTCAAAATCAAATTCTGCGCCTGAAACAAAACCATCGCTAATTTTGAGTTGAGTTTTTCCTGACATTCTCGCTATTCTCGACTCTCTAAGCCGTAAAAAGAATCGAGTGCTTGCCAAGAGTTTATCTTTTGAAGAAAGGGCCTTCTTCAACTCTTCGACACGATACGAAAGCGATGAGTTCTTTTCTTCCATTTCATCTAATTGGGATGACAGAAATATGTGTTGATTTTGAAGTTCTGCCATATAATTTTCCTTTTCCAAATCGTCCAAAGGAATGGGTTGAGGAGGTGTGAGTGCTGGTGGAACGTCTTGAATCTTTTTGTTTGCTTCAAGTAATTGTTTTCTGAGAATTTTGATTTGTTCTTGCAAGAATGGAATACTTCCTGAGGTTTCTTCGTTGATTTTAGCTTCATTCTTAATGCGTTTAGCTCTTTGAGCAAAAGTGAGTGTGGACAGAGTTTCTGAAAGTGAGGTAACTGCAGGACTGATATTGGCAATAACACATGTCTTAGAATTCCCTCCAAGAGAATCCTTAAGTAGAAATGTCAATTTGCTATCTCGGTATTGAACGTGACGAGAAATTCCATTAGCCACATCGACAAGGTCTTTAATCACCTTACCAAGTGTAGAGAGAGATTTGTTGATGGCACATGCTTCCTTTAAACGTTCGCCTTCTGCGTGTGATGTCGATTGTCTCTCACTTCCAGCCAAATCAATCAAATTGAGTCTGGAAGTTCGAATTTTTGTTCCTCCTTCTGCAACTTCTTGAGATTTGATATAAATGGTAAAGACAGAGTGAGAACGTGAGCTACGATCGTTCATGGCTGTTGCACCAACATGTCGATTTGGAAGGCCTTTTTGTAGAATGTTAAGGGCATCTTTGGGCGAAAGAACATCTTCATGAGTTAAATCCTCAACATATACTCCTGTTTTAAAATCTTCTCGTAGTGTCAAGCTTTTTCCACTTGTGCTTCCATCAAATGAGGGTATCTTGGGTGTCATGTCTAACAGATCTGTGATTTTCTCCATATAAATTTCTAGTAAGGAGCAACTGACAATAAATTTAATGTCTGATTGTTGCCTCCGCTTCTCAATTTCACTAAACAAGTAATAGATCACTCTCGGTATCAGACCATATGATGAAGGCACATTGAAGTAATTTTGAATGTCGTCATCGATCATTCGATCGTCGTCAAAGGATGTTCCCATAGTAAAGGTCTATTGTATATAATGGTTCATGTCAGAGAGAATTTCATGAAAGAATGCGTTTGTTTTTTCATTGTTTTCATATATTGTTTCAGAAAGAGTTCAATGAACGATTATATATACAAAAACACAAAGTTACAGTCAACAAACAAATTGATTGATCACACATACCTTTCCTGAACCAGTTTGTCCATAACAAAATATCGTTCCATTATATCCTGATAAACAACTATCTACAATTGGTTTTCCACAACAATCAAAGATTTCTTTTTGAGTTGTGAGTGGATTGGCCACATAATCAAACGTAAAAGCCTTTGGTTTTTCTCGTGGATTGGTTGATATTTGAAGTGTTCGTTTCGTGAGTGTATCTACTTGAACACAATTTTGTGTTTCATGGTCGGCGAGTGGTCTTACTCTAACGACCACTCTCACACTCGATTTATCATCATCGTCTTGTTTTGCAAATATATCGGATTTTCTTGTACTTCCCATTAGGGTTTCATCTTCCAATAGGAGGGAATGATGAAAACAAGAAGAAGATTGAGGAGAGAAGAGTGTAGAGGCTACATGAGAACCACCAACCACGATAGGAGATGTAAATAAACTGTGATGGTTGTTGTGGATACCTCCTCCGCCACTTCGGAGGGAGGATGAAGGTGTTTGAAATGGATTTCTTCGGGTTGCTGTTGTTGTTGTTATACGAGGAGAGGAGAGCATCCGTTCCAATTCTTGGGAAGGAGAAAATATTCCACTCAAATTATGATTGGGATTATTGGTCATTATGATTGGGACTGAAGAAACTGAATTGCGGAAAGTTGAGAGTTGTTTGGAAAATGTACAAGGTAGAGATGTAGAAAGGATGTTACTGTGCTGAGGTGGTGGTGAAAGTGGTTGTAAGAAATTTAAAGAGAGGGATGGAGTAGAAATTTGTATTTTTTTTTGCATATTTTCACTTGAAACGTTCAAATTTTTAAAAAGTTGGCGGCAAAAGAAGGGCGGCAAAGACAAAATGTTGCGGTGATCCATCATCAAGAAGCCTCCTTTTAAAATTCATTTTGTTATTCCGATATGAAAAACACTGTGCAGGTGACTCTAACCGACATAATGGATAGATCGTGAATTTTGTATGAAAAGAGTTGGTCATGAAAGATTATGTGCCTGCAGTGATTCCCATCAAGCCTCCCTTGCAGCCACTCCGAATTACCAACAAGCCCCTTCCCCCAATATTTCAAATTCATCCCAACATCCTCTCACTCATATCTATACACCAGTAGAAATGTTGTAACAAAATCAGATTACAGAAATTCAAAATTGTAGATCTTTTCCTATTAGGTCCTTTGTTGCTGTTAACCTTTTGGAATTCCCTTCTCTTCACCTCTCACATTTTTTAACGTGATCATGTCACTCAAAAAAAACTTCAGAATTGTTTCTTCTACATGTTGTCCAAACCTCACCACACTAACCAAAAATCAAAGCTCCCACAACTCATACCAGAGCTTTGCGAAAGGGAGTATTGTAAATTTGCTGGATGTTTAAAGCAACATTATCGTGGCTCACGACACGCATGCTTGAATGGTGGGAATTGCTTCAACTTGTCTTGTACTTTTGATCATTGTACCGAAAGCAACCCTCACTTTTGGAGTGTAGCCCAACGTCAAGCCATATCAAAGCAGCAGTTGAGCTTGATCCCTCCTCTTGTGGACAGGCCATCAGGAAGCTCACAGCCCGAAGAAAGATCGAAAGTGAGCAGTAGTGGTATGAAGCCATCTCCTTCTGCAGAGACGTTGGAGAAGTTGCCAAAACTCATTTCAACTCCATGCAAAAAGGGAGATGACTGTCGTGACACTGAATGTATCTATTTTCACAAACACAGACCAAAATGTTTACATGCAGAGAAATGTTGGAAGAATACATGCACCTTTGATCACAGCTCCTTCACCAATCCAAGCACTCTCAACTCGAGACAACAAAAGCTTTTGAAATGGAAAATGCATCTATTCAAACAGAATAGTTTGTTTGCAGGAGGTGATTGCGGATCAAGCTCAGATGAAGAAGAGGATGACAATCGTTCCACTTCAAGCGTCGGCAGCACTGCACACTTTGACGTTGATACGGAATTTTCAGAAAAGAGTGATAGCATCTCCGAGGTTTTTGATTTGGACGATCGAGACCCGTTATTGGATTTCTCTCAACTTCAAGAAACCTTTATTCTTGATACTCTCCAAAAACAAGCTCCATCCTTGAGCAAAAAACAACTTGAGGAGTATGCCAACAAAGTACAGTTGTCTATCAGTGAGCACTTTATGGAGAGACAAGAGGGCATTATGAAGAAAATGTTGGAAAATACCAGAACATTGGGCTTTGGAGAAGAATATATGGCAATTCGCAAGGCACTTATGGAAGAAAAGAACCTCCTTCACAAACAAAAGAAAAGCTTTGATTGTAGAATGAGAGAATTGGAAGAGAAAAGAGCTTACTGCTCCAATTATTCATTACTTTACCAAGCATATGAGCGAGAATTCAAGAGAGCCAAAGCACTTCTGCCTTTCTATGGCTTTAGAGACGAAATACTTCAAGCGATTGCTGATAACGACATTGTCTTAATTCAAGGTCAAACTGGAAGTGGAAAATCCACTCAAATTCCACAATTCTTGTTAGAGAGTGGTTATTTTGGAAGAAAAATTGCATGTACTCAACCAAGAAGAGTTGCCACCACCACATTGGCTGATCGAATTAGTGATGAAATGAACTGTAATGGAACTCCGCTCATTGCAGCAAAAGGAGCACGTAATTATCAACATGGTGGCAAAACCAAGCTCATCTTGCTGACAGATCGTTCATTGTTGAACGAATTTTGTAAGGACAGAAATTTGAAAAAGTACGGCTGTATTATGATCGATGAAGCACACGAAAGAACAGTATTTACTGATATCTTGCTCGCAGAATTGAAAGCACTTGTGAAACGAAGAAGAGAATCAGGAGCTCCATTGAAATTGATCATCAGTTCTGCGACAATGGACGAGGACTTGTTTTCCTCATACTTTGAAAAGTGTCCTGTCATCAAGGTTCCTGGTCAAATGTATCCTGTCAAAGTCCACTGGGAAAAATCTCAATCCAACTATGTCAACCAAGCTGTTAATAAGGTGCTATATATTTTGTTGAATCATCGACAAGTTAAAAGCGACGCTTTGAAAGGTTCCATTTTAGTGTTTTTGACAAATCCTGAAGAAATTGAACAAGCATGTAAGAAATTAAAACATGCACTGAAAGCAAAGCATAACGACTATGAAATCCTTCCCTTGCATGGAAAACTGAGCCCTGAAGCACAGCAACAAGTGTTACGTGAATCTACAAAGGTGAAAATCATTTTTGCAAGCAATATTGCAGAGACATCGGTCACCATTAAGGGTCTCACCACAGTTATAGATACCGGACGTGTAAAAGAGAGAAGTTTTGATCAAAATAGAAACATCTCCCTGCTGAAAGTGAATTTTATCAGTCAAAGTTCTTCATTGCAAAGAAAAGGAAGAGCAGGTAGAACACAACAAGGTGAATGTTTCAATTTATACGATTACTCGGAATTTTTGCAGTTTAATATCTCACAACCTGCCGATATTTTCAAAACTCATTTGGGAACAGTTATTCTTCAAATTTTAACTTGTCACTCCAAATTCCACAGCAACGACCTTATCCACTATGACCTGATTGAAAAACCATCACCTAGTGCTCTCAACAGCCAACTCAACAAGCTTCTTGCTTTGGGATTTGTGAAAGCAGAGTCCGGAAATTTCATTTCCATCACTGAGGATGGTAAATATGCCTCTCAGCTCTTCATGGACCCCTATGCCTCAAGAATGATTATCGAAGGAGTGAAATCAGGTATTTCAAAAGAAATCATAGGTGTTGCTTCCATGATGTCTGTTTCAGGAATGATTTTCTTAAAAGGAACCGATACTAAATCGAAAGAAAATGTTTTAACCAGCAAGGTCTCTCTTTCTAAGAGTGAAGGTGACTTGTACTCATTGTATTCTCTTTACAAGCAATTCTCAACATTGAAGCCTGTGAAAGTGCAAAAAGAATGGTGCTCTCAAAACAGCTTAAATTGGGTAGCATTCAAAATTGCGGAAAGTACTTTCAAGGAACTATCTAGAAATGTTAAATCTTGCAACATTACATCGTTGCCACCCAACGTTTCCCTTAATGATGACCAAAAGAAGCAATTCATCCTTAAATGCATTATTTCAGGATTTAATGCAAACATTGCCTATTACGATGGTACAAGAAAAGACCGTTCGCTTATTTACAAACTTATAGAGCTGAATCAAGAAGCATGTTTACATCCGTCCTCTGTTGTTTTTTCTGAAGACAAACCTCCAGAGTTCATTTTATTCTACGAACTTGTTAGAACAGAGAAGCTGTATGTCAAGAATGTGACTCCAGTAGATATTGATACCATATGTCAATACAACAAAACCCTAGACAAAACCAAAATCGTGAGACAAGTGAAAAAATTTGTTGAAAAGCAAATTCCTAAAGCTTGTATTGATGTGCTACAAAGTAGAGAGGGAGAAATGTTGGAAGATCTTGAAAGAGCTACAGGTTGTGTAATCGAGATCGACGAGACGACCAATTGCTTGAAATACGAAGTTTCTCAAGAACAAGAAGCTGCCAGTATGAAAATTGTGAACGAAATAGTCAAAAAAGCTTGTCACAAAGTTGAAAAGCATTTATTTGAATTTGTTCCAAGCAAGCAAAACACTGTACGAGTTGTGATTGGAAGTGGCCTTGAAGTTTTTCATGTTCTTACGAAACACCAGTACATTAGACTTAATTTCAGAACTACTACCATTGCGGATAGCTCATTGAGGCAACAGTTTGAAAGGTTTGGAGAAATTTGGGACTTTGAAATTTATCCCAACCGTACATCTCAGCAAAAGATTGAAGGATATGTGATTTACACTAAATGGGAACATGCTGAAGCTGCTTTCGAACAGTTAAAGGACTTAAACAACGATTTGCAACTCTTTCCAACTTCCACCTGTGGAGCAGCCTCTCTCATTGACGAAGTTCCTTCTCTCATTGCCACATGGTACTTGTCGCACTCGAAAGGAACTGCCCGAATTCAGTTTCCCAATTCCTTCCTGTTGAGAGAGGCAAAAAAAGCGTTAAAGGTTCCAGGTGCTCTTCCAATGCTAGCACGAATTGAAAAAAACGAAACGAAACAAAATGAAATCGAGCTCTCGAACTTGGGACGTGAAATGGACGAAGAAAAATTGCGTCAACTTTTTGGAAGATATGGAATTTATCCATCCAAAGTGGATGTGTCACGTGATGAGATTGATCCAAATTCTTATACTGAACAAACACAAGTACAAACCGTTCTTGTGCAGTCGTTATTTACACAATATGGTAATTTGGATTTTGTGGACATCTTTCCTCCAAAACCAGCCAAAAAGAACTGCAAAGTTTTGGTCAAGTATAATTCCCAAACAAGCGCCTCTGAAGCTCTTCAACAGTTGAACGGAAGTCCTTTTGGATGCGGAAAACTTAGCATTTCATACAATGTGCACGAAAAGATTTATTTACCACTTGCGGTATTTGAAATTTTCAAGAACGACATCTATAATTCCATCCATATTGTCCAAACACAATTCCATTGTAAGGCAGTTTTCAAACGCATGAAGCATGACAAAAAGAAAAATAGTAGTGAATTTGGTAATACTGGTTTCGTACAAGTTTTTGCGAACAATGACATGAAACAATTCGAGAAGGCGAAAGCGTTCCTTAGAACGAGTCTTCAGTGCACCACCCTGTCATTGTCTTTTGTTCAATTCAAGGATTTTGAAAAAAAGAAAGAAAAATTTAAAAACGAACTCAAAGACAAGGTCTATCTCTCAGCAGATGCTCGTACGAAACAAGTGAAAATTTATGGAAAGGAACAAGATCGTGAACAAGTGAAGCAAGATATCATGCAAGCGATTAAGAACGATAGTAAGAGATACATTTCTGTCAAGTCCCTTAAAAAAGTGGTTCCAATGCTAAGTCAGTTGAAGAAGGATTTTAAAGGCGACATTTATATGGACGATATTAGGTCGAAAAAACTGATCATTATTTCAACAGACACTGAATATGAAAAACTCAAGCAGAGAATTCAACAGATTGAAAACGATGGTAACGAGACTAGCTGTGAACATGAATGTAGTATTTGCTGTTCCGAAATTGAACAAGGGCAAACGCTTGTGTGTGGCCATCCGTTCTGTGTCACTTGTTTTGCAATTCAACTCGATGGATTCGATATTGAATCGAAGTCTATTATTTGTAACGAATGTAATTGCAAAGTTCCAGTTCTTGAAATTCTCAGCACCTACAAGAATAATGTTCATTTATTCAAGGAAAAGTGTGAAATTCTCCTTAACAAGTATTTGCTTATGAACAAGTTGAAATGGCAATATTGTGATGTGTGCAATCAGTTGTGCCGAATGATTACCCCATCTTCGTATGAGTGTTTGAATTGTGACATGGTTTATTGTGTCAAATGCAAGAAGAGAAGCCATGAAGGAGTCTCGTGTGACCATGAAGAGAACTTGTTTCAACAATACCTGGCCAGCTTTACCAAAAAGTGTCCAAAATGTACAAGTCCCATTGAGAAAAATGGAGGATGTAATCACATGACTTGTTCTTCGTGCAACAATCACTTTTGTTGGCTTTGCGGATATAGTGCTACGAGTGCGAGCCCAATTTATATGCATCAAAGCTCTTGCCCAGGTGATAAAACGTTCTAATCGGTGGTTTATTGCCAACTCGTTCAGTATTAGTTCTCCATCTTGTCCATTTCAATAAACAGAAAACCGTGTCACAGGTTCTTGATGTTTTCAAATTCTTAGAAGCAACAATCACAACTTTTTGAAGTAGTTTTTGTAAATTATTAAAAATCGAATAGTTGCAACGAGCATTAAACTTACTCAAATGGGCACAAGTCTGTATTTCCTCCTTTTCCAATTTTCAATTCATCAGTTGAATAAACTGCCAATCCATCAATGGTTTTTCTTCCAGATCGTTTCTTTTGATTTGCAAATTCTTCATTGCTCTCAAATAAATCGTCAGATGTAGAGGATGACGACGAAGCAGCAGATGCCTTTTTAGCTTGTTTTAATTTCTTCTTGTTTTCCAAAATTTCATTCTTCACAGATTCAAAAATGTCATCAATTTTTGCAGGTTCTAATGATTCCTCTTCCTCCGATTCTTCTTGTTCTTCTTCTTTTGGATATTTCTTTTTTCTATTTAAAATATTGGAAATTTCATCACCATGTATTGCTGGTTTTGTTATTGATTTTGATGCTTTCGAATTGTCATTATTTTTCAATGATGAAGAGGACTTGATCGGAGTAGATGATGTTTCTGATGGCTTCTTTTTCTTTACACTGACATTATTTCCATGTGCAAGAGAAGAAGCAATCGGAGGATTATTTGCTTTCGTCATCTTGTTTTGTTTTTCTACTTTTTTAATTTTATCCATCATGGATGATCCCGATGACGCCGTCTTTTGTGAAGTGTTTTGTTTGACCATTTTTTTTCAAATTAAATTTTGAATTGGACAAGCACTCTTAAAGTTTGCGAAATAGAGAGCAGTTCACTCCAGTTAAAATTTGCATTGTAATTTCCAAAAGAACCAGCTAAAAAAATGTCTGGAAGATGGATTTGAACCATCGACCTACGAGTTGGAGTCGACGCTCTCCCATACTGAGCTATTCCAAACAAAAAAGATTGAGTGCCCGTTGAGTTCAACGCAGTCTTCGATGGAATCGTAAAGCCAACCTCGAGCAATACAGGAAATGAACAAACAAAATTTACGCCATCACGATGGCACCAACAACACACACCAACATTTCGCAAATTAGCAACCCCGAAATAGAACACGCTGGTGATGATTCATCAGTGCAAGGAAAGAGAAAGCTGGATGCTACAAACCGCACTTCCTTACACGATGATGAAGAAAGTCCAATGGAGACTAACACGAAGAAACAAAAGCAAACTCTATTCATCAACACAACCAATATTTCAAGCTCTCGTATTAATGATTCTGATGTATCAATGGGTACTATAACCTCCTCATCATCAGAAACAACCACTATTGTTGAAGAATTTAATCGTACATCATCCTCAGGATCAACCATCGTTAACAATGATGTAAAACTTCGTGATGATATCAACAATCAACAACCAGCAATAGCAATTCTCTCGTTCCACAATTACAAGAAATGGAACTCTGAAGAGGTTGCTTTTACATTGGTTTTGGATGATGTGGTTGGTGGAGCATCATTATCCGTTGCTGATGTTAAACCTTTATGTGATGCCGATTTCAAAGGGACCTCTCTTGCCAATATTGTACAGGATATCAATAGACACAACGTTGACTCGGCTATTAAAAGCATGACTGAAAGCAATGATTTTACTCAAGTCTCCGAAAGTACTTGCAAGTCCGTTGTGCATTGGGTAAACAATACATTAATGCCCAAGCTTTTTGGATTGTGGGACAAAGATCAAACAAAGTCGGCACTCTGCAAACATAAATTAATAGGAGGTGCTGGATTATGTGAGAATCAAGTTCAGCCTTTATATGAGGCAGGGTTTAATGGAACAGTATTATCTAGGATTGTTTATGAATTGGAGAAGAATGAAAGGGATGGTAACGCTTTGACTGATGTTGAGGTAGTGAACAACATTCTTGCAATGGAAATCGATTCATCTACTCGCACAGTATTAGTGGACTGGGTAAAGTTTGAACTGATTGCAAAAAACAAGATACAGGTACCATTGGCTAAGCCAAGCGTTTCAAATGTTAAATATTTTGCATGTAACAAAAGATATACTATTGACCACAATGAAATAGTTCACTCAACACGAAAGAAGATACAACAATTTATTCAACAATTCACAACAACATCACCAAAAGATATCTCTAACATTGAATCCATCCCAAATATTTTACTCAGCAGTTTTGGAGCAAATTTTACCTTTGTGGATAGAGAAGAAAGTACCAAGATTATTTTCAACAATTTTAAGCAATATTCGTCGCGAATTGATCAACAAGGGGAAAATTTAAATTTAGACAAAACGAATATCACACTTCCATTCATTGCAGCAGCTCCAGGTGTTGGTAAATCAAAACTACTGAAAGAGATTGGATTGAATTTATATCGTAAACATTTTAGAGAACAGGTGACTTGCTATCCTTTATTTGTTTCTTTTGGAAACGGTACTTCTATCACTGCAACAGAAAAAGACAAACAAATAGACATCACTCAATCATTTATTATTAGAGTTATATTTTCATTCATATGTCATATCAATGGAAAAAAAGAGGATTTCCCGGCCATTGTAAGAAATTGGGTTGCTACTTTTGAAAATCGAATCATAGATCTGAATGAGGTATTGGATGTTATTACCAATTTATTGGGGAAGGATAATATTGATTTCTTTATTGCGATCGATGAGGCTCATCAAATAGATAATCGTACTCAAAATCAACACAATCCCTTGCGTTCACTTTTTATATATTTGGGCCATTTACTACAAATCCCACCAAAACCCTACAATTTATTACAAAACCCACAACAACCCAACTACATGAGATTATTTCCTTTATTTGCCGGTACATATCATACAGTTTTACTTACAAGCTTGATTTGTAGTACTTACACTCCACTTTTTGTTCCAGTTAATGCATTACTATCTTCTCTGAACATTGTTACGATTATTGATAATTTATCGAACACTCATCCTAAACTGAGGAATTGGAGGACCAATGTTGAGTTTAGACATTACTTGAGACTCTTTTCTGGATTTCCAAGAGGTTTAGAATATTATCTTGAGCAATATATAACTCAACCAGAATATACATCACGGACTGCATTTGAAACTTCAGCATATAATTTGAGCCAGAAATACTTTTTCTGCATTTCTAACAGTATTGGTCATGTTTTGGTATCCCATATTTTAACACGACAAAATGTACTCAAAAACAGCAATATTATCAGCTCTGTTGATTTGACTTTCTCTGACGCTGAAAATTTGGGCTTTATCATGTTGGACCTTGTTCAACAAGGTTTGCCATATTTTACCTGTACCTATCCTCCAGTATTGATGCACCAGATGATTGATCAGCAATTACGACCACATTTTGAAAAATTATTTTTTTCTACTGAAAGAACAATGTATGAATTTTCTTGGGAAGACCATGTTTATGATTATCTTTATTTATTTTTTAGTTTGCTTTCAAATACATCAGACCTATCATTGAGCAATCTATTCCCATTTGCTTTAATGTCAGAGAAAACTGCTAAACTCACATTGGAACAAATACCAAACTGTAAACAATGTACGGCTAAACATCAAATTCAAGGTACCTTGAATGAGAAAATTGATACCACTAGTGGTCTGTTGGATATAACAACGGTTATAGATTGTACAATCATCAAAAACGCAGACTCTGCTCAAGCTGGGGATATTTTAATAATTGGTTTAAAATTGAAAGACTCACCCAACGATATTCTAGTTTTTCATATTCAATGCAAATGGGCTGACTCTGAAAAATCTAGTGAAACATTCAAAAATATTTCTACTGAAATAGAAAAGAATGAGAAATTGTGCTTTGATACGAAATCAAAAAAGACGACAAATATTACAGTCATAATGAGTGGTAAACCCATTCCAGACCTTCCTAACAACATTCCAGACAATGTAATGATCATTAACAAAACTAACTTTGCAAAATATTTTGGGATTTTTGCAGATAGCATGAAGTTCTTTTGTAGCAAACAAATTCTTCACATTAATGAGGTGAATGAGTTAGAGTTACAATGCTTTCCTAGAATAGGTGAACAAATGGCAAAATGTGTGATGAAATCACGACCATCCGAAGGTTTTAAAGACCACGCAGATATGCAGAACAAAATACGTACTCAGGTTTCAAATATTGAAATTGCAACAAAATTGATCAACATACTTAACGAAACTGAAATAATTTTCTAGAACTGACAAAGATTGCGAATGAGACATGAATATGCGGAGCTTTCTCTCTTATCGCCGAATTTATAACCAGAAACGAAATCCATTTCATGAAAGCTCCAAGGATTTTTGCTACAATAATCATCCTGTACCACATGTGAAAATTACTGTCTTTAATTGAAAATTTTGTTAAGCATGTATAACTTTCAATTAAAAGCTCTGACAGTGTTATCTAATCAATCGTGTTATTTTAGGTGAGTTAATGGGACATGTATAAAACATATGTGAATCATTGTACAAGTTAGGAAAAATTTTATTGTTGCATCGACAAGTAATTTTCACTCTCAGAGTTTTTGTATTCCTCAATCAAGCCAGTGATGACTTCAGTACAATCATCAAATTCTCCTTCATAAAATGGTTCAGAGAAATTATTCATGAAGGCCTTTCGTTCGTATTGCTTTTGGAAATTTTTCATAATGTTTTGACAGAGTCCTGCAATGCTCGTGTGATTGGCCATCATCAAACCACTGACACGATTTTGTGTTTGAATGTACGGCGATTTCTTACTGAGTACGACCTGTATGGAAGATGGTCCCCAAGGTATAAAGTTAGCTAAATTTTTCTTTCGTATCAAGCTTAATGATTTGTGCACTTGGGTTGGATCAACCTCTCCCTGTATAATATTGAGAATGGAAATGTAGCAGCCCTTCTTTGTGTTCGTGCTGACCATGATATTCTTGGGATTGAGGAGTCGTCTCATCACATCAAGAACACTTGTTTTTTGAATTTTAGCTTGATTATCAACCACACTGAGTGGAGTGTAACTGGTCATTAAAAAGTGACATCTTGGAGTTGGCACCAGAGATGCAATAAGTCCTACCAAGTCGTTATTCATATATCCTGGATATCTTAGAGTTGTGGTCGTGGCTGCCATCACTGTAGATACTAGACTGTTAATATTATCCACACTAGGGTTTGCAATTTTTAGTCTTTCCGTAGCAATGTGATTGAGAGCTGTATTATCCAAAACGACAACCGAATCTGCGTTAAGAATTAATCGTTTCAGTGCCAACATTGAGTTATAAGGTTGTACCACCACATCACTCACACCTTGATTCGATGGAAATACAGAATACGTTTGAATGAGTTTTTTAGGATATCGATCATTAAGTTTTTCCAAAACGTACGAGCCCAAACCACTTCCTGTACCTCCAGCAATCGAGTGCAGCAATACAAAGCCTTCCATGGAATCGCTATTATCAGCCTCTCGATCAATAATATCCATTAATTCTTCGTGATATTTTTCCGCTAACTGAAATCCACAAGACCAACTATTACCAGCACCTCCACCATCACCCGGCAAGTAAATATTCTCGGGATTGAACAAGTTCTTTAATTGAGGATTTTTCTGAATACCATCAATGACTCTAGGTTCCAAATCGACCAGAACTGAACGTGGAATAAAATGTTCATCATCGGCCTGATAGAAGAATACATCTTTACGATCACCGGCTCCTTGTACTGCAAAATCTTCTAGAATGCCTTCGGGACCAATTCCATGTTCTGCACATAATCGTTTCCTAGCATGTTGTGGGTCCGTGATAAATTCATGTGTGAAGGAGTACAAGTATCATGAAGAAGCGTCATCATCATCACGGATAACAACAGACAATATATTTCCATAAAAGAATTTGTGTATTTCGTGAAGTACATGATTATCAATCATACAGTGTATCAAAGAGAATGATTCTTTCTACCATAATAACCAAATGAAAAGACAACCTACCAAAACTCGGCTCCGATTTGATTTCCACATTGACCTGCTTGCAAGGTGATAATTTCACGTGGCATGTTTTGTGTTTGACTTTTTTTTAGAAAAGTTTTGGCGCACACAAACATACAACAGAGCCTTTGAAAAAACAAAGCCTTAATGGTTCTTCTGACACGATGCAGTTTGCATGAAATGTAAATTAAAAGATCTTCTCAAGAGTGAAAACAATATTAGAAAATCAAAGTGCAAACAAATACTTCATCTTCCCAAAACAATTCAGCAACTCAAAGAGCAGTCAGCGCTCAAAAATTACTGACACCCAACAACAGAAAAAGAGATTATTGTTCATATGAAGGGCAAGACTGAACGATGTGTCAAATTTCCACAATATCAAAATTCATTAAGAAATTGTTGTTCACAATCTGCACAGTTTAAACTGATTGATGATGAATATCAATAAAAACGCATCCTTACAAAGAAGTGAGTTCTGTGGCTGGATTATCAATGTCCTTACTTGTGACTCGTGTTGTTTCGGAAAATCCCTCTTCCACTCTTGTCCACTCTGACTGATTCGAATAAAAATCATCAAAAGGATCAGCATTTGTCAATTGATCTTTGGATTTGTAATAAACTTTCGATTCAATCACATAAATATTGGAATTGGTCACAATATATGGATACACGACATCACTATTTCCAACAGTTGAATATAACTTTTCAATCTTCTCATCCATGACGAATTTCATGACACAAATTCCAACATGCCAACATTCTTGCGTTGCTTTAAATCGAATCAAAACAGAGGCACCATGATGTGTTGCATCAGGATTTTCACTCAACCCACTCAGAATGGCATAATTATCATATCCAATAAAGACCTCGAAAGGTGTTTCCGATTGTTTAATTTCCTTGATGAGTGCATACCATGATGGACGGGAATCTCCTGGACATAAATGATAGAGACCTTGACGAACAATCATTGGACCATTCTCAACCAATGTCATTTCTTGCCGAATGAGACAAGATGAAGTAGTAGCAGCAGATGATGCAATACTTGTTTTGGCATAGGCCGATTCATAAATATTCACTTGTTCGGAATTAGGCCCAATAATTTCCACAAGGAAGGGACAACCACCATTATCATGAGTAACATAAAAAGTCGAGTTGGAAAACTTCCTGTCCGAAATGGGTATTTCTGTATAGATGAATGGATCCAGCCGGCGACGTGGTTGGAATGGAGTGGTGGCTTGAAGTTGCGGCATTTTTTGTTTGTAATCATGAAAGTTGTGAACATCTTTGGGAAATTAATTTAACTTTCCAGTTTCTTGAAAATTAAGTTCAATTTCGTTTTTAACCGACGGCATGGTTGACCATCTTTATGCCTCAATGAGATGGAAAAAATGTTTCCAACAACAATCAGTCGTTTGTTGCTGCTGCTGTTACTCTTCTTACAAGCAGGCATGATTCATCATGCACTTTTGGTTCCAAATGAAACTCATCGATGGGATTCTTCCTCAACTGCAAATTTGAGAAAGTTTTTCGTTCGTCCCAATTTTCAAGATTTCACTAACAAGGCTCAACAGCAAGGAGGAGCAGTAGTGGAACTCCAAAAAAAATGGATCGACAACAACCTCGCTCCGTCGTCTTTTTGGGATTCGGAATCGCATCATCATGTTCAACCTGAATTTATGAATTGCACCCAGGAAATTCCTTGTTCATCGGTCAGCAAGGCTTTGCAAGTCATGATTCAATTATTCAAGTCTAAAATTATTGAAAAATTAGAAGGAAAAATTGTGTTAATGTCCATGCTTGATGGAAACAATATTTATGGAAAGGATCAGTGTAATATTCAACAACAAGATCCTGTGATCTTTGATCATCTTGTGATAGAATCTTTCAATCAATCCAAAATTATATTTGCTTGTGATAAATTTTCCATCTTTTCCTATCTCAAAGTGAACGACATGCTGCTTGACAATGTGGATCTATTCCAAGCATCACTTGTAATGATTTCTGATCTATATGCACAGTCAATACGCTTTCATAGAGTGAACATGTCACAAGTGGAACTTTTAGTGGCTAGCTGGGATACGTACATTTCAACGCACATATTATTTACGAGTGTGGATGTTTCTAATTCACGTTTTGGATTTAATGGTATACCAACAGTATCCTTTCACAATGCCTCGATTTGGAATTGTAACATTTCAACCCGACTCCCAATACGCATAGATGTTCAATATTCAAAATTTGTAAACTCACAACTTTTTCTCTCTCCAGACCTCCAAAAAGCTACTAACAGCCTGAATGTGACTGGTTCAGATTTTATTGGATCAGAAACTACAATAGCCTTTTTCAATGAGATAGTGTTCCAAGAGGTACTCTTCTCTGAAAAGAATCAGTTACGTCTCATGTATTCAGATAGTGCTTCTTTTTTCAGCGTCACAGCGATACATTCACAACTCTACATGTTGCTTAATGGAGTGTTGGAAGTAACAATGCAAGATTTACAATTTCGCTCAAGTCAACTATTGGATGACAACAATGTCATGATTGAGATGTCTGCATGTTACTCTGCAACATTAACAAACTCTATATTTTCTCACAATAAGGGAGTATTGATTAGAATTGCCAATACCTATAATTTTATACTGTCCGAAACCGAATTTTCACACAATGAAGGAGGACCTTGTATCATGGTATCAGGTACCTCTTCCGAAGAATCCTCAACTCAACAAGTTGTTAGCTCTCAATTTATTAACAATACATGTTCTCTTGGAGGATGTGCCATACAGCTTGCTAATACCGAACGGACTCTTATTAATGAATGCGAATTTATTCAAAACACTGCAACAGAGCAATCTGGAGGCGCCCTTCACATTACCCATGTCAATTGGGTTGAAATGACGTACAATGAATTTATTCAAAACAACGCAATGATATCTGGAGGCGCCATTTACGCCATCACTACGAATTTTTTACTAACTCACTCACATATGCAACAAAATAGTGCTCTTTCGAAAGGAGGTGCAATTTTTTCGAAAATTATGTCTGACAGCAATCAGTCTGGCAAGATCACTTTTGAGGTCACGAAAAACACATGCTACAACAACACGGCTGGATTTTCTGGTGGATGTTGGTTTTTTGAAGATGATTCGTCCTCGTCATTGACACAAACTATTGAACAGGGAACAAATTTTGTGAATAATGTTGCACATTCTTTTGGAAATAGTCTGGGAATGCCTTTTCGAAATATTAAGTATGAACTTGTGATTCAATACAGTCCTGAAGATGTCACAATTTTTAAAGGAAACAACATTTCTTCTATAGAAAAACCAACTCTGTATCTGTATCCCGGACAATCGATTCCTCTTATAGAATTACATTTATGGAATAACATTTCAGAGCCAGTTTCATTTTTAGAGACGCCGCTGAGCTCTACATTGAAGAATCCCTCCAATGCGCTAATTAGTTACCGACGACATGTGTCAAATTCTAATAGCACGAATGGCGTCCACTCTCACTCGATGCAAGTTCACAATTTAACAATCTCATTATATTCTCCACATGACATTCATTCTGTAATTCAAACTGCATTTGAATTGGACAAGAACAATCAAATTGAAATACTGATTCACATTCAAGAATGTCCTTCATCTGCAACTCTTGACATGTTGATGGCTCCAGTGTCAGAAACGTATTCATGTTTACCAATCACTCCGATACCCTTTGGCGTGATTATTCCCGTAGTTTCTGTAGTTTCCATCACACTGTTTTCAGTGTTCCTCTTGTTGGTGTTTTTGTTAGCGAAAGTGTTGAGAAACGTGACTAGAAAATTGAAACGATTGGAACTGAAAGAAGATGCTGAGCAAAGATTGGAGAAGAAGTTGTTGCAAAAACATGTCATTATTGAAGAAGGAATATTGGTAGACGAATATGATCAAGATGAGAAGACCCGCAAGAATGATGTTTATAACGAACAAACAAGCTTGTTAATTAATCAAAAGACACATTCCTCAAAAAGCCAACAAAAAAAACATTTAAGTTGGATTATTTCGATTGATCAAGTCGATCTCATTCGAAGAATTGCAGAGGGAGCAAATGGAACTGTTTATTTGGCATCTTGGAATGGAACATTAGTGGCCATGAAAACTCTAAAGCAACCATTATGGATGGATGACTTACACGACAAGGATGACGATGAATTTGAAAAAGAAGCCTTTTTACTTTCCTCAATTCGACATCCAAATATTATTCAATTTTTTGGAGTAATTTTGACTGGATGTAAAAAGTACATGGTTGTTGAATTTATGGAAAAGGGAAGTTTGGCACAATTAATTTATCAATTACGAACAGGTTCACAACAATTATCAATATTTGGTAAAATTGATATTCTACTCGGAATTGCCAAAGGCATGAATTATTTACACTCAATGAAACCACGTGGAATTATTCATCGAGATTTGAAACCAGCAAATATTTTACTTGATCAAAATATGAACGCCAAAATTTGTGATTTTGGATTGAGTCGAATGTGGAATAGTAACACGGCTCATAACTCGGTAACAACGAATGTAGGAACTTTATTTTACATGTCCAATGTAAGTAGTGGTGTCATTTGAGTGGTCATGGTTGTTCACCCTTGACAAATTCCTCGTTTAGGAAATGATTAGTGGCATGAATTACAACCACAAAACCGATGTATACAGTTTTGGAATTATCATGCGGTGAGTATTTATTATATTTAATTTACATATCTATCCATTCCAATCATGATTCATCCACTTTTTAAAATCATTCATTAGGGAGCTCTTTTTTGAAGAAACACCCTATTTCTATTCGAGTTCAAAGTTTCCACAATCATCCAACTCGACACCAAGTGAATTGTCATCCTATCATGCACTTTCGAAAGTATTACGAGGAGAACGACCACTCATTCCATTCGACACGAATAATCCAGACGATCTACGAGAATGGATTTTGAAATTTTCATTCATGACTTGCTCCACTCGACATGGAAATGAAGAAGAAAATGTCAATCGGTGGTGTGAAATTTGCAGCGAATACATTCAACTCATGAAACAATGTTGGAATGCCAATAACCAAGAAAGACCCAATTTTCATGAAATTATTCATCGACTTTCGAGTTGGATCAGTAAGAAATAGATTCTTGCATGCCATCCATGATGAACAACAACAACAACTGCTGTTTCATTAAGCTTGATGAAAAAAGCTGTTTTCAAAGCTTAATTTTTTTAAATTTACGATAATTTTTGACATAAATCACTAAAAAAAATTTCATTCAAACCTCGGATTTTCAAAATTAAAAATAGAAAAATCAAAGAAAAAATGAGCAGAAGATACGACAACCGAACCACTACCTTCTCTCCCGAAGGTAGATTGTATCAAGTGGAATATGCCATGGAAGCCATCAGCCATGCAGGAGCTGCTCTCGGTATCGTTGCTACGAATGGTATCGTGTTGGCTGCTGAAAAGAAAATTACTTCCAAGCTTCTTGATAATGAAAGAAAAACGGAAAAGATGTACCGATTGGATAATCATATCGGATGTGCTGTTGCTGGTATTACAGCTGATGCCAATATTTTGATCAACTCGGCTCGTCTTCATGCTCAACGTTATCAATTCATGTATCAGGAACCAATGCCTGTTGAGCAACTTGTAAAAACACTCTGCGATTCGAAACAAAGTTACACTCAATTTGGTGGTATGAGACCTTTTGGTGTCAGTTTTCTGTATGCTGGTTGGGATAAACAATACGGATATCAATTATATCATTCTGATCCTTCTGGAAATTATGGTGGATGGAAAGCCACAGCAATCGGAGCCAATAATCAAGGTGCTCAATCCATCTTGAAACAAGAATGGAAAGACGATTTAACAATTGAAGGTGCTAAAAAATTGGCTGTCAAGGTCATGACCAAGACTATGGATAGTACAAGTTTGTCAAGTGAAAAGCTTGAATTTGTTACATTCACCAGAGATGAATCGGGTCAAGTGGTTTATACCATACTTCCAGATAAAGAAGTAGATCAATATTTGAAGGAAGCTCAAGAAGAGAAGGAGAGAGAACAACAACAACAAGCACAAAAGCAAAATATTTAAAACTTTGTAAAATTATGTGTAGTTCATTGTTGTGGCATTGATTCTTTTGTGTGCACCACAAGCAATTCATCACCTCCAACACTGGCTTAATAGAGAACTCAATGAGTAACATGTCAACCATTACTAATTTCGTTTTTTACTGATTCACAAATTTATACATGGCTGGTTTGTTAAATCTCATGAGGTACTTTCGTGATTGATCGTATTGTGGCAGCCATTTACTCACTTGTATTAGTATCTTTCCTCGCGTTCGTCTGGTCTCTGCTAAGGAATAGGCAGTTTTGACATTTTCCAAATTCATTTCGTCAAAGTAAGTGGCAATGTTTGGCTTAATTTTTCCGCTCACATGATACGAGGCCAGTTTCTCCAAATTTTCAGTTTGATTGTTCGAATTGATTCTGAAAAAGACAAATTCAGGTCCCAGACCCACCGCGGAAATAACCTTTCTCCATGAAATGAATGTACCTAATTTCAATAAATTCCAAAACGTCATTTCCTCGTTTGCAACTCCAATCTGAATGTATTTTGCCCTTCTCGATTTTAACAATTTCCATGTTCGTTGTCGTAATTGCTTGTCACCAATGCAATCGATAATGACGTCCACATTTGGCACGCTATATTCGAATGGAGTGTGATCGTCATCATCTATTGGTTCTTTCACATTGGATGATTTATCAGAATTTTCATGATTATCAGACTTGTCCACTTGTTCATTTTCTTTTGATACAGAGGCAGCACTCGTGTGTGGTGTATTACTACTATTCACACGACTTGTATCCTTCTTCAGATCATTTTTCAACATAAATGTCTTTTCTGGTTTCAATTCTTTCACCATTTCAACTCCCTTCTCCGTGGTACATCCTGCATAAACCTCCGCACCCAACACATTCTTGGCATATTGCAAACAATAACTTCCAACATTTCCAGAAGCTCCCAAAATTAACACGGTTGAATTCTCTTTCACTTTTCCAATTTCAACCAAACTTTGATGAGCCGTTAATCCAACCATCGGAATGGTACTAGCCTCTGCATGAGAGAGCTCTTTCGGTTTTAGAGCCAATGAATGTTCATTCACCAAATTATATTCTGCTAAACATCCTCCGTGGCCATTCATTCCAAAAACTTCATCTCCGACTTTAAACGAACTCGATGGACTTGCTTGTACCACAATTCCACTCAAATCTGTACTCGGAATGACTGGAAAATTGGTTTTACCTACTAGAATATTCCTAAAGAAACCGTTACGGATTTTAAAGTCCAAAGGATTAATACTCGTGTAAAGGACTCGCACTACAACTTGTGAGTGGTCCGATGAGGATGGTAATTGAGGAGTTTTAAATTTATCAGAAAATTGTAAAACATCGGGTCCTCCGTAGGATTCATAAAAGATGGCTTTCATAGTTGTTGGGCTACTACTTGTGGGGAGAGATGATGATGATGCTCCATTGTGATCCGGAACGTTTTCAGTCATTTTTTTCTAATGTTGAATAAGCTTTAATCATAAATACTGTTACACGCCTGGTTAGTGAACAAGTTATTGAAATATTTACTATTGACATTCAATAAAACAAACCTAAACATGCAATTATGGATTCAATCAGTCTTGAGATGTTTGGGAGATTTTTCATAATTATCTTCGAGTGGAGGAGGTGGTGGAGGTGGCGGCTGAAATTCGTGTGTTGTGAAATCAGTGCCGACGAGAGGTGGATAATCACCATCATCCATGGTCGAGCGTTTTCTCTTCTTTTTTGCCTTATCGACAGCTTCCTCGAAAAGTATGGATAAATTGTCTGGATCAATGCTTTTCGTTCGTTCGTCCTTTTCAATAATAGTTTTGAAATTTTCAAAAGTTGAATTTTCATCAATTTCAACATTCAAGTCCTTGATAATTTTTCTGAAGGTTTTCTTGTCATTCTTGTACAAGTCTACTAAATGTTCAATATAGTCGTCGAAAAGCTTCCTAGGTTTTTCAATTAATCGAGGAGAATTCGAATCTCCGCCATGATGCCTTGGAGAATATGGTGGTAATTCGACCATTTGACTCGCAATAGATTGATACCGTTCATCATCTTCTAGCAATGGTTTCACTTCTTTCCAAGCACTCAACACGTTGAGCATGCGTTTCTGTTTGAGCTCGATAAGAAATTGCCAAAATTTGTCAGCTTGTTCCTTGAGAAGACGTTGCTTTTCCTCTCGTTTTTGTTTTTTCTTGTTGTAATGCTCGAGTTCGAGATTCGAAATAAAGCTTTCCCATACCATCAATCGATCACAATAATCTAAAGCCTTATACTCGCCTTCATTTTGTATTTTATCCTTAATTTGCCTCCACAAACTTCTATAATTAATCAAGCCTTGCTCTTGTTTCTTGCATAGTAAATCGTGAAAGTTTGCCATATTTTTCTTTCGTTCTTGTTTGATAGAATCTTTATCTTTTCGCTCCAATTCATCAAGAAATGAATAAAAGTAATCCAATCGGTCGTCCTCATGTTCGACATTCAAAAATCTGTGATCGTTCTCAATTTTAGGTAAGACTTGTTGATACGTTGTTGAAAGATATGATTTTGGATTTGCAAAAATTGTTGATTTCAGCTCAGAAAGCATATTCATGAAATCTTCTTTCAATTTTCTTCTCCTTTCACGGTTGGCTTCTCTTTCCTTTTCTTTTTTCTCGGAAATGTACTTGTAGAATATGTCCTGTCTATCTTGTACCCTTTTAATGAGCTTAACTCTCGGGTCGTTGCCAACTCTTTTCATTGCACGAGACCAGTCATCATCTGTTTGAACTTTACAATCATCTAACATTTTCTTGAAAGTACTAACCCTCTCTTCGTATGACATTTCACGAATTTTTGAGCCACCTGATGAAGCCGATGATTGAGAAGGGCTTCTTGGAGGTGAAGCCGTATCATCATAGTCATGAGCAGAGCTGCTTTGTCGGAAGGGTGAGATATTGGATGGAGTTGATGATGATGATGGCGACGACGCGGATGGAGGAGTTGATATTCTTGAGGAGGAGGAAGGTGAAGTATAGGAGGGTGGTCGGTTGTAGTTATTGTATTGTTGTTGTTGGGAATAATGATCCCTGGAATCCGATGATGGTGATGATTGATAATGAGAGGAAGAAGAAGAATAATAATTACTGCCACTTCTATCGTGTTGATGATGATGGCGGTACGAAGAAGGATGATCGGAACTATTATAATATCGATCATCTCTTCCACCTCCTCGTGATGAATAATAGCCACCAGAAGAATAATTATTATAATACTATATTCATATGAAAATAAATGGTGGTTGGAACAAAATTCGAACGAACAATAAGGCTCGGAATATGATACAAGAAGAATAAAAAAAAACTTACTGGATGACGATCTTGAGACATTTTTTTGTTGTTGAACGCGAAAGAGATTGTTTATTCAACGAGAACTCGATAATAATGGACGATTTCAATAACAAATTCCATTGGATCTGAGGGGATGTAAACGGAATGATAGAGCCTGATGAGTGAGGACGGAGATGATTTACAACGAAAAAAATGTCTTCTTACAATAGTGCTGCAACACTGGCTCAACCTTCCATCATTGCTGAAAGAATTGATCACGTCTATACCGTAGGCCAAAATCATGCGACTCAAATATCGGATCCATACTTTTGGTTGCGTGAGAGAGAAAATCCGAAAGTGAGAGAATATTTGGAAAGCGAGAATGAATATCAACAGACAGTGCTGTAGGTTGGAAAATTGTGATATCAAGATGATTCATACCTTTTATGTTCTGGGGATGAAATTCATATCGTTTGAATTTTAATTTCATGTGTTTGTTGCATTGTGTTTTTACAATTGAATCAATGGATCATCACGATAAATATATTTTTAATCTCATCCCGAATATTTAGAAAACACACAGAAGAGTTGCAAGAAAAGTTATTTTACGAAATCAAGAACCGTATTAAACAAACAGATAATACTGTTCCTTACAGAATGAAAGATTACGTGTATTATTCAAAGGTAAGATTGTTATTCATATTATGCATGACATTGAAACCGTTTGTATTCATCCTAATCTCTATTCAACCTTCCATCAATACATTCACAACTCATTTGAAAGACAGAAGATGGCAAGCAATTTTCAATTTATTGCAGAAAACCAATCATCAATGAAAATGAGAATGGTGAAGAGCAAGTCTTGTTAGATTTGAATGAATTGGCTGAAGAATTAAAAACCAATTTTGTGAATTTAGGAATTTACAAAGTGTCTCCCTCGCAAGATTTATTGGCCTACTCGATTGATACAGATGGTTCTGAGTATTATGACTTGTATGTGAAAAACTTGAACACTGGCAAGTTATTGAGAGATCGTATTGATAAGAGCTCAAAAATTGCAAGATCCTTTGAATTTAGTGCTGATTCAAGAACTGTGGTTTTCACTGTGTATGATGATACTCATAGACCGTTCAAAGTTTTCAGAACTAAGCTTGACATTGATACCTATGTTGACGAGAGATTACAATGCAAACCAATTGAACTCGACACTTGTGAGCTCTTGTACACTGATGACGATGAAAAGTTTTTCGTTTCTGTCAGAAAGACACTCTCTGAGAAATATGTATTTATTGATTCCTCTTCAAACATTACATCGGAATGTCATTACTTGGAAGCTAATGATTTAGCAACTGGAACTTTTAAATTATTTGGAAATCAGCCAAGAAAAACTGGCTTGGAGTTTTCTGTCACTCATCAAGGCGACTATTTTTACATTGTTCACAATGAAGGAACCAATGTAAACTTTAAGGTGACCAGAACTCCAATCCAGAATCCAATATTTGACACTGCCGAAGACTTTGTCCCATACAATGAAAAGTTTTATTGTGAGGCATTGTTGGCCTTTAACAAGCATTTGGCACTTTTTGGACGAAGCGGAGGAGTTCCAAAACTTGTCATTCTCGATCCAGAGCGCAAGACGGCACCCCGTGAAGTTGAATTTCCAGAACCATCCTATGATTTGAGTCCTAGTCACAACAGAGAGTACGACACTGTGAAAGTGAGAATTTCATATTCCTCGTTTTTAACACCACCAACCGTGTATGACTATGACATGGAAAATGACAAACTCATTGTACTCAAACAAGATGAAGTTCTTGGTGGTTATGACAAGACATTGTACAAGCAAGAAAAAATTTCAGCAAAATCCAGTGATGGAGTGACCGAAATTCCAATTTCTATTGTGTATAAGAAGAGATCCGAACAAAATCCTATTGTTCTTGATGGAGAAAATCCACTTCTCTTGTATGCATATGGATCATATGGAGCTTGTATTGATGCGTACTTTTCTTATGCATTATTTAGTTTGTTGGATAGAGGATTTATTTATGCACTTGCTGCAATTAGAGGTAAGTATTTGAATAGGTTTGAAGTAGATGTGGTGAACAACAAGATCTGTGTGAATACTTGTGAAAACTGCGTGTGACTATTACTGGAATCTTTGAAAACGATGAAAAACATTGTCCCCTTGCAGGAGGAGCTGAGAATGGCAGAAATTGGTACTTGGATGGTAAATTACTCAAGAAAAAGAACACATTTAACGACTTTGTTGACTGTGCAGAGTATTTAATTCATGCCAAATACACAAAGCCTGAAAAATTAGCCATTTATGGAGGTTCAGCAGGAGGCCTGTTGATTGGAGCAACTGTGAATATGAGACCAGAGTTATTTAAGGCTGCAATTCTTCAAGTACCATTTGTGGATGTCATCAATACCATGTCTGATGCTTCATTGCCACTCACAGTCACTGAGTACGAAGAATGGGGTTGTCCACTGGACAAGGAGTACTTTGATTACATGAAATCGTACTCGCCTTATGACAATATTGAGAATGATGAAAATATTGACAAGCCATATCCTAGCGTTTTGATTGATCAATCTTTTAATGACACTCGTGTGAATTATTGGGAAGGTGCCAAATACGTTGCACGCTTGAGACATTTCTTTGCCACCAAAAAGAGTAACCAAAATACAAATATCATCTTGTGTAAGACCAATATGGCACAAGGTCACTCTGGAAGCGCAGGAAGATATGATCGATATAAGGAAACAGCATTCAGATATGCTTTCTTAATTGACCAGCTTATTGGAAAAATGGAATAAAATGTAAAGCCTAATTTTACTTCACACTTGTGTGGACACTACCTCATGGTTAATTTATTCTGTTGACAAAAGCGAATATAAGTATCTTTCAAATTCATCAACATTTCAAATCGAAGATCTTCTAAAAATTGAACAATCTGAATTTGAGGAGGTTCTTCAACAGCAATCAACGTAGAGAGTATTGCTTGAGAGTTGGTCATGTTCGCACCATTCAAAGTTCCAGCTTCCATTTCTTGAATCAATGTCGAAAGTTGAGATAGGGTTTCTTGATTCAAAGACGCATCTTGATCCATGAGAGAGGGTAAATTTTGAGAGTTCACATTTGTTGCAACAACATTTGATTGATGAGGATTGGGAAGTGATGAGGTATTACTCGAATTCTGTGTGAAAAATTTCAAACTCATTCTTTTCGAAGCTCTCTTCGAAGCCAACCATTGCTGTTGTTGCATATTATGTGTCTTGATTTTCTCAATTCGATTCTTGAGTTTGTGTGTCACATTCAAACCATCTAAACTACTCGAAGTTCCACCCAATGACAAGGACGCTGAAAAAACATCTGGATCCGCAAATAAACTTCCACTATTATTGCTCTCATCAAAAACACCTGCAGAATGAGCGTGTTTAAACATGTTTCGATCAATTCCAAAAAATTCACTATTCTTTCGTCGACTCTTCATTAATGATTTTCGTTTTTCAGAATTCATTTTTTGCATCTTTTCAAAAATTTGTTCCAAATGTTTTTCCAACTTTTTCAACATCTTTTCTTCGAAGGAGAATTGAGATTGGAGTGTCTTGTAGAGTTGTTGTTTGTTTTTTTCTTCAATTTTTTGTGGATTGACATTTTGACTCTTTCTAAATGAGGAAGTAAAAGAAATTCCATTGTGATATATCGAATGCTGTTCGTCCTCTTCCAGAAACTTTTTACATTCTTCCAATAACATGTTCGCTAACAAGAAAATGTCTAAATTCTCCTCTGAATATTCAGTTTTTGTGTAATTCCTAAATTGTTGTAATAATAATTTATCTTGTAAAATTTTGTTAATTCCATTAAATCCTAAATTGTCAAGTGTCGAAATTGAAAAAGGTCGAATATGAGAATGTTTTGCATGATTGGATCCAACAGAAGGAGAGGATTTTTGTGAATGAACAGATTCATTACAAGTAGAATTCAAATTTCGAGGACTTGAACTATTTCGTTGATGTTCTTTTTTCTTCTCTGAAGAAGAATTCAATGGTGAAGTTGTTGTTAAATTTGTTGAATTTTGACCACTCATGGAAGAAGACCGATGATATTCCATGGCAGATATGGAGTAATGTTTTTGTTTGAAACTAGTTTCAAATCGAGAAAATGATTCTTCTCTTAGACTTTTGACAATTGACATTTCACTTGTTGGTGTAGTACTCTCTTCTGTGGTATTATTTCCATTCGTCTCATCCACATGTTGTGTGCAAGAATTAGGAGATGTTGTTGTTGTTGAATTAGAAATTGTTAATTTGGGTGATGATTGAAAGACTTCTGAAAAATTTAAACTCTTTCGATGAGCATTCGAAGATGATGATACTACCTTGTTGACATCAAGAGAAGGAATTTCCAAGGAAGCTGCTCCAGTTGGGGAGTTGTGGATGGGATTTTCGACGGAATTGGGTTGGCCCATGTTATGAAATGAAGTGGCAGGTTTGTACAGAGTAATGCGGAAGAGGATGATAAAACAACGGTTGTCGCGTGTTAACGAAGAAGGTATCAATGTGATGACTCAAACATTCAACAAGAGTGGCAAGTATGGTGATTTTTTTGAATGTTTATGCTCTTGACATGGCTATCAAACAGAAGACAAAAGACCTACCATAAATATCTTGACAGCATGCTCGAGACAGAATTCAAGAAAGGAGTGATGACAAAATGAGTCAGACAAGTAATTTGTATACAAATACAGCCATTCTGGTTGGGTTTGAAACAATCTTTGAATTCAAGAATCGTTTACAGTTTTATCATGTGGCCTTCTTCTTCTCATCATTAACTTTTTCTTGTCATTGAGCCAATTGAATTGTTTTCAATCTCCTGCATTACAATTAGTTTACAAAGTTCAATACAATTCTCCAAATATCTAATTCGACTTCAACCAAACACCACAAACTACGCCTGAGCGTAAAGTGCAAAAACTGACGAAGAAAAAATTCGGCTCGTTTTAGTAAGTCCCGGAGTCAAAAAAAATGGAGTGATTGGTCTGTGGTGTTGTTTTCTGCTTCTCACACAAAAAAACACACCAACAACACACACAACATGGAAGCTGAATTAGTGGTCATTGAAGAGGGCACTGTGCCTCTATACTGTGTAAGTAATTGATTATTACCACAACAACAACATCATCAAACAACAATTTCAACACCTACACTAATCTTTACCTCAGCTTGGTGTTTCTGATTGTGATTCGAGTTGCGAAACAAATACTAATCACGTAAGTACTAGTGAATATCGTTCACCTTGTATTGATCTCAATTATCAAGGCCAATGAATCACCAGCATTGGATAGCCAATCCACAACGAACCAGAGTACGAACAATGTAAGTATTATGTTTGTCCAGTATTCAGCAGTAACATATTTCACAAGATTCCTTCATCATCAAGCATCGAAATGAACCCTTCTCACCCATCATCACCAGTAATGACTACCTCTACAGTATGTTTCAAATTTGTTACAATGTGTTTGCTTAACTTGTTCAGGAATGGATCTTCACAGACGAAACTATATCATTTCCACCTTGCTGTCTGTTGCCTAGCACAAGCAGCTTCTCTGGTATTGTTGATGAGACACAATGTACGATAACACCAAACAACAAATGTGATGATGACAATATTTCCCAACAGAGCAAAAAACGAAAATCAAGAACCACAGATGAAGCTGCTGAAGACACTCACAAGGAATATCAATTCACTTTAGAGAAAGGACTGTTTGAATTTGTACCAAAATATAATTCCTTTAAAGAAGTACCAGATGAGAAGAAACAAATTTATGGAATTATATGGGAACAGTTCGCCAAATGTGCAAGAAATATTATTTATCAACATCTACAGATGAGATGTTCAAACTCCATCAGCCATGAAACGGTTGGATGTTGCAACCCAAACGTGTTTTATCTTGCTCTGAGGGGAACAAAGGCTAAATATTACCAATGGTATCAAGACATTTTGTGGAATGGCCTAAAGAAGAGACAGAAGTGCATTCAATTCAGATTTACTGACAGTGTTCCTCCTTTAGACAAATGCAAGCATTGGTCTGAGTTGGAAATTACTCACTCACGTCTTACACGTAAATTCGGAAAGAAGATTACGAAACACAAGATGAAAATTGTATACATTTCTCTCACATGTAATGTGGAAACTAATCAAGTGTGGACATCGTTCAAGTTTGACAAAGAATTCGAGTTTGTACAATAAAACAATTAAATTCAATCCTCAATACACTCTAAATCACAAAAAATGTAATCAAATTGAAACTTTTCATCACCGTCCACAAACCAAACCACATCTAACAACAACTTTTTTGAAGGTCAATCATATGGACTTTCAAATCAAAATCACCACACATGGTGTTCCTCTCCATTATCTTCTTTCAATGTGCAATCACCGTCATCTACCGGTTTCAGTAGCATTAATCCCGGCTCTTTTGATTCACCAAGAACATCACACCATCTTTCGAAAGAATTTATGAAGATCTGATACAACCAAACCAATCCAATTCAATGAGCTATCAGAATATCCCTATTCAATATGGAGGATGTGAACATTTATTTCAAAATCATCAATCCTATTATCCACAATCTTCTCATAATTTCTCCACAATCCAACATAACCTTGACAATCCGAACACATTATCATCTCAACCTTCACAACATGAAACCAATCAAACCAACATTCAAACACACAACAAAATACAACAATTACTTTGTCGATAAGCTAGCTTCACTCGCATAAAACAAAAGCGAGGAGGTCCACCGAGCACAGAAAACAAATTGAAAATAATTAATAATATTATTGATAATACTGATCTCAATTTCTCTCAGTTAAGCTCCAAGGAGATGCTGTTATTAAATTAAAGAACAAGAGTTTTTGCTTTTTGTTGTAATTTAATTTTTCAAGTTGACATTAATTTTCACTCCAAAAAAAATGCCTTCACCAAAAGATGAGGTCGAGTATTTTAAATCACACACCTAAACTACGATTACACAGCAACAACGTGGAACAACTTTGATGTAACTTAGATACCAAGTGATCAGTACAAAAGATGGATTTTTATCGTGTAACGAGAAACTTGTTGAACGGTGTAATGACGGTGAATGTGAGTATTATCATCAACAATCAACCAATCCTTGTATAACGAAAGGCTGAAGAGAATTGCTTTCGAAACGTTAGTAACTGGCTTTGGTACAATAGGTGTGGTCATAATCAGGAGGAGGTTCACTTTTAATGAACGAACGTCAGCACTACTGAATAAAACTTTACAAGATTCTGAACCAATCCCGGAGTTTCTGCATTTCGTTGTCAAAAAATTTTTGCCTTTTTGAGTCGAATTTTTTCGCTGGTAGTTTTCTTATGGCGTAGTTTGTGGTGTACAATCTGTAAACACAATTTCAATTCCTTTAAACAATCATGTCGTCATTCGAAATTTGAGTTTAGAAATGCATGACTAGTTCCAAGTTCCTAATTCATTTATTTTGTTCACAATCTGTTCAACAACAACAATTGTTATTATTATAATTTCCACACACCACATGATGTACGCAGCATCCACTATCTTTCCGATTTGACACCAAAATACACACCCACCAATCCCGTAGCCATCATCAACAATGGAACCGCCAAAGCCGAATGACGATGAAGCGATAACAACGACCATAACAATCCTTCCGAACTCAACACCTTTGAATCAATAACATTCATCATGAACGTCCTTCCAATCAGAACATGATACCAAAATGTACATGCCAACACACCACCACATCCAGTCATTCCTCCAACTCCAAATTCCCATTCATAGGCAGCTCCTAAAAACCATCCCAATGATCCCGAGAGGATTGGACCTAACAATTCGGGAGGAATATGTAACCAATGATGACCTGCGTAGAGTAAGGGAGCGGAGAGGATGGATGCAAAGGCTCCTCCAAAGAGGAATGGACCTAATGCTCTGCTCATCATTGTGTCGTTATATTTTGTTGAGTTGTTTGGGTCAATGAGAAAATGTTTCTCATGAACAAAATATGAAGCATGATGAGAACTAGGAACTATTTAAACAAAATAGAAGCATCCAGCATGGTAATAAGGCTTTATTACAGGTTAAGGGAAGCTGATACTTCCTCAATTTTTCGTTCATGAACGTTTATTGAAAGTCAACCATTTGGATTGAATCTATCAGTCAACAGAACATACAACAAACCATCATCATCATCAAGAACAACAACACCACAACACTCATTTCCAATCGCATCATCACTGATGCTTTTGCACAAACATAGGTATCTGGAATGACATAGGCACTCGTGGTCATTTTGAATGGTTTCAAACCTACCACATAATTTTCATAGACCAATTCCACCATCACTGCTTGATAGCCTTTCGTTATGATCCAAAAAATAAGGTTTGAACACAACGTATTTGTAAATAACAAATCATCATCCAATCCATGCATGGACTTACCTCGGTCTGGATTATTGACAAATATTCGCCAAGTGAATGGTTCTGAGGATGATTCTGCAACCGGTGCACTCCAGAAGGCATTTCCTATAATTCCATATCGGAAATCTCGATTGATGGGATTATTTCCTCTCCAAACACGAACCAGAGTGGGTTTCTTTCCATTCCATACTTTCACCTCAATATGAACACCTTTCATGGTGTATTCATGAGAGAAGGTATATTTGGGTAATTCAATACCTCTCAACATGCAATAGTAGAAGGTGAGAACACTCTCCAATGCATCAGAACCTGCTAAGCTATGTCCTGTATTGGGAACATAACGCAAGTATTTGGTGGAGAGTCCCGATAAATTCTTGTAGCTTAACAAAGAGAGTTCTGATGAAATTTCATTTAGACATTGGGGTTACGAAGATTTTCATGTTGTTGATGCAGTTGATATCATTAATTAATATAAATTCATCTTTTGAAATGGAACGACTTACCTGGCCACATGAATTCATCTCCCATAGCATTGACCATATATGTTGGAATTGATGCATAGCGTTCTCGATACACGAATGGATCAATAACCTCTTGCAATGCATCAAAGGCTGATGAATTCAATCTTTGTAAAACTCCCAAATGTTCATAATCTTGTAAGGCTTCAGGCCAATGACACAACGATCGATTGATTTGTAATAAACTTGGCCGAAGATTGGCAATTTGAATCACGACTGGAATGAGATTTTTCACTCGAGGATCAGTAGCTCCCAAAAGCCATGCTGAATGGTTCATTAATTTAAAGATTAACCTGAATTCAATGTTAATAAATACCTACTTGCCCAACCTAATTTGGACATTTAAAATGTTCAATTGTTACCAATAATAATATTTTCGCATTTCAATAATTATTAAATATAAAAAAAATGTAAAAACGTTAAAAACAACTTTGAATTCACTCTTACCTCTCTTTGATGTTCCAGCAATTGTAAATTTTTCTAAATTCAAGCCTACTTGTTGGAGAACAAAGTCTTGAATAACATCGAGCGCTCGTGCCGATGTTTTTACCATCGGAAAGTGTCCAATCCATTCATAATCTTGAACAGAAGTGGTTTTGTTTTGGGCCACATTAGAATCAAACGCATTCAAGAATTTCAACCATGAGAAGCTCACGTATTGATCTTCCATTCGAGCTTTTTGTTCAGGATCCGATGAAAACGTGATGGGCTGATTCGGAACCAGATACAACTGGCTGCAAATAGTTCCTGAATAATGAGAAAGACCTTTCATATTGTCGTTGGATTGTGGTGCGTTCATGCTTGAAACACCCCCTTCAATGAGTAACAGACCTTCCTTAATGTTACGATCGAGAGAGTTCGGTACAGATATTACCAAATAGTGATTCCTGTTAGGTCCCGGTTTTGAAAATTGAATCATGATTATTTCAAAGAAGGCAATGAAATTTACAAAGTAGTTCAAAGTTGGTAGAAACTTACCATTGAGTGGACTGTCCAATTTCTTGGCTATTTAACCATGTTACTCCTTTCATAGAGAGGGTGTATAACGTGGCCAGGTCTTGCTTGTTGGAACTGAGTACGGAATAGGACATGGAGGGACCTGGGGTGGACATGTACTCATCGAGCATGTTTGCATGAGTTCTGGCAAGCATGTTAGACCAGAATAGTGTCATCATCATCCCGATGGACAGCAAGAACCACGTGTGACAGCAAGCGGCAGAAGATGACATTTTTTAAAATTGGGACGGACTGCAAAGACCAAGTTGTGAACTGGAAGAGTTCGTCGTTTTTTATGAAACAAAATGATTTCATGGAATTCGTTCCTTCATATTCTCAATGGTCTCACTAAGCAAAATAATCTCGTTTGAAAGTAGTAAGATTCATGAACAATAATTTAATGTTTGATTCAACATGAATAGTCACTTGCTTTACATGACGATTCAGTAGACTATCCTTGCACTCGCAAATATGTTCATACAATCGATCGTCCAAATATACTTTCTCAAGACAAGGATGGAAACGATATGAAATCCACTCCAAGAGCAAGTTGCATTTGCAAGATTCCAACCTCCACAGTCTTGGATTTAAACAAAGATCCAAGAAGAACAAGTTCTTACCACTTGTGACTACAAAAGAGCTTGTTCAAACAAGGCTTAAGTACATGGAGTGTACTTTTGGCATATCATTATCATCAAATAAAAAATCAACACGTGTCTCCTCACAACCCAAACAAGGGACTGGTCCCAGAGAGCGAAAGGAAACTGTATTTTACCAGTTCAATACAAGGACACCACAATACTTTGCAATAACTAGCACTCCGCCGTCAGTTGGCTGCATAAAATATTCGTTTAAAGATTCTGCAGCGATAAAATGACGGTGCGGAGATACCGGAGCAGGGGGGGCGAGTTTTGATGCGTCCCTGTATTGATACATTTGTACTCTTAGAGTTTCCTTTTTTATAGAGCCACTGCACAAAAAAATGGGAAGAAACTCACGAGACAAACGCGACATTTTCTATCGGAAAGCCAAACAAGAAGGTTGGAGAGCGAGGTCAGCCTATAAATTACTTCAAGTCGATGAAGAATTTAATATCTTTGAAGGAGTCAAGCGAGCTGTTGATTTGTGTGCTGCTCCGGGATCTTGGAGTCAAGTATTGCAACGGAAATTATTAAAGAAATTCCGAGAAGAAGGAGCACAATTAAAACATTTTAATGAAGATGATTTTAGTGATGATGAGGAGGATGGAAATGATGAATTCAATAATGTTGCGAATGAAGAAATGAGTAAAAAGTATCATGATGACAATAACATGAATACAAGTGCATCATCGGAACTCGTGGATGATGAGAATAAGTACGATGAAGATGCAATTATTGTCAGTGTGGATTTACAAGAAATGGCTCCATTGGAAGGAGTGATTGAAATTCAGGGTGATATAACAAGTGAAAAAACAGCAGAGGAAATTGTACATCATTTTCGAGGAAAGAAGGCACAGTTGGTGGTTTGTGATGGAGCACCTGATGTGACGGTATGTATTCTCTTGGAATCATTGTGCAATTTCGAAAGTCGGGAATTCATTCCATGAAACATGACACTTGTGCATTTGCTCTGATATTTACAACCTCTTTTTAATTATTATTGAAATACAATAGGGAATGCATGACATTGATGAATACATTCAATTACAACTCATTCTCGCAGCTCTCAATATTACCACACATGTCTTGGAAGAGGGTGGCTGTTTTGTGAGCAAAATATTTAGAGGAAAAGACATTACACTGCTGTATGCTCAATGTGGTGTATTTTTTGAGAGAGTCTATTGTGCCAAACCTAAATCTTCTAGAAATTCATCTCTTGAATCCTTTGTCGTTTGTAAGGGATTTAAGCTTCCTCCAGGATATATCCCAAGAATGGTCGATCCATTACTTGACTTTCAATACAATGAAGAAAAATATCAAGGTGGCAATGTGACAAGTGCAGCTCAAAATGGAGGTCCCATGCTAGGAGCTGATCGATATATTGTGCCGTTCTTGGCATGTGGAGATTTGAGTGGATTTGACAGTGACAGAACGTATTCGATTGGTGTCAATGAAGAGCTTGGAATGAAACCCATTCAGCCACCCACAAATCCACCCTACAAGAAGGCAGTTGAGCTGAAAAGAAGCAACAACAATTTGAAGGTTGATTTGATGTTTAAATAAAAAATGTGATTGTGAACATGGAGATGCATCCCTTGTTGTTATTGATATTATCTTTTATACCTTTTATCAATAAAAAAGATCTCCCAACTTGCGTTATCAAACAAAAATTCTTTCCACTTGTTGTATCGTTGCTCTTTTGGACAAAAGCCAGCACCAGACAAATCTATTGCTCTTGTTTCCTCTTCCACGCTCAACAGTCTGATGGGTTCATTCAATAACCGAGATTCAGGAATGTGACATCCAAAATATTCAAATTCCAATCTTTGGTTCATCAAATCCTTCAAAACCTTAATAGCTTCTTTGACTGAGATCACTTGTGAATCTTGAGCACAGTGTTTGAATACTTGATTCATGACCTTGTCTGTAATAATTCCACACCGTTTTACATATTCATAAATAATAATTTCAGAACTCAAAATGATATCAATGTCTGAATTCGAGATGCAACGCGAAACAGCAATTTTTGGATTTGCTTTTACAAATTCCAAAATAAAATTTGCATCTTGTTTCAATTCTTTTGAAACAAAAGATAAGGCAGTGCCATCATGGCTGTGCGTAACTGCTGCCAATATCAAAGATCGATCGTTGTGACAATTATTAGAGAGGTATTGTAAACACCTTCCATCTTTCTTGATGCCAGCCATGATCACTTCTTTCTCATTTCGTTCAACAAATCTCTTAAAAGCATCAACAAGTAATGGATGCTTCACATTGAAATGCTCCATTGCTGTCAACATACAATCTTTGTCGTCGAAAAAGTGTGTTGGAATGTCATACAAAGAGCATTGATGTTCACTTGCAAGGGCAGCCATTACTACTTCTTTGTCATGAATAAAAGTTTCATCTATACTTTTCACACAAGTACCTTGTGCTTTCAAAGCTGTTAGCACAAAATTTCTGTCTTTCCTCACATACGCTGGGGCAAATCTCATAATCACCGGCAAGTCCACACGGTTTGAAATACATTCTTCAAATTCGTCTGGATCATAATCCATGTACATTCGTGTCATGACGCTTTCAATAATTTTAACAAATTCTTGATCATGACTACTGCTGAGTATTTGATGTTTTTCACAATGAGTAAGCAAGGAAATTGCAAACCATCCCTTTACGCTTAAACGCCGTTGATAATTTTTGTGTGCTTGATAATACACATTTGGCAACGTGTCAAGCATTTGAACCACAAATTTCAACAAGTCCAGATCAACAATTGACCATCTGGCGTCTTTGAGAAAGAATTGTTGAAAAATCTGCCGTTTGATATGTTTTGATAGGCCATTTTGAAAGGTTTTTGGGAAGAAGTTGAATATTTCTGGAACATATGTTTGGATCATGCGCTCTTCAAATGTTCCATATATACTGGTTGCGGAAACGGTGAGTAGTTGAAAAATGAATTCCTTATCATGTGCTAGTAGTTGTGATGCAATAGGATAAAAGGCATTCGGTTTTGATCGAATGACATTCATCAAGAATGTGCGATCATGCTTCATTCTTTCAAATACATATTGTATGTTGTTCACAGGGTTGTAATGGATGGCATGTTTGATAATGTCTTCATTGTCTTGTAATCTTTTGGACAGTTGGAAAAAACCACAACGCCGTTTAGCAAGTAACTTCTTTGCTTCTTCAAAATCATCAATGTCAAAATCAAAAATAAATCCATATTTTGGTTTAAATACCATGGACGTCAATTCTTCTTTCCATTCCAATAAAATCTCTTTTGGGATATATTTAAGGATTTGAAATCGATCATTTCTAATGAATCTCAAAATATCATGCTTGAAAGGTCTCCAAAACTCCACACGACCAATCATATCTTGATTGTTTTGACACAATTCTGAAACGTTAACTTGTTGTATTAGCCAAGGAACTGGCAGAGAAAAATTATAAATACATTTCATCATGAAACACTCCCGATCCATCATGAACTCAATATTCATTTGATTACTATCCCAATCCTTGCATTGTTTCATCCACTTTTCCTTTGCTAGCAACCATTTACAATATCCTTTTGATTGATTTTCAAATTTCATTTTCAGCCTTTGATGCAGTTGATGATCCATTCGATCATTGTTGTTATGAAAAATTCTTTCCGAGTTCAAAGGATCCATCATGGTGGTACCATCATGAAAATCAAGTAAAATAATTTTCACTGCATCCTCCTTGTTGGAAGCTAATATATATATATCTGATGAATCATTGGTCATGGATGGTGTTGGACAATAATAAATCCTTTTTTCGGAAATTTCATCGTCAAAGAATTGAAAATGTTTTCGTTTCATTTTTTTTTGCGTTTCCTAAAATAATCGTCCACTTCTTCTTTCCTCAGGTACTTCTTTTTCATGAATGAACTGAAGATATTCACTTATTGTTTCAAGCAAACACATCTTCTTCCAATAATTGATGAAAATGATGATCATAAGGTTGGGAATTCTGAAAATGGAAAAAAAAAATGTCACAAAACCATTCAAGTGCCAAGTTACGTTTACAAAAGCTCGCACATATTTGCATTCTTCTCGTTCTCAATCACAAGTATCCATTGGGTCTTCAATCGGAATATCTTTTCATTTACATTTTTGACTTACCTTTCATCAGAAGAGATGAAAAAGTAACTCATCAATTGAAAGAACTCATTCCGAATGAAGAGGCTTTGCCGCACTTGATTCAAGAATTTGAAAAACCACAACAGCAACAATTCATTCATTCCGAACGAAATGAAGAAGATTTAGATTTTAAATTAAAAACTCCTCTCGAAAAAGGAATTTCCATTCCGCAACATGTTGTCAAAACTCGGGATGGAAATATCAAGTTTTTCAAACACGTGTTGGGATGTTCCTCGTTGAGTGCTTTTGAAATTGCCTCCATGATGGTGAGTTATCCATTGGAAGAGGCTACACAACGAGTGGCAAGTTATTTCAATCCAAAGAATAAGATGAAGAAGGCAGATCATTTCTCTGAATGTGTGGAAAAACATTGTGAAAATCAATGTGACCAGTTGAATCATTCAGAGGAATTAATAATTTCAAAGAGTGACCAATCGCATCATGATGTGTTGAAAAAGGAAGAAGAACCAACCATGGTTGAAATTAAAAGTAGTGGAATAGGAATGACACTTTCGACAGAATCCAGAGGAGAACAACAACATGTTGAACCATGGGGAAATGAAGACGATCATGACTCCAATTGTTATGAATTTTTCACACACCAATCGGCCAATACTGTGAAGAGCTCTGAACAACAACAACAGAACCATTTGGAACGAAAAAAGATCCCTAATGAAAAAAGAACATGTCTTGATGAAACATCACAAGAAAAGCAATTTCAGAATTCCTCAATTTCCAACATGAATGTAAAATCTCAAGAACATGTTCAAAAACAAATCAGAAAGAGGAAAGATCTACAACAAGTATCCACAATTAATACGCACAACACTGTTGAAAGAGGTTATAATAGTAGCTCCAAACATCACACTTTATCAAGTAGTGGTAATAATAGAATTGGAAATTGCAAAGTAATTCATCAAATTGAAGACTTGTTGGACATTTTCCCATCAACAATCAAAACTAAAATTCAAGAAATTTGCAAGAATCGAATGGACCAATTGGTAGAAATTGTAATGGACAAAGAAAGACCATTTACTTTTTATTTTTATGGTGAGGAATCAGAGCCAGTATGTGACCAAGATTTTATCGCAAGTGGAGATGACATTATTGAATTGTGCCAGAAACTCCATTTTGCATCTGATGATCGAGCAGGTGTCGATGGAACTTTACACAGAATTTCAAGAATTGAGAGTCGACAGAAGCATCAACCTATTGGTCTTACCATTCGAGTTGGACGAGCGGTCATTGGTTTAGGAAATGTCTTTAAGGATCTTCTTGAAAGTGACAAGAACATTCTCTGTTTGGGTCATCCAGGAAGTGGTAAAACAACAGCCATTCGTGACATTGCAAGAATTCTCTCAGAACAACGTCGTGTCATGATTGTTGACACTTCATGTGAAATAGCTGGACTCGGTGACGTTCCTCATCAAGCCGTCGGTCGTTCACGTCGCATTCCAGTCAAAGATAAGAAGAAACAAAAAGAGTACATGATCAATGCAGTTCAAAATCATACTCCTCAAGTCATTGTCATTGATGAAATTGGAACGAGAGAAGAAGCAGCCACAGCTCGAACCATTTCACAACGTGGCGTTCGATTAGTTGCCTCTGCTCATGGCTCTCTCGAAAGTATGCTCATGAATCCAACGTTGTGTGATTTATTGGGTGGAGTTGAAACAGTCACTGTTGGAGATGGTATGGCTGCATTTCGAAATGGCCAAAAAGTGATCATGCAAACGAAAGGAAATCCAATTTTTCACACCGTCATTGAATTTGTGGAAAAGAAGAATGAAGACTGCAGTTGGATGGCAGTGCCTAATGGTGGTCGTCATGACCAAAAGAAGCAGCAGGAATCGAGAGTCGAATGGAGAATTTATACCGACGTCAAGAATACGGTTCAAAATATTCTTCAAGGAAGAGAATACACGGCACAAGTGAGACGATTGAAACATGACAATGATCCAAATTCAGTGGAGAGTCGAGTCATGACTTTCGAACCAGCCAATGTGGTATTTTTGTAATCATTATATGATTCAGGCAACGAAAGGACCACAACTTGTTAAGGCTACCTTATTTTGGAAATTTCCTTAAAAGAAATGAAACCACTTGTGCACCAAACACCTATTCACAGCCATCATCATCATATACAACAACAACAACCGAAACAGAAAGAGAAACTACAGCAACTACTCATGCTTACTTACCGTTCATTATCAACTACATTATTGATCGTATGTTGCATGGTATGGTTCCAATCTCTCCTCACTCCTCACCTACCAATTCTCCCAAATACGATCGTTCATGCTGAAACATCCACAACAACTCCAACTATCACTAAAAGCTCATTACCACAGCAGTCATCAACGTTGATGAGTACTTTTACTGCTACTACTACAAGTTGTTTCGTAAATGATTCAACAAGTACAGAAAGAACACGCACTCGTTCCACCATCATGTCTCCACTCTCTTCATTCAAGTCATCCCTCACTCAAAATGAAATCATTTTCCTCAATACCTTACTGAAATTGTTCTTGTCCAATATGGAGGCACGTTCACTCGATGTCAGTATTCCGTTCGTGATCAATTCGACTCCTTTGAATCCATATGGAACAAATTTACAATCTCAGACGTATATTTGTGGAACGCCTGCTGTTTTTCGAGATCGAATGAAATTACTATATTTGGAACAATTAAGTGGCTATGTACGAGAGGGATCTCAATTGAATGGAGGGCATGCAGTGTCCATGAATTCGTTTGGAACGCCCATTGGATTTTGGTCTTCCTCAATGAAATGTTATGTGGATATTTCACAACCATCTTCTTCTGCAAAATGTTTGTATCCATTGGGAACTTATTTCACACATTGTGGAAGTAATGATTTGCTACCTCTCCTTCCCATTCGTCCCATGTTCTTTTATTTGAATCAAATTGAGAGTATTCGAACCGATGCCTTTCTTCTCGTATTACAACAAAAGAAGATGTTAAGATTGGCCATTGAGTTGGAGAATATTGTTCTTTCGTATGCTACTGTATATTCAAAGGAAGTATTGAGCTCGAAATTGAGTTTATCCATGATGGAAATGAGATCGTTACAAGTGTTTTTCAATGAAATTGTGAGACGTCTCAGAGAGAATGTTTTGTACTACTTGCCTCAATTTGAATTGTTTTATGATTTGGATAAGAGTAAGAGTAGTACTTTTCAAGTGATGAATACTGCCATTCAATATGGTGTTGACAAGGCAATTCAAACCTTTCAATCCAATTCGTATGAAAATAGAAGAAACAATGATACGAACATGAGTGAAAGATCAAGTCAATCTGCACCTTCTTCTTGGACTCATCTTTATGAAATCATTCAATTCTCATTGTTACAAGAATCTGGTGTGTCTCGAGATACAGATATGGAACTTGCCATGTCCTTTTCATCAATGGCGCAATTTATTGATTCTCAGACTCGAATCATTGACGAATTATTCAAACTCATTAATGACACTCTTTCATTGGATAGAGTCATTGATCTATCCTTGTACACAACGTCACCAGTATATGATTTTATTGACTCTCATTCAACCTTATTGTCATTATTCGAGAGTGATTCATTTTCTTACTTGAGGCCATGGATTGGTATGGAGAAAAACTTTGCACAGGAAGTACTTTCCAAAACTCCAAGTATTTCGATTGATTTTTCAAATCAAGTCTTCTCTGTGCAACCATGGACCAATTACATGTCCAAGATTTGGTTCAAGACTTTAAATTCACAAACAACAAGTGGATATTTCATGGGAGATGTTTCCAATTCGAAAATTCTTGTCACAGATCCTGTCAAGCAAGCAAGAGTGTTAGATTTGGTCGCACTTGCTGGAAATTCCCTCTGGATGAATGATGCCTCGCTTGAGGCCGATTACCAACCATTCCTTAAGAAAATTCCAATCATAACGACCACGTCTAGCACCACCAATTCTGTGGTCACTTCCGTTCAGTCTCGTAGTACTAACACAAAACGTCGTCTTCTTACAAACTCTCTGACAAGAACAGAACGAGAATTATTCAAAGATTTATTCAAGAAGAGGACCATTCTAAACGAAGAATTCACTTCACCGACTCGTCGATCTCTTCTTGCTCTCAACAGTCTTCCAACTTATAACTGTGAAAAAGGTCATTACGGTCCTCAATGTAAACTCTGCTATCCAGGAACCTACTCTCCAGGAGATGGTCTCTTGTATGTGTGTAGTAATGGTCCAGACGGTCAAGTGGAATACACGGAAAGCGGAAGTACCAATGAAAATTGTGCCTTTCGATGTAAAGATACTAAAAAGTATCGATCAGGAAATCAATGTGTGAAAATTCCAGTAGGATTCTATTCGGCAGATTCTGGAGCGACCATACTTTCTGAATGTTCCATGAATGGAAATTCTTTTGGTATTTCTGATTTGAAATTGCAACAAGAATTACTCAAAATTGCAACCAGTGGACAACATGCTTATCCATCTTCTTGTAAAACGGCTCTTCGTGATTTATTTTCCATTACTTGGAATGAAACATCTAGCACGAATACAAGCATTTCCTTACGACACTCGTTTACACTCTCCATGGATTTGAAATTAACTTCCAAAGATGTTTGGAATTTCAAATTGAAAGATTATCAAGTGGCATATGGAATTGTCACTATACCTGACGAATGGACTTGGCAGCTTATTTTCGATTCACCCAATTCCATATACATGCAAGTGAAAAAATTGAATCCACTCCAGAATGAACCTCGTTTACTTTCACTTTCATTTCCCTACGATACGGAATGGCATCATTTCATGTTACAATACGACGAAGGAAAACATGTCTTGTCCTTGTATAGAGATCGAGCTTATATTGGATCATGCATGTTTGCAATTTCACAACAACAACAACAACAGGAACCACATGCTCCTCGATTGGTCGTTGGAGGTTTCTTTCATTTCAATGCTTCTCATGTTCCTTCCTTATATTCCTATTTACCAGCTTCTGGAATTTCCAATTTGAAAATTTATCAAGGTGCCATCCTGGAAGATTATATTCTCTCAACCACTATGCAAGAGTTGTTGACTTTGAGTTCTCAATCGGCCTTATTCAATTCGTGGTGTGAATCCACTCCTGGTCATGCTCTCTTTGGAGGTAAATGTATTCGAGTTTCATGTGAAAATGATGAAATGATCTATGACTCGAGTTCACAAACATGTATTTGTTCGTATGGATATTTCTGGTCATCGAATCCTAATGATACAATTGGCTCTTCCTGCACGGCATGTCCATTCATGACCACGACTGGAAGTTTTCTTCCAAGAAACTCCATGAAGGATTGTCAATGCATGCATGATTACATTTATAGTGAATATTATCAAGAATGTGTGTTCGCTCAATCCTCTCTCTTACCTCCCATTCCAATTTTCAATTTTGATCCATCGTATGGACCCTATAAAGAATTAGAGGAGAGTATTCTTTCACAGAGATTTTACCCAATTGGAGAAATGACACTCACATTGGAATTGAATGAAGAGGATAATCTCGAAGTGATCGATCCACCACAAAATCCTTCCCTAAATATTCCACAAAAATCGTATCATGTTAAATTATTAGCGAATGGAACACAACTGTTATGGAGTTTACAATTATCGAAACAAGAATTACTTTCCTTCTCATATACATGCAATCAAACAGGAGATTTTGATTTACTAGTTTCCACAGAGCGTGACGGTCATCGACCAGGAATTCTCTCCAAAACTTCCTTTCACATTCGAGAACGAGATTTAAAACCCTTAATCATGCCAAAACCCACCGATGGAGTGTTTGATTCTCCTTTTCAAGTAAGATTACAACAACCGTATCGAAACAAACCAAGTGTCATGATTCTATGTTATGGACGTGAAGAATTTAACATGACATGTCTCGAATATGACGAAAAACAATTATACTTATTTGGACCTCCAGTGTATTTGAAAGTCTTTTCGTATGGACCTTTTTTCACACGACTTCCTGGTCCAGTTCTTTCATTCTTTTACAAGAGAACCATTACAGAAGCTCAACAACGATACATGGATCATCAACAACAATGGAAGGACTATCTCATTAAGAAACAACAAACCATGAAAGAATTGGAAGAAAAAAAGAAAGCTTCTCCCATTTATCAAATGGTTAATCCTTTCATGGAATGGATTCAAATATATCCTAATTATTTATGGTTTCCATTTGTTGTGGCCTTTGCTTTGATAGTGTATTTGATATTCTTACTAGTGTTGAGATTTTGTGTAGCGAGATATGTTCAAAAGAAACGAAAACAAAAAATCAAACTCTATTTGAAAGAGAAGAAGGAAATGAGAGAAAAATTAAAGAAATTTCTACCTCCCAAATTTAGAGAAGAATCAATGACAGAAGAAGAAGAATTAGATCAGGATTCTGACCATCGAATGATTGAAGAACGCATTGATGAAAGAATAATAGGTCAACAAAAATCGTTGCATGACTGCTCAAGAAAAACACCAAAAGAAATGAAACGCACAAATCATGATCTTTCAGATTCTGAGGACGAACAGGATGAAGAGGACGACCATTCTCTCGAATTCAAAAAGTTTATTCCAAAGAATAGTATTAATAATTGTGAAAATATTGAACGTCATGACAATTCGAATAGAAATCATGAGGAAAGAATGCCATCCACACAACTACCACAACCAATATTGAAATCACGTCCCTTACCAAATCCAAGAAGTTATCATAGTCCTTCCACTCGTTTTCAACCATCTTCACTTTCTCATATTCAAATTAATATTCAAGATATTGGAGCGAGTTCACAACGCATGTCCACAGTGTCACTGGCATCTTCTTCTTCTTCAAATAAGAGAAAAAAGGCATTACCCAATCCCTTGTCTTCTTCAGCTTTTGGTTCATCATCAGCAGCTGCTCCAAAAGGTACACCACAGGTGGGTCAGCATTCTGTAAATTCATTGAATAATGCTCCTCAGAATGATGTTGACACTTTTGACATTTCCAAACATCAAAATTCCAATCATACTTCTCAAACTCAACAACATCCCTCAAAACATGTCAACAACAACCCTGGGTCACGATCAAGAACTGAATTACCCAAACGACCCAAATACTTGGTCTGTGGAAAATGTGGAGCAATGGCTCGAGTTTGGTGTCACTCGTGTGAACATTATCTCTGTATTGATTGTGATCAAAAGGATGAAACCTCACATTCCGAACGTTCCAAATCCAAAGTCATGATTTGTGATCATTGCATGCAACCAAGATCCGAGTTGAAAGAACATTTCCTTAAAGTATCAAATTTCAAACTTTATGGATGTAAAAAATGTATGGAAGAATTGTATAAGGAAAGAAAAGTGAATCGAGTAGGATCGATTGTGAAGAGATGTACCAAGTGTATGGATGAAGAAATTTCTAAAACGAATCCACAATTGAAATTGTGTGATAATTGTATTTATTTTTCACACGCACGCACACACCAATCGATCAAATAAGATTTAAAAGAATTGTACATTTGAAACGAATATATTTGTTGTTCGTTGGTTGATTGAGAGTCTATTTATTGTTGAATCATTCAGGTTTTGAATTCTCACTGATTGAACATCCAACATGGTTTCCAAGATACATGTTCCAATGAAAAGGAATACAGCGAGATTGATTTCCAATTATAACTTGATTATTCTTAGTACTGTGAGACAATTTTGTGAAAGGGGTTGACTTCATGGTGCCAACACTTTCGAACATTTTGTTGCCAACTGACATTTCACAAGTTCCAAAACAGAAAAAAACACGCTCCCTTTTCAACGAATCCTTCTTCTCAAGACTTGTTTTGTATTTTGCGAATCGACCCATTGTTCAAAACAAATCAATCACACAAGCCACAAATCAGAGGACATACCTTTTAGCACCTTACACCTTACACTTTAGTGCCGTTTGCAATGGCAGGTAGTCCCAAAAAGGAGATACAAATAGCACTTAACACTGGAGTGCCAAATGCAAACAGCACCTGACACTTGAGTGCCGAGTGTCATCAGCACCTGTATATTTTTTAATTTATTTACTTTAAATATTATTTTGAAATTACAAACCTCTTCACGGTTGTGAGCAACGGGCCTCAAAATTCTCTTCACTACACAATCATCATCGAGTATAGGAAACAGCATCACGAACGCAATTTTTGGACAATTCGTCTGACAACGACAATACCAAATGATCATCTACGAAATTTAGTTTATGGAGGGAAGAATAGACTCACGCTCATTTTCTAAGGTGAAGCGTTGTGAGGCAGTGGTTCAAATAATGTTCCACCGTTCAGCACCTGTTTTCTGAGTTGATGTTGCGCCATACAACACGGCGTTGAAAGAGATTGAGATGAAGTTGTCGAACAGGATGTCAGAGCTTGCTGAATGAACTTGAGAGACGATTTATGTTGAGGAAAAACACTTGCAGTACAGGAAAACATTTTCATTTGGTTCAACAGGGGAGTGAAACTTGCCAGCTTTTCTTCATAGTGACATGTACTTTTGTTCAATTGTTACAAAAACGGTGAGAAGAACAAGAGAATGGTGCTCAACACTGTTGTTGGCTGATGTAATCGAATTTGAGTGATTTGGGAATGACGGTAACAGCAAAAGTCAAGCTGAAGCAATCAGAAGGGTACAATTAAGGGAACTGGAATCACTTTTTGTTTCGTAGTCATACTTCTTAACGGCTGAGTCTATCATCGTGAATGAAAGGAACATATCATCTTTTGTGCCTCCTAACTCCTTTCATACGAAGGTCCAAGCTAACATACGTAAGGAAAGTAGATGCATGAGATTAAATCATGCCTTTTTTTTGTTTGATAGATTCGTTATTGACCTTTTTATATGAACACGAAGTAGAATGGTTAGGTTCACAAACTAGTACCTCCATTTCAATCAACATCCATTTCGCACCTTACACTCAAGTGTCAAATACAAATAGCACCTTACACTCAAGTGTCAAATACAAATCACACTTCATTCATTTGGCACTCAAGTGTCAAATGCAAACAGCACTGACACTAAGTGTAAGGTGTAAGGTGCCAAAATATAACAACTCGCCAACCCGTACAACCAGAACCCATACTTGCATATGGATATCAGATGGTTACAGCAGGGATGGACATGAGTACTTGTTCAGTTGAGAATTCCAATCAGCAAGAAAGGAGTCGATTGGTGGATGCGCCGTTTTGTGTACCGGATCCAATTCAAGAAAGAGTTTTTGAAGAAGTGAACATGCTAAGATTATATTTGGCGATTCATCAAGCCCTTTCCAGAGGAGCACAGTAGCTTTAAGTGTTAATATTAAATCATAAGAGTATGTTTCCATTCGTTGTTGTAAACTCCGTTTCTGTTTGAACGGTAGCCAAAAAAAATTGATCCGCAGAAGCATCACGACCAAGAAGATCAACTCTCTGAAATTTAATCGCTCTCTTTTTGAACAATTTTCTTCAATACTATACTTGAAATATAATGCCATTCATTGGAACTCGATCATAATATATAGCTCACAACAAAATATAACAATCATCATCTCAATAGATCTATAGATCATTTGAAAATTCTGAACCAGGCACACACAACATGACCATTCCGATACCCAATGTAATTGTTTATTCCACCTTATCAGGAATTTACGGATTGATTGGAATTACAAGCCTTGCGCTGCTTTTACGAATTATTTACGTGGAATTTCAACAACGAAGGAAATTTTCAAAATTCATCTCTCAGCGATTTGGGCGAGTTCGTTATACGGGAAATTCATCATCATCATCCAATCATCATCACCAACACAATCATGAGCAACAATTTGAAGAAAATGATGATCATCCTACAACGACGAATAAGAAATCCTCTAAGTTTACTAAGTGGGACGAGAGGAATCTGAAAGAAAATAATACAAGGACAGTTGATGAACCAGTCAAACACATTTCAAATTTAGAGTCTAATCATGCTGTATTGGAATCCAATTTGGAAAAGATTGATGAAAATGAGCGTTTAGATAATTCTTTGAAAGATCACCAACATGATACTAGTAGTGGAGAGGAAGAAATTGGATCACGAATGACCAGTAGTGGTGGACATCATAATAATGATTCCTCAACAACAATTCACATTTCATCATCTTCATCCTTTAAAAAACCAGAAAGCACATTTTCTGATAAGAGATTAATGTTTGCACTCATAGTGATCTTGTCATTGGTTCGATGTACACAATTAGCAGTGCAAGCTTCATTGCCAGATTTTTCGGAATATAGAGAGCTCTTAATTTTGGTTAGCTCATTTCCTGGATATGTCTACTCATCACTCATGCTCATGTTAGTTTTCTTTTGGACTGAAATGACCATTTTGTCCATTCGAAAACAGCCCCTTCTTTCTGAAATTTCGGAAACCAATCAAGAAGAAGCAACAGGGTTATTGGAATCTGAACATTCTTCAGAATATCATCAACAAAATAGTGAAGTTATTCGAAAGAAAACAATCAGAACTATTTTGAATTATTTAACAGCGAGTTCATTTCTCAAGACGTTATTCTTTGTTGTGAATTTTATCATGTACATGACCATGTTGGTGAATGATTCACTTTTATTATTTCAATTTTCTGGAGACGATCCAAGAGGATCTGACAATAATGACTACACCAATCCATCCCCATACAGTGCTATAGAAATTGTGGCAGTTTCCGTGCCGACTGTTTTATTTATCATTTGTGCTCTACTTGTCATAATATTAGGAATTACCTTGTTTAGGAGACATTTGAAAAATTATCGAGCTAGTTCATCGAGAAATATTGTTTCACTCTATACTATTATCTATGTATCGGTGGTGACCTTGACAGATTTTATTGTTTTACTAGGAAGAGCAGGATTATTAATTGCACAAATGTTTTTGTCATGGCTTGAAACCAAATGGCAAACCATTCTCTGTTACTACTCATTGGGTGAAATTATTCCATTATTAGTTTTGAATTATGCCCTATACAAGATGGGAACTTTATCCATGCTTCATTCCGCCACCACAGTTCATACTCATCATAGCAACGATGACGCAAAATTTCAAGACGTCATCACTACTGGAAAAAACGCAAAAACACCTACACTCAAGAAGACTTCACAAAAACTCATCTCCTACATGTCAGAAAAAGCTCAAAACTATTATTCGCATTGGGATGAAAGCACAGAGGAAGTCGATTTTCAACATCCACACGATCCACAACGACCTCACCATCACGATTACAACAAATACGACGATGACAATGGCACTGAAAAAGACATGGAAGGAGAAACATCAGCCAGTGATTCTCCATCAGCGGCCACAAGCAGCACAACTCACTCACGAAAGAATTATGGAAGTGTGAGTGAAATCCAAAAATTTCCTTCACAACATCCACATGCTCATACTACCAGCACCAAGCATGCCAAAAGAAAGGGAACCCATTCAAATACTTCATCGTCGTCACATACACACTCATCTCACAAAAACAAAGTTTGTTCCATTCCATCCCCTTCTCATTCCTTAATTCAGAAAGTTCATAATGCTCATGCAGGAAATGTCTCTCTCAAGAATGCCTATCATGAATTTACAGGAATTGCAAGTGACGACGAGTAAGAAATGTACACATTTCAGCATCATATTCGTTTGCCAACAATTTACCAGGGTCTGATACATCATGAATTGGGCTAATTGTTAACATGGCTTAACACCGAATCTTGAAGAAGCCTCAAAGAAGGTGACTTACCAAAGGACATAATGTTGAATTTTTACAACCACGCACATGACATTTACACTCATCAAATTCGAGGACCAAATGAGGATTAAGCCACAAATTCCTGAAAAGAAACCAAAAAAAAGTCGATCCGAAACAAATTCACAGCTTGCCGATCATTTCACTGTTTCGATCTTCACCTCCTGCATACAACAACATCAATTTACGATTGTACAAACATCCAGATACAACAGTAGTATCAGCGCCATTGAATTTCACTTGATTGTATCATATATATAATATTATTGATCATCATCACACACTCATCTGATCACATCATCAACGCCAATGCCTCTCACAGTTAAATCTCAACCAACCCAACCCATTCCGGGACAAAAGATGGGTACTTCTGGCCTCCGAGTGAAGGTTAAGCTTGTCGAGAACACCCCTCACTTTCTCGAGAATTTCACTCAAGCTGTACTCAATATCATTCTCGCAAAGGATTCTCTTCCATCGAATGCGACTACCGATTATTTACAAATGGTCATTGGAGGAGATGGTCGTTATTACAACAAGACAGCCATTCAAACCATTCTCAGAATCTTGTATTCGAATGCTGTCCGTCTCGGAATTAAAATCCATGCAGTGATTGGACAGAATGGTATCATGTCAACTCCAGCTGTGTCATGTCTCATCCGAAAGAGAAAGGCAGAATTGGGAGGATTGATTTTGACTGCTTCACACAATCCTGGAGGTCCTAATAATGATTGGGGCATCAAGTACAATGGTGTCAATGGAGGTCCAGCACCAGAGAAGATCACTGATCGAATTTATGAACAATCGACAACCATTTCCGAATACTTTACTTGTGATGAATTTCCACAGATTGATTTGTCTCAAGCAGAGAATGGAAAGGGATCTGTGGATTTTGTATTTTCTGATGAACATTTCCGTGTCAGTGTTGTTGATTCTGTGAATGATTACTATGAATTGTTAAGCTCAATATTTGACATGGAAAAAATTAGAAAGTTAATCGGAAAACAATATGGTGAATTTAATTTATTATTTGATGCCATGCATGGTGTGACAGGATCATATGCCAAACGAATTTTACATGAGAAATTGGGAGCAGATTTACAGAATGCTCTCATGAATTACGTTCCAAGTGAAGATTTCGGAGGTGGCCATCCAGATCCAAACCTTACCTATGCTGAACAATTAGTCAAGAGAGTATTAAAAGATGAGAAGAGTAATATTGACTTTGGAGCTGCTTCCGATGGAGATGGAGATCGTAACATGGTTTTGGGAAAACATTTCTTTGTGACACCTTCAGATTCAGTCGCGATCATTGCAGATTATGCTCAGAAATGTATTCCATATTTCCAAAAGAAGGGAATTGCTGGATTGGCTCGATCCATGCCAACAAGTACTGCTCTGGATCGAGTTGCCAAAGAATTGGGTGTTTCCATGTATGAAGTTCCAACTGGATGGAAATATTTTGGTAATTTATTTGATGCTGGAAAATTATCTATTTGTGGAGAAGAATCATTTGGAACAGGAAGTGATCATATTAGAGAAAAAGGTATGTTTTATCATGTGTGTTGATGAATGGTTCATGATTTATCATGCGTGTTGATGAATGATCGAATGGTTCATGTCTTTACTTGTTTGATTCAATATGATCAATGGGTTGTGATAAAACATGTTGGATTCCATTCACGTTTTAATGAAATGTGTTGCTTATTGAAAACATTTCAGATGGAATGTGGGCTGTATTGAGCTGGCTTTCAATTTTAGCTTTTGAAAATGAACAAGCTGTTTCTCAAAATCGAAAAGTTTCTGTGGCCGACATTGTGAAAAATCATTGGAAGAAGTACGGTAGAAGTTACTACACCAGATATGACTATGAAGAAGTGAGCGCTGATGGAGCCAACAAAATGATGTCTCACATGAGAGACACTTATATTGTTCCATTCCAAAATAATCAATTATCTGAGGAAGCCAAGAAATTGTTCCAAACTCTCAATATTGCATCATGTGAAGAGTTTTCCTACAAGGACCCAATCGATCATAGTTTTACAGGAAAGCAAGGAATGATTTTCAAATTGGTCGATCAAAGTAGAATTGTTTTCAGATTATCTGGAACTGGAAGTGCAGGAGCTACTATCAGAGTGTACATGGAGAAGTACAGTGCCGACCATTTGGATGGAAACCCATTGGACGAAGTGAAGCCACTTGCTCATGTAGCCCTTACTGTCAGCAAGTTAAATGAATTTACTGGAAGAAACGAGCCAACAGTTATTACTTAATAATAACAGTGTAGTAATAAACGTGGAATCTTTTACATTAAATTCTTTGAAACTTGTTCTCCAAAAGTGGCGAAAGTTGCAAGAGTTTTGTTTATTGCGTTTGATGTTGGCATTACACAATAGTAGCGTCTCCGGCCTGTATCTTGGTTGATTTTCTATCATTGCTACTGGTATTGTTGGTGGTATTTACTGCTCTAGTAACTTCTTTCTCAACAGTTTTAATTTGGAAGAATTGTTGAACTTCTTTCATTGGTGCATTAATTCCAATTAATAAAGATATGAAAATAAAAATTCCAAAGTTCGACAGAGTTAAATAAACAAATCCAAAGAAAATACTCAAAAAGTAAAAGGAAATGCAAATAAATCCAAAAGCTTCTAACAACAGAGCAATCGACAATCCAGCATGTATGAGTCTTGTCTTTCTTAAAGTTGTTTGTTTGAACTTGAGAGAATTTTCAATTTCCTTGCTCACAAAATCTTCATTTCCTTGCATCATTTCTTTGAGTTTCGTCACACTATTGGAAAGAGCCACTTCCAATTTGTAACTGATAATATTCAGCAAAATTGAGAAGATGAGTGTCGAGGCAAAGAAAAGCACACCTGCAGTAACAATCAATGTAACTTGTTCAGGAAATATGATATTAGGATCGGTCTCAATTCCCTCTACAGTCAATGCACCAGAAATGATATTGTACAGAGTGTGAAGTGCATAGAAAATACTCATAACGACAATGGTTGTAATATTTGTCACATTCAATACTTTGTATACCATTGGTGTAATGGAAGAAGTCTGGCGGCAAATTTGCAAACTAAATGTGTTGTCAACATTTGTTTGACCGTTTCACAAATACTTACAATACTGTACACAGAAAGAACATGATCCATAATTGCCAAAACACCATAAAGTTAATGATACAACGATGCGCAACAGCAATTCCTGACAATAGATAGTCAGCATTTCCTGATGACAATCGACTGTATTCATACGCATTGGCCTCATTATTCACTCTCAATACCAAATCCACAACGACCACCGCTTGCAATACAAACAACATGATAAACAACACATGTTGATTCCTTTTCATGGTCTTGAACTTGTAAATGTAAATCACAATGGATAACACGAAAAGAAGGAGTTCAATGATGATATAGGGTGCACAGGTGGAGAAGTTCAACACAAAGTACAATTCCAGTGGAGTCATTGGATGAAGAGTCGATGACGACGACGACGTGGAATTGGTCGACTTGTTTGATTGCAACACACCTTGTAAAGCCAGCATCCATGGAGAGAAACTGTGGAATTCTTGCTGCGAGAGCTGCTGTGTTGTGAAAGTGCTAGTCATCAGAAAGGGATTTTGTTTGTTGTTGGATTTTGAAAAGACACAACCCGTAAATCTCTCATTTAAATAATGGTTATGAACACAGCTCAACTGCTCATCCATCACGTTAAAATATTATTCACCCACTTTCCTCATCGAGGAGATCATTACCACTGTTGAAAATACTGGTTTGGAATTCACCTACATTTTTATAAGGAATGGCAAGAGATGGAGTTCAGGCTATCAGGAACAGCATAAAGCGAAATCGCTCCAAAAGTCTTGTGGATTTATCTCTGAAAGAACGGTTCGGACGAGAGAGGAAATAAGAACTAGAAATAAATTCTATCGGCTAGAATTGGCTTGTTCATGAACATGTTCCCGTCCTCAATCTTGCCAGAAAGGAATTGAAAAAATTCTCCATTGATGAATGCATCTTCTCATTTCGAGAAACATTTGTTACAACAAGCTTAATTTTTTTAAAAAAATGATTTTTTTGTTTACCACTCAGAGTTCATAATATTCTGAATCTAAATTTCTCATCTCAGTTGCGCTTCTCTTGTCATCGTAATATTAAATATTGGAATTTCAAGAGAGATGAGAAATATGGTGAATGATGTGTATCCAATTTCGGAAAGTGGATGATGATTTTTCTCTATGGATTGTATAATACTGTAAAGACTGAATTTGGAAAAACTAGACAGTGTATTCACTGTTGTTGAATCATTTAAAACAAAAATGAATGAAGGAGTATACTCCTTCCGAGATGGTTGTACCAACAATCAAGATGACAACCAAAATGAACCAACGTCAGACGTGATTATGACAATCACGGATTGGGAATACTTTTCTGCTCATCACCACGACGATGACTTGTTTCGGAAATTCAAAGAAAAGATGAGATCAGCCGGCGCTCGGAAATCATTCTCAACAGATTTTAAATATGTTGCAACGTTGGGCAGGCTAGAGATTCCTGGATATGGAAATGATCAATTTGACGGACCATTTGATGTCACTGTATCTTATAATCATCATTGTATATTAGTTAGTGATTTGAATAATGATAGGATAAAAGTATTTGATTTGAAGACGAAGGAGTATATATCTTCCATCCAATGTATATCTCCAATGCCTAAATATTTGTGTATTGAAGAAGCATATGAAGGAAATACGAATGACGCTTTACTTTTTGATTGTGACGATGGTGATGCTGTATATAAATATGATTTGAGAAGATTGTTAGAATATTCTTTGGAAGAACAAAGAGGCGAGGAACCGTTCGATTACATCTGGAAAACAACACATACATTTTTGTCTGCTCAAGGAATTGCGGTTTGTAATCATAGAAAAGAGGTATTTGTATGTGACAGCGAGAGTAACTGTATAGCAATTTTGAATTCAATATCAGGAGATTTTATCAAGCGAATCGAGATTGATAGTCCACGAGGCGTCTTTATCAATAGTCATGGAGAATTATTGGTGACCCAAAAACATCCATTGAACCGAATAGAAATTTTGAAAAGGACAGAAAATGAAGAATGGACTCGAGTGACAACATTTGGAAAATATGGAAAGTTAGTTGGCGAGTTGAACAATTCTTTGAAACTATTGTTTGATGAGGTTTCGAAAAACATTATTGTGAGTGATGGTAAGTTTTATGAGCATGCCATCTTTTCTTTACGCGTTTCATGTGTAAAAATACATTTCCTCTCATTTGATTCTTGAAGGCTGGAATCATCGAATACAAGTGTTCAAACACGATGGAACTGTTGTGACCTCGTATGGCACCTATGGCTCAGCATATGTCAATCAATTTAAATATCCATGTGGAATTTGTTTGAACGAGATGGAAGGAGAATTGTATGTGTGTGACTACAGTGTCCATGTTGTACACATTTTCAAGTAGTGCACACCACACAAAAAAACAAAAATTCATACAATTTCGCAACACCAATTTTTTTGTCATCATTTTTCATCTTTGTTCCTTCGTCATCATAACAATTACATATTAACAATATATTAATCCTTCAGTTGACATTGTTAGGTAGTTTTGTAATAACCGCAACTGATGGGCATTCAAATTGACAAGACCAATTCATAATTGATGTTGATATTATTGGTCTTGTCAATTTGAATGCCCATCAAGAGTAATATCATCATGGAAATGATCATTAGTATCCAAATGAGATGCCCATCAAGACCCTTCTCATCCAATCCGCGATACTAGCCCAAGTTTAGTAAATTATCGCGGATTGGATGAGAGATGAGAAAGCTTTTGACTTTTTCTGTGTGTGGCGGGACACTCCCCAAAAAAACAGCGTTGTTGCTTTCAAACAACTTCAAAGCCTAATTATTGTTGTATTTGTTCTAGAGATATATCAACCCCTACAACTACTACACTGAAACACTCCTCTGAATCTGGAGAAGATAGTTTCATATATTCATCATGACTGACTCGGAAGCAAGTTCTTCTAAGGAACGAGAAGATGTCGTTCTCGGAGGACCAACTTTTTTCAAGCCTGTAAATAATAATCCTACGGGGCCGATGTCTGCTTACTCTTTCAGTGCTGCATCATCAACGAATATGGGTGGTACTGGCTTAAATACCGTTACTAAGAAAGTCCTCTCCAAAATTCAAGATGTAATTTCCTCAACACTGCTCGTATTGATTGATGCGAAAAGCAAACACGGATGGAAGAGCTACTTGATGATCTTGACCTTGTATATTTATATATGGATTGGTTCCATTGTGATTGGACTTGAAGGTGAATATAATTTTGGACTCTATGGTTCATGGATATGGAGAGCTTTCAATTATTTGGTCACTTTCTCATTCAATGCCATTCCATATGAAGCTGCCATTGCATTATCTTCTTTATGTATTCTCATATCCATTTCAATATTATGTCTATTTCTCTATACATCAAGAGTTTATCACAAAGCAGATCGTTCTATCAAGACCATTCAATCATTGGTCAAAATATTGGGATTTGTAATTTATTTTGGACATTTGGTCATGACTTATTTGATGACTTCATTCATTGATTGCAATTATTCAAGTTCAGTTACTTTTGATGGATTCAGTGAACCTCAAAAAGTTTTGAATCGATTTCCATCTTACATGTGTTTCTCTTCAAGTAATATTGCATTGATTGTTTTGAACTTTTTGGGAATTATTTGTTTAATGTTGAGCAGCATGGTGTGTTGCTTCGTGTTGGGAAATTGTCATATTCGAAATGAGAGACCATTCATTTCAGACAATTCACTCTTCATTGGAAGTGTTTTGGTCATTTCAGAAATTCAAATCACATTGAATGCAATCATTCCAAATTCATTCATGTTTGTGAAGAGTATTCTTCATATACTTCTCTCATTCACACTTTTTGTCATGCTCTTGTATTTACTTCCATATTATCGAAGATATGAAAATTCATTGATTGGTGCTTTATGTTTGGGAAAGACATTTATTTGTGTGTTTCCATTGATTTCATTTCTTGTGAATTCAAAGAATGAATGGGAAATGGGTTTAGCATTTGCAACATCAGCTTTTGGAATGTTTCTGATTGGATTTTTGATTGGATTTTTCATTGTTGAAATTTATACAAGAGTTCTTTACAAAATGACAAGGTGAGTTGAATCGAATGATTTTTTGAAAAGAACGAACCCTTATATTCTCATGAATTTCTTTGACATATCTATGGCAATGGTTGAATATGATACCGGTTGAATGTCATCTCAATACACAGACTCACCATCATGCAAGCAGTGGTTGAATGTGCAGTCTTAATTATTGATGATGGATTCTCAGCTGAAGAAAGATTTCAAGCCATCAAGAACTTGTTTGAGAAGGAAGCGATTGCTCTCTTTAAAGACATGGAAGAGAGAAAACAAATTCGAAATTTGGAATTATTTCTCAAATTTTGTATATTTTCAGGCAATGAAGGTAATGATGACACTTTTGGATTTTCAGACAAGGATATGGCCATTTGTATGATCAAATCTGTGTCTCAACACAAAAGATTTCAACACAAGAATCTTCTCGTTTCCTCAAGTTTATTGTGTGCTTACTTTTGGGATATGGATCGTCAAGTCACATTCACAAAATCACCAAAATCATATTGCATTTCTTCACTTGAATATTCTCAAACACTTTTGAAAAGAGTGAAGAATGAAAAGATGGGAATTTTATTGAATTTCATGTTGAAAGAAAAGTTGAAACAAATTCAAGATTCCCTTCGAAGAGAGAAAGGTGATTCCAAAGATTTTTCAACAGTTTTGGACATGTCTGAAATGTTGAATCGACTTGAAAAAGATACACTCACCATTGTTCAATGCAGAAAATTGGTTTGGAAAGAATTAATGAATGACACCGTCAATGAAAATAGAGTGTTGGAAATCAATCGAGTGGCATCCTCTCTCATCATGGAGTGTGAAGAGACTTTTGAAAATTTGATGAAACTCTTCTCTGAAGAAAAGAGTGTGTTGAGATTGTATGCAAGATTCAATGAAGAAGTTCTCTTCAACAGTGACAAGGCATCTGAACTCTATCAAGATGCTCAAAGTATTGAAGATGAGGATGCAAGAAGAGGTCACGAAAAGCCAAGTATTATGTCTCTAGTTAAACATTCAACAGGGCTGTTGAGAGCTAGCGCTAGCAGTATGTTAATGGAGACCATTACCCGTAATATTGCTAATAGAGTGACACCGTTGGCTCAGGTGAACAGTGCTAGTGTTAGTAATAATATTGTTGGCCTAAATGGACTTAAAGGAATATCTAAGGAGCTTATTGAGGACTCCGATCAACTGGAGTTATCTGAAGCTGGAGAGAGCCCTGAAATGAAAAAAGAGCTCATGTACAAGTCGACTATTGCAACAGCTGAGAACAATCTACTGCCATATTTTATCATTCTCACATTCAGCACAATTCTTTGGTTATTGTTTTTAGCAAAAGTGGTATTGGCCCTTGTGACATTGAATACAGCCACACGAGATTTAAACACAATTCAAAAAGCATGTGCTCCTTCAGC